TAGTGCGGCTACTTCTGAACAGCTTCGGGCAGCCAGGCTCGGTTGCGGCAAAATTGGCCAAGGAAGCACGAGTCAAGTGGGAGATGCAAGGAAGCATCTCAATGGCGCAGCGATTGAGAGGATTGCGACACTTGCGGGATGCTTGCAACAGAGTCTGTGCTACAAGTATTGCGTCATCTCGTGACAGTATCATGTTCATCGAAGCTCAGTGGAAGCCTTGAGTGCTGCTACATGTCCCCCGCATGCGCAGGCATTCGCTGCACTTGGCATCGAGGCATTGGATTGGTCGTGACCAGCATCGGTGAGGACCTTCGGGCACCTTCAGTCGGACAAGCTTCGGACGCTGAGAAGCTGTACCATCGACTGTACGCTAGAATACGCCAGAAGCTTGGGTGGGAGGATCGAATCTGAATCCGGAGCCTTTCAGCTCAAGAGACTCAGTCTTGACTTGTTGAACGAAGAACCGGTTGAGGCCATGAAGCTTCATGCCGGTTTGTGCTTCCTGATGGGATTTCACCTCATGTCGAGGGCTTTGTCCTACAAGGTCGCCGACGTCCCCATTCACCTCGTCAACAGCAGCAACGAGACGGTGAACGAGCAGGTGGATGAGATTGTGCTGGAGAACTTGCAGCACGACGTCGAAGAGTTGCAGCAGATCCCCGATCCAACCAACAAGACTGGCCAGGAGAACGAGACGGCAGGCTTCGGCGGATTGGCGAAACAACTGGAGTTCATGATGCTGAAGATGGTGCAGCTGGAGACGCTCTGTGAGATGCAGCAATACGAGATCGAGACGCTCAGGTTGAAGGTCAAGGAGCATGATACGATTCTTGCCAAAGACCACGAGGGCTTGATCCAGCTCCCCGAGAAGGATCCCGAGACGCACTTGAAGAAGACTCAAGAAACCATGGAGAGAGTGGTGAAGAAGCATTCCAAGCAGCACAGTACCCGGGACTTCCATCCCAGCCCCGAGGCCTCGGAACCGAAGGCAGCCAAGAGCTCCGAGCAGGTACTGCTCGAGAAACGCCAGGAATCCTCTTCGAGCAGCAGCGCCGGATGCCCCATGTGGAATCCCAAGTGCTGGGTGGAAGGTGTGCGGAAGCTTGGCGAAAACGGAGCAAGAATGGTCGGAGGGGAGTGGATTGGCACTGCCACAGAGTTGGCAAATTCCTACCAGCATGTTCTCAACAACCATGGCCTCGAGAGCCAGATATCCTTCTTCGCCGAAGCGGCCATCAACACCATCGAGAAGGCCACGCAGCTCCTGCTCAGAGGCTTCGACAAGTTCGAGTTCGAGTGCGGAAAAACTGACCCGCAAATGCGCGTGGACGGCGGAAGACTGGTCATATTCTTCGGGAGATTTTCCTGCAAGCTCAATTTGATGGGCCAAAAGACCAATGCGCTGGCAATCGATCTGGGCTGGGTCGATTACGTTCTTCCTGGACCCTTGGGGACATTGACCAGCTACCCGGTGAACGCCATCAAATCCATCTTAGAAGTCGGTAGAGCCATGGAAGGCTGCACAGAAACCCGCAACTCGGACGGGATGAAGAGATGCCTTGCCTGGCACATCGCCCATGCCCGGCCCATGGTCGATTTCTTGCCTGTCGACTTGCGCGGGGTTGTGCAGACACTTGGCAACTTTCCGTCAAATGCGATCCGTTCCGTCTTGAAGGTCGGCGAAACACTCCAGCACTGCACCATTGGGGACTCGTCACGTGACTTCATCATCTGCCTCGTGTACCACATTACCAATATTGCCCCTACAGTGAATTTCCTGCCAGAGGCAATGAGAGGTCCGATCGGAGACTTGATCCACATCGGCAAAGCCTTGAATGGTTGCCATGAAGCCCGTACCCCAGACGGCATGAAGAAGTGCCTGGCCTGGCTCATCGCCCAAGCCCGGCCCATGATCGATTTTTTGCCTGTCGACTTGCGTGGCGTTGTGCAGACACTCGGCAACTTTCCTTCGAGCGCGATCCAGTCCGTCTTGACGATTGGCAAGGAGCTCATGCATTGCACTCATAGGAACTCCCCACAGGACTTCATGGGCTGCATTGGGTACTGGATCACGCAAGTCAGACCCTCCGTGGATTTCCTGCCGGGGAATCTGAGAGATGCCGTGCAGAAGTTGCCCAATCCCTTGGAGCTGTTTTCTGGTGGGTTGAAGCAGGCTCTACAGCATCTCACAAGCAACCCGTTGGCGCTTATGCCTGCTCCACTACAGACCATGGCGACGGTGGGCGAGACCCTGAACGACTGCACCGACAAGAGGTCGCACGAGGAGCTACTCCAGTGCTTCGGGTTCAAGCTCCTGGAGCACACGCCTCCCTTGAGCTTTCTGTTGCGACTGAAGGAGGTCATGGCTCGCTATGTCGAGGTCTTTGCACAGATCGGGAACAAGTTGATGGAGAAGGCCATGGAGGAGAACCCGGCTTTGTTGCAGACTGCTGTCCACTCTAAGTTCGGAGCTCTCGGCGACCGCCCCATTGTGCACCACTCAAGCTCAACCCTTGAGATCAAAACCCATGTGCAGAGGCCCGAGTTCCTGCAGCAGGCGGCCCAGTCTCGGCATGAGCGGCATGAACGTGGCGACAAGTTAACGGAGTTCGGATGGAAAATAGGTGACTATGGCCCTCAGACCGCCTCGCTCATCACCCAGTTCAACGGGAGGGAGAAGTCAACGGGATCCTGCCTAGCCTTCGCCCCGAGGACGAAAACCGGCACTAACCAGCAGGCGACTGAGGCGGACTGGCAGGTGGAGAACGAAGACGACTTCCTGAAGCTGGAGCCTTATGCCGTGCCCTGCAGCAACGCTTGGATGCAGCAGAATTGGAACAAGTGGCAAGGGTATTCCTTCTACACGTGGCCCACGCATGTGGAGAAGTGCATCACAGTCAACTTCAACATCGGACTTCAGCCCGTGGTGGCGCTCGTCGGTGGCGTTCAGTTCGAGGTGCTGCCAAAGCCCCTAGCACAGCTGCAGACCCAGGTCTGCTGGCCGTTTGGGCAACCCGGCGGGGTGGACCTCAGCGTGCTGCGCTCGCAGATCAGCTGTGGCAACGTGATGGTTTTCAGCCGAACGCTACGCCTGGCGAAGCGCTTCGGAGACGACACGGACTTTGTGAACGAGAACATCAATGGGGGCTTTCAGACTTGGCGCAGCGCCTTTGGTGTTGGCTACGCCAGTGGGGCCGAGAAGATCTTGAACGTGGACCCTCGCTACAAGGCCGTGCGCAGCCAGTTTGGGCCGCCCGAAGGCGAGAGCAAGAGTGGGATCGATTCCATGGAAAGGTCGGCATTCATCCAGGGCAATAAGAGCCAGGAAGAGCAAGACTCGGCCAAGCAGGCCACGGAGTCCCTGGTCTGGAAGACGGATACTGATGACCTCTACCTCGCTTCCGTCGACATCAACCACTTGGGCGTCAACAGAACCGCTGAGCTCAGGGGCACGAAAGCAGCCGAGCGCTGGAGCATGAGTGCCCTCCAGGACCCGACAGGGGAGAAGGCCCACAAGCTCTTCAGCTTCAAGGCACCTGCGCTGATCGACTTTGAGTTCGCCGGCATCCTTGAAGGCAATAACTTGTACCTTGAGTCCTCGCTGGGATTCGGGCCATACCAGAGCGGGGTAAGGAGGATCCCTTTGGCCAACATCGCCCACCAGTTCTCCCTTGTCCTCGCGGCGATGCACGGCTTCGTGTCGGTGGAGAGTCGGCTGAAGGCCATCAAAGCGCTCAACAACTTCCGGGAAGATGATGTCGGAGACGTGGGCAGCCTTGAGCTGCTCTTGACGCCGGGTTCCCATATCGCCCTGCACAATTCTCACTTCAAAAGGTATGTGTCGATGAAGCCAAATGAGGTGAAAGGCACCGACGATGAGAGGGAGCTTGCAGACGGCCTACCGCTGGGTTGGTATTGGGAGCGCTTTGTCGTCGTTGACGCCGGAAATGGTGAGATTGCTCTGCACAACAGTGCTCACAATCGCTTCCTTGGACTCTGGGACAACCATGTGGGCGTCAGCGGGCGGGTCGCAGCCAACCAGCTGGGAAGCGATTGGAAAGCCGAGAAGTTCACCGTGGTCCAAGCAGGAAATGGCCAAATCGGTCTGCACAACAAGGCTGCCAACCGCTTCCTGAAGATGTGGCACCAAAGCGTAGAGCCCAGCCCAGTCCATGCCCCACCCCTTCCGGATCACTGGAGCATCGAGCGCTTTGGCGTCCTGCACTTGCGCCCGTACTTGGTTCCAGGCTCCGTCGTGGCGTTGCACAGCGTGGGCTTCAACCGCTTCGTCTCCATGCGTCCAGACGCCACCGTGTCAATGACTGGAGAGCATGGTCCTGACCTCCCCCATGGTTGGACCTATGAGCAGTTCACCGTCGTGGATGCTGGCAACGGGCAGGTGGCGCTCCACAGCGTAGCCCACAACCGCTTCCTCAGGATGACCGACGAAGGCAATGTGAAAGGTGGCAACAATGCTGATGCTAGCGAGTTCAAAGCGTCCATGAGTTGGGAGAAGTTCGCGGTGATTCCTGTAGATCCTGCGAGCAACATCTTTGGCCTGCATAGCACAGTCCACAACCGGTTCCTCCAGACGTTTCACGGTAATATGCAAAGCAAAGAAGCGTCGGTGGAGCAGCTCACGCATGGCTGGTTTTGGGAACAGTTCAAAGTCGTGCAGGTGACAGATGCCCGCATCCGTGCGAACGATGTGCCCTTCGTAGTCGATGCCTGAGACCCCCGGGTCAGTAGTCCGAGAGTGGTGCCCGAGTAGGTTCACGCTCCGGACTCCGAAGTTTAACCTCGGCAGGAAATGCCCGGTCGGTGGAGCCGAAGTTTCATGACTTATTTTGCATGCTGCTATGCTTGCTGTCTCCCAAAAGTACTTGCTGCGCTTTATGCCCACGTGGGGCAGAAGCAGCAGAAGTGAGCAGGCTCGGCACACTTGCGCCTCTGGGCGAAAACCAAGTGCAGGGCCAAGTGGCGGTGGTCTCATAACTGCGATGCCAGCTACATGCAATAGCCAGTGCTCGTGTGGTCTTTTGCAGGACCCTGTGCAGCCAGACCTCCGCGTAGGGGACGCTCTTCTGGTCGTGGGCTCGAGCTCTTTGCCAGAGGCAGACAGTGAGGAGCTGGCTTTGAGCCTAGCCTGAGAATATTCCGCAAACCTTTGACGGGTTGAGGGCAAGGAGGCAAGAATGCGTTTACCTTTCGACGCGGCATGACGCGGCGTAGGTCGTAGGTTCTCAAGGCTCTCCGTTTTTCGGTTCTTCCACTGCCCAGTGTGTGGTTCCTCTGCTGTGCAAGCCCGCCCTACAGGCCATGGTCGCTGAAACGAGGTAGAAAGTCACCATGAGAGCAAGACTTCAACTATGGGATCATTTGCATGTCCAGAGTGGTGCACCTCGACTTGAAGAGCCGTCATGAGCTCTGACAGGCATACATATATGACATGGTATGACCTGTTGTCGTACGTGTCTCTTTCGGATGCTCGAGGTCATAAGCGGTCGGCTTTGTCTTCCTGCCCCACACTGATCCGGCAACTAAGTCCTCCCTCTTCTGTAAAACAACCCCCTAAATAATAAACCACATTGGGGCGAATCCTTTCGAACTCATCCCCGCCCTTTGAGAAAAAGAGCAGGAGTTAGAGCAAGAGTAGGAGCAAAAGCGGAAGCATCAGCAAGAGCAAAGCAAAAGCGGGAGCAACAGCAAGAGCAGGAGCAGGCGCAAGAGATGCAGCAGAAGCAGGAGCAAAGGCCAGTGCGGAAGCAAGCACCAGAGCAGGAGCAAGAACACGACCCGTCAAAAGTGTAGAGATAGAAATTCACCCTAATAACAACAACAATTCCCGAGTTTTTATTGGGGAGGGTGGGGGGGCCCTCTGTTTAATGCTAGGCGGAAGGGATTACCTGTGACCGAGGAAGCTTCTGGATGATGAGTGCCGTGGCTGCTACACAATGACAGCATCGATTTGTAACATGGTAACATGCGATTGCTTGCACTGGGAATGGATGCATGGTTCTTCAGGTTCTTCGTATGGGTCCGATGCCATTTAGAGTAGTCCTCGGCCTTAATCTGCCAAGCCTTGCCAACTAGATCGTGTTGATTCACGTAGAGACGGCTGTCCTCCATGATTGGCACGCTCGCATCAGCATCTTGAGCGTGCTGGCGATGTGAAGAGCAGGTGTGCCTCCAGCCTTGCCGCCAACAAGCGCGGCATCCAGTGCCTTGCTGTAAGCGACCTCGAGGCACGGCAACCGATTGTGGTTATGCCTTTCTCTTTTCATCTCTCTCATCTCCCGTTCGCTGTCTCTCTCTCTCTCTCTCTGTCTCCCTTTCTCGCTCTCACTCTCACTCTCGCTCGCAGCAGCAGCACTCAGCCACCCTATAGGTTGTTTGTTGGATTTCGCGTATTCGAAGCTTGTGGACACACAGGTAGGAAGTCCACCACCGCCACCACCTCCGCCGCCTCCACCGTCGGCACTCCCGGCGACGGGACGGACGCGACTGTACAAGGCTGCATTGCTGTCGCATGCTTGGTTGAGGCCGCCCCCTGACTTGCCTCAATTCACTGCCCCACCCTTGTTGGCCTCTTTGACAGGTGTGGCCAGCAGGCAACAGATTCTGCTGCGCAGGAGCCTTTACCAATTAGCGTTTTAAATGCCGGCTAAGCTTCAAACCAAGCTATGCGAAACCCAGAACAGCCCACGTCACTCGGATCCCACCTGATTTGCACTGCGATTGAGCGGGCCCGGGCCCTTGCATGCCAACCGACTCGAGAATGACCTGCCGTGTGCATCTGAGGATATTGCATGACAGGGAATCCTGGACACGAGTGTTCCGCGGCACAGTGCCTTCGCGACACCTGTGCCTTGGAACGAGAAGCCACTGAGCGTGCATGGGCTGCAACTCCACGCGAGGATCCATGTTAACCCGCAATCAACCGTCAGAGCTTTGCGACTGGGATGTAGAGGTCTGAGGCCTGATAATACGGTCCTTCGGAATCGTACTTTGGCTGAATGTAATGAATCCTCACATTGCGCCGGTTGAGTTTAGACTTGGCCTTTCAGGTGTTTCTGACAGCAGCAGTTCGCGTCGACAGCGATGTGAAGACTTAGCTTCGGAATTGGAAGGCCCTCTCGTGGTTCTTGTGTTGATTGTCGGAGTCGAAGCGTTACTTCGTTTGTCGTAGTTAAGGTGCACCAGCGACAGATGATAATTTCCGGATCAGGATACGCATGAAGTCAGTGGTTCAGATGACGGTGATGACCGACTTGTTCAGCGATGCAGGAGGCACGAAAAGTAGTAGCAAGAGGAGGAGGAGAAGGAAAAGGAGTAGTAGTAGTAGTAGTAGTAGTAGTAGTAGTAGTAGTAGTAGTAGTAGTAGTAGTAGTAGTAGTAGGAGGAGGAGTGGTGGTGGTGGTACGTAGTAGTAGTAGTAGTAGTAGTAGTAGTAGTAGTAGTAGTAGCAGAAGTTGTGGTAGTAGTAGTCGTCGTCGCAGTAGTAGTCGTCGTCGTAGCGGTAGTGGTAGAGGTAATGATATTGATAGCGGTAGTAGTCTTAGTAGTAGTAGTAGTAGTAGCAGCAGCAGCAGCAGTAGAAGTAGTCGTTGTTGCAGTCGTCGCAATAGTAGCAGCAGCAGCAGCAGCAACAGCAGTAGTACCAAACCTTTCCCTGTTGATCCTGTTGCCATCGCTGGGTGGCCAGTAAAGACATGCTGATGGAGCAGATATACACCTGTATATATATATATATAACTATGTATATATATATATATATATATATATGTAATCTTTTGCCTCCTACATTATATAGTACTACATACTGGATTGTAGTATTGTATCATAGTATTACATTACCTGATCTATTGCATTCTCGTGTTTACTCTAGATCGTATCTTACATTATAGTAGTACGTATGTAGTATGTTATGCATATTAGTAGGCCTTTATGTCTTGTATTACATTTTAACCTATGTAGGCCATAATTCATGTTCAATATGTTATTTTGTGTTCCGTGGTATATCTTGTATTTCGTCATGTGTATATTTATATCACTCTTGATATTCTACATTTCTGATACATGTTTTGTTGAAAAAGCATTACATACTTACCGTACTGTATGACATACACAGGCATTCTCTGGGCTCTCTCTGTTTCTCTCTCTGTCTCCCTGTTTCTCTCTGATTACGTGTACATGCAAAATATCTCATCAGGATGTCGGTGGTCGTTTGTGACTTCAGTCTGGGGTGCAAGAAACTGGATGGTGGTGAAGGTTCGGAACGATGCAGTCTTCTGTGCAGGCTGGGATTCCATCAACCGCCCGTGGTGCACTGCGCTTGGTCCAGCCAACTGCTTCTCCTGGGCTTCTTGCTTGAAGAAGCCTGCACAAATGGTCTCCACGGCACTGCGGAAGTGTTGAGATCTGTCATGGGCAAGCCTCCCACACATTCCCCCACGTGCCTGCCGCCATCTTGCACATGTTGAATTAGAGCAATGCTTCTTGCTGGCAATGAATGCTGTGCTTGCATGCCTCAGGCCTGCATCTTGGTACCTTCCATTCTTTATTTTGCGGTCGCTTTGCCATACTACTGGATCGCACCTCGGTGACGCAATGAGACAGGCTGGTCTCTGGAAAATCAACTGCTTGATGTGAGAGTTTCCGAAAATTAGGGGTACCTGATTTTGGGGTCACCCAACGTCACAGTACCACCCAGCTAGAATCAAGCGCTCTGGCCCCGGCGCTGAATCCTGGATCCCAAACCCCTAGTGCCCTAGTGACCTTGAGACATAGATACATACATACATACATACATACATACATATCTAAATAGACAGATATATAAACAGATAAAATAGATGTGCACATACGCATCTTATGCACATCTTAAACAGCTACCTGAGGAAGTACATCCGATTCTTCCCATGACGGCCTTGTTCTTCTTTCTCATGACCGTGGGCTGCCTCCTGTCGGCATGCCTGGCCGATCCTGGTATCATCCCGCGGAGGGAGGCTGCAAGGGATCAGAGTGTCCTTGGAGTTTGGGGTTTGGGGTTTAAGGTTGTGGTGGGCACCTTAGTCCTTGCTGACAGGGTTTGAGTACAGGCCAGAGAGTGCCATGGAGTGTTACAGATCATGCTTTGGGGCCGTTCTGTCTTGGGTTGTATAGACCGCGTGGTTGTTGGCCTTACTAGTTATTTACCCGCAGTTCGGAGTGGCATCGAGCAGGCTCTAAGCTGGCACAAATGCAGTGGGACCATGCTATCCGTAGTGTGGTGGCCGTTGTGCGTCTCAGTGCATCGTGCACTTGTAGGCATTGGAGGGGTTCTCAGGATCGTCCTGCCACCCAAAAACTAGAATCCTCAGGTGGGTGGGACGCGGGAGCCGGGGAGAAACACACGCTAGTTATGGGGCATGTGAAGCCATGGCCTAGCAAAGTCAGGGAGAATGTGCGATAATATGCTTAACTCTTCGGAGCTCTTACAGGTCTGGGAAGTGTTCGTTACGGTACTACTGTTTTTCCGGAGAAGCGCCGCCGTAGCAGAACCGGAGAAGTTTGCGGCAGATTGGATTAAGGGATATTGTGGCCTTACGTAAACGCCACGGACAGCTCCCAGTACATCTTCAACCTTCGTGACAAAATCCGCTATGGCTGCGGGCATACAAGATTGTGAATGCATGTAGCAGCTACGCAGGTGATCTTGGCTACCGGTTCCGCGGAGAAGCTGTGCCAAGAGTTAGGCTACAACGTGCTGGGGGAGACAGTTCCCTGCCCAAGTCGGCACTCTACTACTCAGCCATTGTCTGGTTTTCGAGGACTACTATCACTAGTACTGACGGTACTCATTGCTACTTCCACGTTTCCATCCATCTGCATGTATTCATGTGTCGGTCGTTCGCTGTAGGAGTTTGTGATTCAACGTTGTGATGACAGTCGGACGTCAGAGAGCTGTGGAAGAAGAAGCTTGACGTCTCTAAGTATGTGCGTACGTATGCATCGATGCATGTATGAACTGTCATATTATATGTTTTTCTATGTATATATGTCCGTGAACTTATGTGTATGTGTATATGTGTGCTTGTAGGTGTGTAGGTGTGCATGTCTGTGTGCGTACATAACTTTTTTTATTAGATATATACATACATATATCCACATATATATATATATATATATATATATATCCATACATGTTACTCTATATCGTATTACATGAAATGTTTTTATATTATGTTATATGATATGACCCTATAGAACCATTTCTCATTATATTGTTGCATCATAACAAATGCTTTATAGTATGTTACATTCGACTATATATACATACATATATACATACATATACACATACACACAAACACACATGCATGTATATATATATATATACATGCATGTATGTTTTATTTACACATGCATATACAGCATGTGTACGTCTGTCTGTCTGACCGCCTGTCCGTTTGTCTGTGTGTCAGTATGCCCGTATGTCTGTGTTGGTACACGTATATATGTCTGCTTGTCCGTTTGTTTGCGTGTCAGTATGCCTGTATGTCTGTCTTTGTACCTATCCGCATATGTATGTATGTATGTATCTCTGCATGTTTGTCTGTATGTCGGCCTGTGGGTCTGCAATAATTATGTCTGTCTGTATGTACGTATGGAAGCATGCATGCGTGGATGTTTGGACTGTGCGTACGTATGTATGCATGTATGTGTGTATGAATGCATGCATATTTGCATGTATGTACATGATGTATGTAATGTATGTATGTGTCTATGTATGTAATGTACGTATGTACGTACATATGTGTGTATGTAACTAAGTACGGATGGGTGGCTGGACGTCGGGATGTTCCGGATGTATAGCGGTCTGGGCTTATGGACGGATAGATGGAAGGATGAACGTACCATACTATGCTCTGACTATACTGTAGTTGCATGTTGCTATATACATAGTGCTCAGACGCGTCTTGGTTCTGTCGCTGGCTGGCGACCGATCATGTGAACTGAAGCTGTCACCTCACACTGCTAGCGGCAGATCTGTTGGCAGTGAGGTCACCGAGCGGGGCGAGCTTCGGGATGGCACCGAGCGTGTCCAAATACCACCAGAATTGAGAAAACAGGGCTACAGGCTCGAGACTTGGGGTACGGCGTGCTGTTCTATTGAGTTGAGTCAGTGTAGAGTGTGGATGCCACTCTCGTCGTCTGCGGCATGGAGCTGCAGGTGGTGCAGCACATGTCGCATTGTGCGACCACCGCGAGCTTCGCACTGTGCCGACTGTGACAACTGCGTGCTGCGATTTGATCACCATTGCCCCTTTATCAACAACTGTGCGGCTTGGCTAGAACATCCTCTTCTCCAGTGGTCTCGTACCGAATCACTGCCGGACTTGTGCAGTGATGTCACTGTGTGATGTCAATTGGACTTTGGGATGAGAGCTGAGAGTTGTGAGCCCTTTCTGCATGTGCAGGTGGGCCAGCGGAACTACCTTTTCTTCTTCGGGTTCACAAGCAGCTTATTTGAAGTTTCAGGTCTTTTTGGACAAGGTAAACTTTGGCCGAAGTTTAGCTGCGCCGCTCAGCATCAAGATGTTCTCGCAGTGGCATGTGCTACGCTGCCGGGCGGTTGCCGGCGGCCGGGACGGACAGTCTGGCCTTGTCAATGTGCGTTAGCGAACAAAGCGCAATCACATTCGACTGTTGGAAGGCAGGTGGTGTGCACTGCTGTGTGTAGATTGTGAACGATTTGGATCTTGGTTTTGTCCGATGAGAGCTGATTGACAGCTCAGAAGGCCAGGCGGTTCAGAACGAGCAGTTTTCCTGCAGAACTTTCAAAGTTCAACCCCTGCAAGTCTGAACTTGAGTTACTGCGCAAGTCCTGACTGGCACTAGGCACTATTAGCATCACGACTACTGCTAGTGCTACTGCAAATTAGTGCTGGTTTTGGTTGTTGTTGCTGCTGTTGTTGTTGTTGTTGCTGTGGCTGTTGCTGTTGCTGTTTTAGTAGCAGTAGCAGAGGCAGTAGCAGTAGCAGCAGTAGTAGCAGTAGTCGTCGTCGTCGTCGTAGTACTGTAGTAGTCGTAGCAGCTGTAATGGCATTGGTACTAGTAGTAGTTGTTGTCGTAGCTGTGTTGTTATTTTAGTATCATTGTATCAGTAACAGTAGTAGTAGCTGCATCGCGATTGCTGTTGCCGTTGCTGTTGCTGCCGCTGTGGTTGTTGTGTCTGTGGCTGCTGTGGCTGTGGCGCTCGTTGCGGTTGAGTCTGTTGGTAGTTGGTTGCCGGTTGCTCGTTGTTGGCGTTGTCGTTGTTGTTGTTGCTGTCGCTGTGAGTTGTAGTTGTTGTTTTGGTTGCAGTTTTAGTTGCAGTTTCAGTCGCAATGATTACGATTGTTTTCTTGTTCCTGCAGTAGTTTTAAGATGCAGTTTTTGTTGTGGTTGTGGTGGTTGTTGTTGTTGTTGTCGGTGGTGGTGGTGTTTGTGTTGGTGTTGGTGTTGTGGAGGTGCTGCTGCCGTTGCTGTTGCTGTTCTTGTTTTTGTTCTTGCTAGTCCTTTTAGTGGTGCTATTCTTGTCGGTATTCTTGTTATTCTTGTGATTGATGCTGTTTGTTTGTTGTTGTTGTTGCTGTTGTTGCTTTTGCTGTTGCTTGATATGTCTATGGCTGTGCCCAGTCTCGTCTTCGGCGTCGCATTTCTATTTCATCATGTTGTTAGACCTGCTGCCACTTACAAGCAAAGGAAGAGTGAGCAGCGACAGAGGAAGCTCGTGAAGCTTACTGTCGCCCCCTGTTTCCTGGTGAGGCTCCGTTTGCATGCTTGCGCTGGTTGTCATTCCATCCCTGCTGTGGTACCTCCTGGTCGGAACCGGGATCAGTGCGGGCCTGAGAGGGGCAGCCTGAAGCGAACACTCGGAGAGCGTCTCTTTCCTTGCAGCTACTGTAGGCGCTGGGCAGAGCCAGGGTACCGAGAGCTATGCGGCCTCTTGGCAATACACAAGCTACGTCGGCAGTTGGCTTCGCAGAGCCTTTACATGGCAGTGCAGGTGAACTCTGATGCTGTTCTGCGTGGCTTCCTCATCACTCTGGCGGCTGCGGGAGGTCGGCTTCTCAGCCGGGTGGAAGGGTTCAAAAGTGGAGTGGAGTTGCTTTGACTCGGTCGTACGAGTCGAGTGCATCTATCCTATCCAGTCCAGAGCCTCATTGAGCCGCGGCAGCTACTCACATCATGCCCGACGGATTTCCAAAAGGCTTCGTTTCGCCTTGCTGTGCTGTGGTCAGGGCACGTTTCCGAGCCTATGCAACAGAGGTACAGCAGCTCTGTGCGTCGTGGGCTTGTGGGGGTATCACCTCTTCCTGATCTGCTCTGGTATCACTACGAGAGCCACTCAGACCTACGCTTTGCGTTCTAGTTGGTTTGAATGTGGTTTTCTCGTGTTGCCGTCGCAGTGTACCAGCCACTTGCTAGCATGAGAGCCGCAAGAAACAACAAGCGAAATTTTTAATAAGAGCGATGAGAGATTCCAAGAGTGCTGATCCCTTTCTGGTAAACTGTCGCGAGGTGTTGCCTTTGTGATTCTAGCCTTTTGTAGGGCTGGCCACGAACTCCAGGGTCCAGCTTAGTCGCAGATCTGAGGAACACATCAAAGGGCAGCTGGGCGGCAAAGTTGAAGACTTCGGAGAAGTGCGGAATTTCTTCAGTTGCCGTTTACCGTCTGCGGTAGCGCATGTCATCCCGTTAGCTTCCTCGGCCCCTCAGCCAAGGATGAGGACGAAGGTGGGCCCCATAATGCCTGTTCGCCATCGTTGCTGTGACGAACGTCAAATGTGAAGAAGTCGTAGCGGGGACATCAGTGGGATGAGTTCACATGTATGCATGGCATCTCCTCGACGGCAGGAGCTGCTGCCAGGCATTGGCGAGGAGCACGGTGTGTGTCTAAAAACTCTTCCGCCATTCCTCCTCACAGGGCTTCTTGTCTCGGGGGGCTTCGTGGCAAAAGTGTAGTCCGCAGTGGAGCTGCTCCTGGTAGGACTCGACCACTTGCTCTCGTCGCGGTCCGTCTTTGCTGTCGTGTCTCGGCTGCAACGCAGGAGTGTTTGCTGTTCGGCCACAGATCCCTAGCACTCCGCCGAGTGATCAAGTTCGCGATAGCCAAAGAAGCCAAACTCCAAGGCCTCAGTCAGGCCCAAGCCAGAGAAACTTTATAAGGACCCGAGCTTTGGTGCCGACCATTGCCGGCAGCATCTTGGGCAGGTGCGAAGATTCTAGACTCTAGCAACACGCAGGCTTGAAAGGCAAGCGATGGAAAAAATAATATTGACACGGAATTGACTCAGTGGAAACCTTGCCACGCCTCCCCGGCTCCCTTACTATCATTGCAATAGTATAATAATGGGCCCCAAAACCCTATTCTAATTAGTAAGGTCCCCGGCTGCCCCAGATCTGACTGACCTGGCCAGGCGCAGCCGACTTCCCGACCCCGGCAAAGTGATGCTTCAGACCTGAGTGCTCAACTGAGATCTGACCCCGGACGGGCCTCAGCCTAGCCAGTACCCTATGAACAGAAGGGTTTAGGGGTTTAGGGTTGCGTAGTCCAGGTGTAAAAAAAGGGGTTTATTGTTTAGGTACAACAAATGGGGCATATGCATAGTCCAGGTGTAAAAAGGTACAACAAATGGTCGGAGCTCCTGGAATTATTGGACTTCAAGCCAGAATTTAATCATCTTCAGCTGTTTCACGAGAAGACTTTCAATGGAAAGTCGCGAGCGCGGCCCCGTTTTTCCTGGAGTGTGCCGGGAAGTCTTTGCAGTCCCCGCCTTTTGCTTTCGAATGAACAGATGAACTAAAAATTGAGCTAGATCTATCTGAATCTACGTATCTTCATTTTTGTGTATGTTACATATACATACATATATATATATATGCCTCAACGCACGACAACATTTCGTAGCATAGAAATTGAATCCCGCTGGAGCATCTGGACTTCCCACTCTGGCTGGCTGACTGCTTGCCGGTGCTGCGCCTGCAACGGGCACCAGAAAGCAATGGTGAATGCGCACAAGCGTCTACATGGCAAAGTTGAGGGATGTCCCAGATTTGGAAGCACTTCCTGGTTTTGTCCCTGCCTTTTCTGCGATGCCTGCAGAAACGCAGACTTGGCCGGCACCCCATGGTGGCAATGACCGTGTGCGGCTTGCAGCCGTCGGGTTGCAGAACTTTTGCAGCCATCAACAGTGAGGGGGGGCACGGCCGGCTACACTCGATGCATGGCTTCGCATCGCTGCTGTCGAAAGCTGTGCGGTAGCTCGGTAGAAATTTAATTTTGTGGCCTGCTCGCGTTTCTACCAACAGCGGCGGTAGCCAAGAAGTTGTCCTATTGGGGTATGTTTTGGTTGGCTTGCCCTTCAAACATGTCTGTTTTTCTCGTTGGTCATGATAAGCGTTGTTGGTTGTAGCGTCTTGTAATGTTTGCACCACGTTGAATGAGATCCGACCCCTGGTGGCGGGTCTCGCAGCTTTGTGTCGCCCAGCTGAGGTTGACCTTGTTAATGCTGCAAGTGGCATGAATACTGCGACGATGGTCCTTTGTCATATGTTCGATGCAAGTTCATGTGAAATGATACTCTTGGTTCAACGGCGTGTCTTTTTGTGATCCTTTCCATGTACTCCTGTTTGTTGGAAAGATCTCAATTCAATGCAGCTCCGGGCCGATGTGTAGGATTGTGCAGATCGGCTCGATGCAATCCCGTGGTTTTCGCAGTGTATGACATGAAGGGTGCGCAACACTCAAACAATGGCTGGGGGATGTTTAGGGCTTCTTGTCTTTGACGACACGCTGATCTGCATTTCTCGCAGCCAGTGGCTGCTTGGTCTCGAGCTCATTTCTCGCAGTATCGTGCAGCGCCAATTGAGATGCCAGAACCGTGGCTTTGCAGACAGGTCAAAGAGTAGCCCACAGTGATATACCCTGGTCATCTCTGGTCCACGTCCTTGCACAGCCCCCTGTTTGCAAGTGCAGCATCAGCTCAGTGTCCGGGTCTTACAGGTAGGCCCGAAATCAGCCACATTTTCGCAGCCGCTATGCGTCAAGCCTGAGCATTTGCGGCAGCTTTAGCTTGGGTGGTGGTGGCTTGGCAGGAGAGAGACAGGGACAGAAGCCTCTGCTTCAGTCAGCTCGAGGGCTGGATAGGCTTCCATTTAAGGGCCAGCTGTTCCTTTGAAGCAGTGCTAAAGGCCTCGGTGGCAGTGGCTCTAGGACTCCAAATTGTCGGGCGCTTCTTCGCAGGTATGCTGTTTTGGTAGAGGCCAATATAGCCACGAACCACGACATGTTGGATCAGCTGTCCCACATTCTGCCAAAAACACATATTCAAAGTCCGGAACTCTGACCGCCCTGACCTCGCTTGACTCGCCAAGCATGAGAGTCGAAACCCTATGACCTGCAACCCTTGGGAGCCAAACCGGGTCTTAAGTCGTCATAAGAAAGCCAACTATACAAAGCCTAATTAGCCGACAAACCGCGAAACCTTCCCCTTGAAACACCATCAAACTGTTGATCCGCTGAGGCCTCTAAAATCACATAAAACCTAAAAGCCCTATCAACCCGTTCGAGTCCTAGATCCTAGATCCCCATCTCGCCCGACCTCCCTGACCCTGATGATACGATCGGCAAAATCCAGAGACGCGCGTACAGGTGAAATCTTCTCCTAGCATGTTGTGTCTGTGCGGGGGGTTCTCTCTTGCATGTTCTTTGTGACAGCCATTGATGTTTCACCAATCCGGCCGACAGACGCATGATAAACATGCCTCGCCCAGACTGGCCGAATTGTGAGCACCGAAACGTCTCACTAAACATATTGCGAAAACATATTTTTCCCCCAATATGTTTAGTGGGGAAAAGATATTTTTCCCCAATATGTTTAGTGGGGAAAAATATATTTCCCCAATATGTTTAGGGGGGGAAATACCTTTTTTGCCCAATATGTCTAGCACTAGAGGCCATCCTTCGAGCGCTGCTGAGCAGCGGCTCGACGTGGCCTCCACGTCTGGGAGCCCTGGCTTGTTTGTCTTGAACAGAATTATAGGGACCCTTGGGGGGGTAGGGGGTAGGGGGAGGGGGGGGCGGGGGGCCTCTATGCCCATAATAAGGCCTTGATAAGGCTTATTCAAAGAAATATTGTCCCTACCCCCTCCCCCTACTCCCCTAAGGGTCCCCATGATTCTTGAACAGGGGCAACCTCCAGGGCTTAGTCACGATGTTCGTCGATCAATTGGCCTTGGCCGTGCCTTATGTCCTATGCTTTTGCGAGATGGAACGAGGCCATGTTGGCGAATCAGAAGATGATCATTGACACGATGCAGGTCCTCGGGGTGGAAGCGTGCGAGTAGTTTGTGCGGATTGGAAGTGCGGTCGTGCACTCCGCTGACATCACAGGCTTTCCACAAGCAGAGCCACTCCACGCTCGTGCTTTTGACAAAGGCATGCACGCGAATGGGCCTCTTAGTCGCACAGAGTTGAGAGAGGTGCAAGTCAAGCAGATTGCTTGGGGATGGCGCCTGCTTGCCGTTTTTGTCTCGATGTTGCTGTGTGTACCGGTCCTTTTGGTGGACAGAAAGCTGGATAGGTGCTGTCGAAGCATTTCGGTTTCCTCTCTGCATTGCAGCAGGCCACACAGGAGCTTTCTTGCCCGCACCTGTGACGAATCAGAAAGCAGCAGTACTTAGAGGTTCATGGGTAGATCTAAGTGGGGTTTAGAAGGCCCCTAATACTAATAGAGGTTATAGCCATAGCTACTTACAACCCTACTTATAGCTGCTCATGAGCCTCCAAGTAGTGACTTCCAAATCCATTCAGAACTTCTGCTCACGACGCACTGCAACAACAGAGCCCTGAAAAGTCTGTTCATGCCTTTGGCGCCTTGGGCGTGGCTCTCGTGCTGTGGTCGCCGTCGCGACGAGCATCGACTCGAAGGACGCACGGCTTCGGGATGAATCGGGCACTGTGCTGACGCTGCGAGTAGACTTGTTTTTGAACTGCGTCGTAGGTTTTCTGTGTGCGCATATGAATTGGCCAGCTCGGTAGGAAGCCACGGGCTGGTCGGGCTTGAGTATTCCGGCTTGCACGAGATCGAACCCGTGTTTCAGAGGATCCTTGCTGCCGGAGAAGGCCCCGCACTGGGAGCTGTGCGAGCCTCAGATTCCAAGGTCAAGTCAGGGCATCCTGATTGTCCGTAGCTCTCAGTCGGGTGTCTCGACATGGCAAGAACCACGCCCCGGAAGCAGTAGCATTCTTAACGCATCGAGTGGCTACTGACTACTACCTTGATGGATGTGAGCTCGAAGTACTCTCCTCAAGCTTAGTGATAAACTGGGTTGCTGCTGGGCCCTCTGAGCCCGCGACAATTCTTCCGAGGCTTCACAGCGAGGAAGCCTCACCTCCCAAGTCGCGCGCTTGTTGGGCTGGCACGGGGCACAATTTCCTTGAAGAGCTCCGAGCACAGGTTCGAGATGAGCGAAATCCTCCATCCCGTCTTTGAGGATGCTCCCCTCTGGTCGCTGAAACCGCGAGGCACGGGCTGTCACGTCGGGAATTTCTCAGCCCCAGCCCTGAGTCGAAGGCTGTTCGCCCTACACTCGGGACGGGCGGCTGCTGGCAATGGACCGAGGCCTGGCGTCATTAGGGTTCAAAAAGGGATGTAGCGGGGCACCTCCGGACTGCACCTCTGCTTTTCAGGCTTGCCCACACCCTTGGCCATCTTCGAGGCAGGGGAACGAGAGGGGGGGGGGGGGGGGTTGGGGTTTCAGGCCGACCGTAGTCTTGCTTAAACTTTACAACTTTACTTAAAGCTTGGAGAGGCCGGAGAGTGCTACGTGGTGCGACGAGGAGGCCCGCGTCCGCTTCTACAGGTCCGATGGAGCCTTGATCACATAGAGTCCACCTGTTTGGGAGTCCTGTTCAGGAGGAGTGCCTATGATATACATCTTGAGTTTTTCGCACGTTCGTTTCGGAAGCTCCGAAAGTCTTGTTACACGCATATTTGTTTCCTTTTGTCCTCCTAGGACTTCTATGAATCTACGATCTCTCTACCTATGCGTCTGCCTATGTATCTACCTCCCTAGGTACCTACTTGGTACTTATCCATCTACAATTACCTATGTATCTATCTATCCAACTATCTGGAAGATATCATCTATCTTATCTATCTATCTGTCGGCCGGTCGGTCGATCTGTCTAGAGACACAGAGCAGGGGAGAGTGGGAGAGAGACAGTGTGAGTGAGTGAGTGAGTGAGTGAGTGTGTGTCTGTGTGTTTTTGCAAGGACTTTCCTACCAACCATGACGATGGTCCTCGCAATACTCGTATTACTATTAGTCATGGTGATGTTTTTTATCGGCCACACGAACACCAAAAATCATGATAGTTGCATTGTGAGTAGGAATGGTGCACATATGTCGGCATACATACATGCATACATACATGCCCATGTACTTTCAGACGTGCATATGCAAACAGGTGCATACGTATGTGCAGGTGCGTGAACTACACTGCACTACAAACACTGCACTACACTGCACTGCATTGGTTTACACAATGATGAAACAATTACCAGCTTCCCTGTACCGGAGTTATCGCTGCACACCATGTAGGCCTGATGCAGTGCAAGGATTCAGCGAGACATGGGCTGGGGCGCCTTCACGATGCAAAATCTGGGAGTGGGCGAGTTCGTTTGCGAGTACACAGGCCTGACTGCAGAATACATCCCTTGTTCTTTATGTATATATATATATACACATATGTATGTATATATGTATATATATATATATATGTATAATTTGGCTTCTCGCTGTAAATCACACAGGCGAGCTTCTCACGGACGAAGAAGCAGAGAGCCGGTGCACCGGCCCTGGCCGGGATGCCTATCTCTTCAACCTGACTACGCCAGAGCAGTGCACGAGACTGGGAGTTCAGGCAGGGATCCTGGCTCCTTTGCCACTGCAGGAATGCATGGTGACAGCACACATGCTTCACGTGGATGCGCTGTTTCGGCATGCTTGCTTGTGATTCTTTTGGCGTGATTTGCAGGTGCCAAGCAGTGCTGACATGGCCGATCCAGCTTCCAGCCTTGTTAGCAGCGGCTCTTAGGTCTGTAGTTTGTTCGGCTACCTCTGCGCCAAGAAGCTTCAAACGAGTAGGGTTTGACGCACAAATCGAGTCTTTACTTAATTTACTGACACTCGATCAGGAACAAAAGAGGAGTAGGTTTTGGGAGCCACGGGTATCTGGACTGAAAGATTCAGTCCGTGACACGGGTGGAGTGTTGACCCGATGCTTGTTTGCTATCCGTTCCTCAGGTCTTCGTCATCGATGCTTACGAGAGGGGTGGCGTGGCTCGCTTTCTGAATCATGCCTGCGGCCCTTCCCATGCAGCAAACGTGACACCGATCTATGCCTACACCTTTGACAGTGAGGACGTGCTTCATTCCCAGTTGTGAGAACCTCTCTGCCTTGCCAGCAGCTTCCACGCTACTAGCCGGTCGCATCCGACTGTGCAGGAGCCCGTCGACGCTCGCTTGCCACATGTGGCCCTCTTCACCAACCGAGCCGTCACCAAGGGCGAGGCACTGACACATGACGTGAGTGTTGTTCTTTATTGAGTACTGAGCATGAACTCAACGACTTGAGGCTTTGTTGTGAATGTGCATGCTCCTCCGTACATTGTATTCTCATGCTATAGACAAACCTGATCATGATGTATGTGTGTGCGTGTTCATACATACGCGCATACATAACAACGTACATACATATGTGTGCATCGAGATGCGTAGAGATGTATTGGTAAAGAGAATGAACTAACAAATCCAATAAGTAAATACATCGTATATGTAATATAAAATAATTACCATTATTGCTTACAGTTCCAATTGCAACACCAAGTGATGGCTGGCATTCGCACCCGCCCGCCGGCACGCCCTCCCACCCCCCCACCCCCCCACCCCCCCCTCACCCACCCCTGACACACACATTCAGACACATACGCACACACGCACACACACACATCCATACATACATACATACATACACACACACACACATACAGACAGACAGCCAGGCAGGCAGGCAGGCAGGCAGATAGACAGACAGACGCATGCATACACACAGACACAACCAGGTACGTTCGGCTCGGAAAGTAATCGAAACGACCTCTGCTACTGTATGCAAACACGAACACTTCCACAGGATTGTCCGCTGCTGTGTCAGTGCATGCGCAAGGAGCTCCGCTACGACTATGGCATGTCACCTGAGGCAGTTCACAGTGCCGATGGCGCAGCTAGACATCAGCCCTGCCTTTGTGGAAGCAGCGTATGTCGTGGCCTGATCTACTAGATTCAAGATTCTGCGATGATTCTGCGAGACCTTACCGTGCTCAGCTCCTTGCTCGATTGTCGGCCGGGCTCCAACGCGGACGCCCCCTCCGTGGTCAGCCCCACGATCGTGTTCCCATGGTTCTGGAGGATGCGTGCTGATGGGACAGGAAGCATCGATTCGCCGTGTTTCTCACCATCGGCAAGGCCTAATGCCAGCAGAACGTGTGGAAATGGGAGTGAAAAGAAAAGGGCACTCTGCCCTTTTGAGCTTCAGCCACTGCTTGCTCAGTGACGCTGCTGTATCCTCGGGGGCCGCAGAATCTGCACTCTGCAGCAAAGGTCTCAATGACATTTCCACCGAGTGCGAGCAAATGGGCATCTTGGCCGGTCGATTGTTCAGGGCAGCTCCATGTGGTCTGATTGTCTAAGTAGATGCAGTGACGGCGTGTGGTATGCGCATTGAAGATTGCTTGTTGCGACTGCCACGAACAGGAGGACGTGAAGGAAATTCCTGTTAAACCGTTTGCCGAAGCATAGTGTGCTGGCATCGCTTGCCAAACCTGTAGACCAGCAAACCACAAGATGGAAGCTAGTGCCCATGTGCTGCAGGTCACGCTTTCCAGGACGGGCGGAGTGTGTCAAGTCTGTTAGGTCAGGTCATCCTGCATGCTATGCCATAGCTGTGTATGATGCAGTGCATCGCAGCGTTTCGAGATCGTGTGTCTTGAAATACTTCACGTGCACATCCCAACAGGACACGAACTCCACCTTTGCAGCGCTGAGAGAGTCGACCCCTGCGGATGTATCGCAGGTGGGATTTTTGGGAACCCAAGATGCTGGAAAGTTGGTGCTGTCATGGGCTTCAAGCTTTCAAAATGCTCCTTCCTTTTTCAGGTTGTGGCGGACCTGAAGCCTCTCGGCAAAACCCGCGACCTTGAGTGGCCGTTGACTATAAATCGACAGTTGTCAGTGTTGTCGCTATGGTCGCCATGATTCACATGTCTCTGTTTCCTTGTTGAGGGGCTTGCCAGAACTACGTAATCGCTTTCATCATGTCGATGCTTCCTCCTCCCATTTTCCTGACCTCTCCCTGATCACAGAGCAGCGAGCCCAAGGTCATCATACATCTTACATTGAGATATTTCTGCTCTTCCATTCCAGTTCGTCGATTTCCCGTGAAGCTTCGTTTCTTTCCGGTCTTAGGAAAGTCTCAGGCTTGGGTCTCAGGCTTCACACGGCGCTTGTAGAGGGACAGTCGGCGGCGCCAGGACTTAGAACTGCTACAACTTTGAAAAGGCGTGCATAATGTGCATACCGCATACCTTCTCAACGCCGCCGGGAAGGCCTTCACCTTTTATAGTGGGAGGGAGTTCAAGTGAAGGGCCGCGGGGACGTTGACCTGCACCAACACCGTCCTACCCATGAATTTATGCCTGCAAAACCCCTGCTTCTCCGTCTCTCTCCTTGCCTTAGTATCCTTAGGCGCAGTCTGTTCCCCCTTGAAATTATTGGCAAGCTTTAATGTCGATTGTCTTCAACCCCAAGCCTGGCCCAAGCCTTACAAGCCTTAGCAGAACCCTCCAATCAGGGGTTAAGTTAATACAGGGGCCTAAATAGTTACCTATACTACTTTGGGGGCCCATTATTATAACTATAGTATACTGGGCCCGCCGAAGCCCTATTCTAATTGTCAAGGCCCCTATATTATAGTACCCTTGTAGATCCCTTATAGCAGCCCTTTGAAGGATCCCTTTAAAGGAACCCTACTTTAACTATTAAGGCCCCTTTAGCAAATCCTTCCGACCGGTTCCTACGAGGAACTTCGCCTCGGACGCTGCTTCGGCAGAGGCCCAGAGGATGGAGGAACGGGTCAAGGCGGCCTCGGCTAAAGCGGAGGCGGGCCGAATCTCTTTTCCAGGTTCCCAGATACTATGCAACATATTGTAGAGATGAGAGGCAGGTTCCAGTCGTTATGGTTCATACTATGACTCTGTGATTCTATGTGGGATGGCACCCCCAGGGGACCCAGCCGCGTTCAAGTGCAAGTGTGCCCGCTGCGACCCTTCACGGGCTACCACCCAAAGCTGACTTTTTATTTACCCTTGTAGGACGTTTGTCTGTCTCTTGTCTCTTCTTGCCTCTTGGCTGCGAACTGCGGGTCCTTTGGAAGCGCTCTATGAGATTTAGTAGACATGTGTAGGCAACTCAGGTCCGAGGGAAGGAACACGGTGAATCCCAGTGCAATAGCCGATAGCTGACCATGCAGAAGCAATCGCAAAGTTTTAGCATCCGCACACACAGTCAGACGAGGTGGGCCAAATGCCACTGGACATGATGCAACAAGAATTGAATTGAAGCACCAGAATCCCTGGCATGCCCTGACCGAAGGCGGCACTACGTGACCAGTTTCTCAAGCTCGAGACAAGGGTCTTGGCAGACTTGCCGGACGGCAGCGGCAGGAACCTCGGAAGACAGGGCCGAGCCGTGAGCAGGTGCACGACCGCATTACAACGTGATGTTGGAAGTACGTTCTACTTGTAGACACGGGCACGTGTCATACGGAACGCTGTAACCGACTGCAAACTTTTGAAGAGCAGAGTGCAGCAAGTGTTTCAGTTTTGCAAGGAGGGCGTGAAGTTGTGAGCCTGGAAAAGTAGGTTCTTCTTAGGACATCCCTTCACTTTCCCTGGGGCTATGGGTTTGGGATGATTTGGGATTCCGCTCGAACACTGGAGGCACACACACGCACACGCACTCTCGGACACTGTTACTCTCAGCAGCCTTTGCAGCATATGATGCAGAAGAATTTTGTCGGCACTCGATTCCACAGACTCGCCATCGAGTTATTGCCACTGCAAGTATTGCTGTCAGAGCGGTTCCAGCCAACAGGTGGCGATGCGTCCGGAGGTCGATCCGGATCCAAGGTGGCGGGGTTGGGTGGGGGCGAAGGGCGATGATAATTGCTGCATGATTGAGACCGTTGTTGGAGCTACGACGATGAGGACTGGCTTTTTTCGTGCCGGCTGCCATCTGTGGCTCAAGATCTCGCGACAGCCACTCGGCAGTGGATGCCGGAGGCGTGCTGCTTACGAGAGATTTCGCAGTGAAACAGACTATGGCCTCAACGCAATGCTGCCTGCAGTCAGGAAGATTGTTCGCAGAAGCTGCAAACTTACTCCGCCTAAATACTCACGCTGTCTCGTGGAAGCCATACGTCACAGCAGCCGTCTGGACGAGTCGATATACTCACTATACCCACTGTCACGCTGTCTCATGCTCCCGACACAGCATAGCTTGCTAAGCATCACGAAGTGCACGACCGGATCGGGGGAGTCCAGCGCACGGCGCACGTCTGATTTCTGAGACTCTCTGCAGCGTTGGCTCAGCCAGGGCTAAAAGCCCAAGCTCTTTGTGTGGCGCCATGGGGGCATACTATGTCAATGATAATGTGCTTATCAAGGCAACCGGAAAGATGGGAACGGTGACGCTGACGAACGGACATGCGGTGAAGGCCGCGTGTTCCTGTCTGGTTGCCACAGACTTGTGATCTGACATCTTCCTGCTTCCCCAAATTGTGCATGCATGACTCTTCCTGACAGGTGCTGGGCACGTGGTGGCATGCAGAAGAGGTGGAGCCCCTCCCTTACATGGGCTCCGGTCCGTACCATGCCCGCTTCCAGCAGACCATGTTGCGGATCAAGGCGGGCTGGTGGGTTTGAGGCACACGATTCAGCATGACGGCTTGCCCTCTGCTCGACAGCAGCAAAATTTGAGAAGACATGTAGACGATCTGCGAGATAGCAAGCAGTCTGCCGAGTATTGTGCTGACACGAAGACTGAGAGCACTGCTGTGCAAGAGGGCCTCTCAGGACACTATAAGCCGCAGCACCGACTTGGTGCCCATTGCAACATGTCAGGATCCCAAGAGGTCGATCCCCTTCTACGAGGAGAACTTCGGCATGAAGCTGATCCATTGGATTGAGCTTCTTGGCAACAGGGTGGCCATGGCGCTTTATCATAGTCCAGACTCCGGCAGTTTCGTTTGTTGCTGGCAATCTTGCCTTGCCATCAAGTTGTGAATGGCGTCAAATTGATGGTATGCTGTTGCACTCGTGCACTGTTGCGAGAGGCCCGTGCATCCGTCGCAGCTTCGGCAGCTTCTCGCCAGGTTTCCCGAGTTCAAGTTCACAGTCTACTTCTTGGAACGCCCAAGAGAAGGGCAGACTGTTCCAGCATGCAGCATGGAGAAGACCACCATAGAGAACGAGAAGTATCTTTGGACCATGTCAGGCCGAAGCGCTGAACATGTGCCTTTCGCTGGGGTTGGTGCTAAGAGGGTTTTCGGCTTGGCTGGTGTGCATCCTGTGCAGGATCCACTTTGGAGCTGACGCACAACCACGGTGAAGAGATGAACGACAACTTCAAGGTTTGGAATGGAAATGTAGGCCGGGAGTGTCCGAAAAAGCTTCGTTGATGAATCATACTTACGCAGCAACGCCATGCTCAGGATTGAATCTCCTTCAGCCAACCAGTGTATCCTTCAGATACCCCGTGGTTCTTGAGTTTCTAGATTGCTTGCTCTTTCGTACCAGGATGGCCTGCTGCCATGTTCATTCCGTGTGTTGCAGCACTGGCCAAGCATTCCTGACATAGCTGAGGTATACGTAGCCACTGAAGCCCCCAAAAAGGTGGCAAGCCTTTCCCATTTCCGGGCTGAGTGGCCCTTAACGACCGAGATCCACTCTGCATGGGCAGGACGCGACGGAGAAGGTGCAAACTATGCTGATGAGCCTGCAACCCGGCCGGACGGCTCGTCAGCCAGCCTGGTAGAGAGTCCGCAAAATGACGGGGGATGTAAACCCTTCAACCAGACAGCCGAGGCAGCGCGTGGGTTCGGGCATGTCGCCTTCAACTGCGACGATGTGCAACGTGGACTTGCGACAGCTGGGGCAGCGGCAGTAGCAGCAGAGGTAGGAGGAGGAGGAGGAGGAGGAGGAGGAGGAGGAGGAGGAGGAGGAGGAGTAGTAATAGTAGTTGTAGTAGTCGTAGTAGTCGTCGTCGTGACGGTGGTGACGGCGATGGTGGTTGTGGCAGTACTGGCAGTTGTAGCACTGATAGTAGTCCTTGTACTAGTACTAGCAGTGGTAGTAGCATGATAAGTAGGAGAGCCCGTAAAACGTTGACAACGACGAGGACGACGACGGTATCCACCATATCCGCTGCAATATCACTAATTACCATAACAGCCATCGACACTTTCACACCACATCACACCACCGCGACGCTACACACAAACACACACACACACACACACACACACACACACAAGCTGCCACGGCCATGAAGTAACCACCGTAACTGCATGATCAGCGTCACTGCCGCAGCTGCCGCATTCCTCGCGGCCACAGCCAACAGCGTCCACTGCTTCTGCGACTATGATTGATATCACATGCTCTGACTGTCCAGGGTAATTCCGATAATGATGTCATGGCTGGGTTTTGTCTAAGCCGGGGGCATTGCCATAACAAGTCTTCAGCCATCTTACCGGATCTGTTGCCGTCTTCAAGCCAAGGTACGAAGCCTGCGAGCGTTTGGAGAAGAACGGTGTGTGGCTTGGCATCGCTTCCCGTGCCCGAAACACAAAAGTAGCCTCGCCTTGTAGTGGAGGCAACTGTCGTCAGTACCAGCACTTGGTGCTCTGTACCACCGCAGCATAGCAGGCAGTGATCGAAAGGTCTGGAGTAGCCCGCTTGAAGCATCGGTCCAGGAGTCTTAGTTGGAGATGCCCTATCCAGCCTCAGATAACTTTCATAAAAAATACAAGACTTGGAGTTGCTCGGCCAGGAAGTTTCAGAAGAAGCCGGACGAAGGTCGAATGAAGGGCTTGGCCTTTGCGTTGGATCCTGATGGATACTGGATTGAGATCGCGCCTTGAAATAACTATCTGGCCTCATTAAGTCGTGAGCCCATGAGACTTCCAACACGGCGAGAGGCCGCCTCCAACTGACAGGTTAGGCGCGAGAAGTTGGGATGGAAAGAGTACTACAACCTCTCTCAGACAATGCTTCGCGTGCGGCTTTCCTTGCAGTCGGTGCCTTCTCTTACATCTACTTGAGTGCTTGCAAGTGATTCTCAGGAAGGATGGCCCTGCCAGCGTAGAGTTTTACACCAAGCACTTGGGAATGACGCTGCTGCGAAAAGTCGATTTTCCACAATACAAATTTTCATTGCACCAAGGCTGAAACAGAGAAGAGGAAATTGTATGGTTTCGTGCTGCATAATGGAATAGGGACTGCACAGGATGGCACGTCCCTACTGTAGACAAGTGCACCGTGCAGTATTGTTGCCTCCATCCAGCGTAAAAGTTGTTAGGGCAGTTTCTGTCGAGGGTAAATTTGTTTGCAATCGCAGTCTTGTTAGATGACAGGGTCTGTCAGTGTGACTTGGTCTGAGATACTTCCTGGCATCGCTCACGCCGGCAGAGCTTGCAGAATGCCTGCCGCTTGATCCTGAAAACAAGCACGCCGGCGGCTTGAATCCGGAGGTTCCGAACGCTCTGACGAAGATCGCTTGGAGCCTTGGCACTTCGAACAGCTCTCTGACCGTGGCTGTGGCTTCCACGCTTTGACACTTTTTGTTGGTGCCGTTCTCTTCGTAGTGTCAGCTGGATGAGGAACCAGTGCCTCGAGCTCACTTGGAATCACGGCACCGAGAAAGACCCCGATTTCAAGGCACATCTTCAGCTGGGAAGCTTTGGCCACCGGCACACAATCAGTTCGGATGGCGCTGTTGTGAGGTTCACGATGGCAATTCTGAGCCCAAGGGGTTTGGCCACATCGGCTTCATCGTGGACAACTTACAGGCATATTTGCACAATGGATAGGATTCTACCGCGCATGTTCAAGGCTTGCTTTTGCAAGCTGCTAGCATTCGACAGAAAGGCGAAATGCACCAGAGGGAAGCCAAAGACATGTTAGACTGCCAGAGCGTTTTGAACTGCAGGGGGCTTCGTGGGCGGCTCGTTTCGGAAAACTCAGCTAGTTTGTTGTTGAACTAGCGCGGGACGCCATCTCCGATGTTGAGCTCGGGAGTTCCTTTTCTTCAGGATAATGATGGGGGTTTCCGAAAATAGGGGACCCTGATATAGTACCCTATAAATAGTAGGATCCTTATTATAAGGACCCTAAAATAAGGTACCCCTAATTTTCGGAATCTCCCATATGAGCGACTCTGTGACCTCATCAGTGCCAGGAGTCCTGCGACAGCATGGAAGCTCAAGGCGTCCTCTTCAAGAAAAGACCACAGGAGGGCAAGATGCGAGGTTTGGCTTTTGCCCTCGACCCAAACGGCTATTGGGTGGAGCTCGTCGACCGAAAAGCCTCGTTCGCCGGCATTTGCTCGAACTACTAGATAGTATAGTTATACTAGGAACCCCAAGATAGTCTAGCAATAGATAAGTGTTATTCTATTTGGCCTACGCCGGGGCCCGGCAGCTTTTAGCTGGATCCGGGCCTGGCGCTTTAATGCCCTCCGTCATGGGCCAGATCTTGTCGCTTGCAGTGTACATGCACGACACCCGGAGCCAGAGCAAATACCGTTCATTGTTATAGCTGGAATGACAGCTTCGAAAGCCCTGGAGGTTTCACCATCGTTTTTCCTTAAGTGACAAGTGACCATTGATTGCGCTTTGCAAAAAGGCAAGTCCGCCTTCGACCTTTGACCGGGAACTTGAGTACACGAAGTCATGTACACGGCACGTCTGAAAATGCCATGCAGGGCTCATGCACGAGTACCTGCAGTTGTGCATACATCTGCTACAAGCATGTACAATTAAGTAGCACATAGTATGCATGTGCATGTCTATGCAAGTGCAGGTTCTCTACCTACCTACAAACGTACATACATACATGCACGGGCTCGCCCACCTATGTATGTGCTTCACAACAAACATACATATATACATGCACTCGTACATACTAACATACGTACATACATACACACATGCTTACATGTATATATACATATAGAATATAGATGTAGGCACATACACACACACACACAGACGCCAGCGCGCACACATACACACCCACACTGGACCCACACAGACGTAGCAGCAGAGAGACCTGTTGCAACAGCCTACCTTGGAGGCTTCTTGTGTAGGTGCAGGCATGCTAGTTACATACATGTGCCTGCATTAATGAGTGCTCAGGGGCTGCTTCTCTGCGTGTCAATGCAAATTACGGGTCTCAAGGTTTTTCCAGACTTTGCACCCAGTCTCAGTCGGAGACACCTTCCTGTAGGATCCCTATGTCGCTGCTGCTGGAGGAGGCGGAGCGCCGATTTGAGGCGACCTACTGTGGTGACAAGTGGGAGTTTCCGAAAATTAGGGGTACCTTACCTTGGGGCCCTTATAATCGGGATCCTACTATTTAGGGAATTTTCGGAAACTCCCAAGTGCTTCGCAAAGAATCCCAAACCCAAAGAATGGCGGAGGCCCGGCTCGCTCTGGCGCAGAGAGAGGCGGAGGCTCAGCTCAGGCAGATCCAGGCAAAGGCGCGAGCAACGTGTTAAGCATTAGCATCTGGTTTTGGGCTTCGGGCTTGTAGTGCCTTGCAGTCCCCTAGGGTTCGGCTTGCCTTGTCCCTCTTTGAGAGATGTTTGGAGGCCAACGTGGCGGAGATCGAGCTGCGTGTGCAGACTGAGCGAGCGCTTCTTGGCGGCTTTGAGGAGCTGTCACGGTGGCTTCACTTCGACCTTCATTGTGAATCCTTGCGTGTTATTGGCTTGTACTACACGAGTCGTGTCATGATGTCTGTCATACCAACTACGGACTATCGGTGCTCTTGCATTTTACTGTTATAGACATGCTACAATTCCATGTTCGATGCCGCTTTGGTCCTAGGCTGGCCCACGCCAGACTCCAGGTGGACGAAGCTGAGAGGCACGTGGGAGGAGAACAGGTGGAGTTCTCCGGATTGTTCGTGGATTCGGGGTCGAGGCAGCGTTGGGGAGTTTCTTGCGTGTGGCAGGGCTGCAAGCTAGCCATACGAACTCAGACCACAGTCTCACGAGACTGAATAGCGGCAAGAATAGCTCTGAACTCAGACGAGGTTTCCCTAAACCCTGCTCGTGGCTGCACTCCTCGGGCATAAAAACCGCAGCACATGGCGTCATGCTCTGCATCAGCCATTCGACTCTCACACCTTGGACGTCGCCAGGCGCGAGCAGGAAGCATGCGCGGAGGCACAGGCGGCCGAGGCCATTCGAGCTTGATGTCAGAGTCGCGGAACCCTCGCGGAACCTGGGACTCAAGTCTTGCAAACAACGAGACTAAAAAACTAAACTAGATTCTTAGGCGGATACACCCAAAGATCTCCGGAGCTTCGACTGGCCCCCCACATGTTCACATGCAAAATGTACAGGCGCGCGCGGATGCTTCGCGACGCCAAGCCGAGGCTTGGAATGTAACACGTCCGACCACATCGGAAAGGTGCGAAGGTGAACCATTCGACTGCAGTGGTTTCCTTTGTTGGCCACTGACAGTTTGACCGCTGATGCTTCGCAAGCAACCTCGCCATCCGACAAGACTCTCTTGTAATTGATTTTGTTGTAAGGACCGCAATGAAGACCCATCCACGACATGTGAGAAGCAGTTTCAGTACGGCTTGACTTTCAGCTGCTAATCTCATCTGGCAAGATTGTCCAGGCCGAGCGTCGCCGTGCCGAGGAGATGATAGCGTGCGAGCGTCAGGCCAAAGAGGCCCGGGGATGAAACCCCAGGTTCACAAGATTCAAGATTCAAGAGGATCCTTGCAGAAGCTGTCGATCCCGTTGAGGTGGCATTGCAGGACATGGCAGAGCGCATGGATCGTCTCCAACAGGATTCAGACCGGCGCTGCCGGGCAATGCAAGAAGCCGTCGACCGTGCAAAGGCACCACCACTCGAGCTCGTGCACAAGCCTTCCCCCTCATACTCTAGATTCAGAGATAGTGTTGGTTAAAACATGCAGCTGCGCATCCCAAGTCCAGCCTTCATGTGCCCAGCAAAGCGAAGGCAGAGGCCAGCCTCGCTGTGGCAGAGTGTCAGCGACTAACAGCTGGTGCACAGGATCGTGCGGAGCGCAACTCGTGCTTAAACCGATGATAGAAACCCTCGGCCGCATCGAAGTGAAGCATTTGAAACCATGCAATCGAAAATGCTTGAGATAATTAGTTGGTGGTGCTCCCGCAAGACCGGCATTCCTCGAATAATTAATCAGCATCCAATGAGTTCCGGACATCGCAATGACCTGCAGGCAGTGTTGGCGCAGAGATCTGCAGCCAGCAGCCAAAATATCTAACCTATCAAGCTGGAACTCCAAGTGCTATCGGAGTGTGTCTTCGAAGCAGGTATCGTGAATATCGGGTCGCTGCATGCAATATCGCATCCGAGGCATCGCCAAAAAGTCGCAAGCAGAGGCTGACGACAAAACTCATGTGGCTGGCTGCAGCTGAAAGATGTTCAAGCTGCCATTTCTGTTGTAGCAAGCCTGCAGAAGCCCAGTTGAGCCGATTGGTTCAAGCCGAGGCGGCCCGTGCCCAGAGTGCTGCGCAGACGGCACAGGCTCAGCGACTGCTGGCCCAGTGCCAGGCCGAGGCGCAGGAGAGGACCCAGTGGGCTTTGGCGCGTGCCGAAGCGGCGAGGGCGCCGCTTGTCAGAAGAGAATACATTCAGGTGGTCCGGTCGCTTTGTGGCTCTTGTGTTGTAGTATACAGTTACAGTCATAACCAGTGGCGAATCAGGCTTTGCAGCAGCGCAACATATCAAATGACCAGGCCTGCGTCACGGGAGCTTCCTGATGCACCGGCCATACCAGAGACAGCGTGACTCGCCAGTCCTCCCGTGTCAGTGGTCAGAATCTGCCATAGATTCCTGTCACGCGACAGCAAAGCTTGAAAGCTTCGGGATGTTGAGCTGCCGGCAAGTCGGCACATAAATGCAGGGACGAAACCAGTCCGTGCCATCTAGCTGGTCCGTGGTCGCCTAGAGACCCAACAAAGTTGGTCTGGAAGACCTCGCGCCCTTCAGGCGGAGACAAACCCGGAAAGCTGTGTTGCACACGCTGCTGTTAAATGCTGTAGATGCACGACATAGCGCATGGGTGTCTGAGTGTTGGCCAAGTAGCTCTGCCGCCAGTGACTGTCATGCCTGGATCAGAAGCTGCTGCGTGTCGAAGACCTGGGACCGGGCAATGCACATCCCAGCTCGTGAATCCGAACTTACCCTCGTCGATGGTTAGCTCCCGTATGTCGAGCAACCCAAACTCCGCCAGGCATCGGAGAGCCAGTTGTTGAAGAAGCTGACCAACAGGACTGCAGCAAGTGTTCCATGGAGCCCTGTCGATGTGCGAGATCCCGGACTCATCACTGCAGAGCTGCCAACATGTCGTATATTCCTCAAAATCCTGCCGCAAGAATGAAAACTTGCGGGAGCGAATCTGCAAGCAGAGCGAAGGATTTCGGACTTCGAGTCGCAGGTGGCTTCGCAGATCCAGGCCACCCGTCTTTCACAGCATGACCAGTTGTAATTGTGTAAGACAGTTCCAGGGTTCCATGTCCTGCCACAGAGTCCGAGACTGTATCTGATGACTCTAAACCCTGACCGCTCGTCCTAGCTACTGTAGGCCGAAGGAAAAATTTGAAACTCAGCCTATTCAGTCGGCATAAAGGTGTCAACCAAAGAGCAAACCGCAGCAAACCTGCTACAAGTGCTACGGGCACGTCCCTGCTAAGTAGGACGCAAAAAAACACCATGCTGCATGCAAGTGTGCGAGTCGGAGCCCCAAAAAGAACCTCCCATGGCAGACCTTGACGCAAGACGTGGACAAGAAGGTGTCCTTTTTGGGCTCCCGCAGGCCAGGATGCCACTTCTTGCACATTGCACGTATCGTATTCTATCATATTCGCGCTTGTTACCTAATGTTATACCATTTGTATACGACTATATGCTATAGTATCTTTTATCAGGAGCTCATATAGTCAAGGATAGGTCAGCGAGGGAACTACTGGTGAATGGAAGCCCGGAGCCCATGGGGAAGTGATGGGAGATCTCAAGCGCGCTTTCCGACACGTGTCCCACATGATTTGCATTTGCGGTTTGCACAAGGCTCATGGAAACGACGAGCATTTGCATGGTACTCGAAAGGGAAGCCGTGATCAACTGCCCTGCTGCGAGGCCTGGGGGCGAGGAGGTCCCGGGCGTGGAAAGCCTCGCCCGTGATGTAGATGCCGGGAACAAAGACTATCTTAGTGAGTCGCACCTCTTGGTATAAAAGCCATACGGGCCATACTGACCGCCCATTGCCAGTAGACTGTGACTGCCCAGGCGGTGAAGTACGATGTTGGCGAGTTGAAGGCCGCATGCACTTAGCAGCGACTACGAATAACATCCTCGAGCCCGTCATGATTTGTGGAACACGTGCACTTGGTCATCGCAGGACCTGCTAAATGGTGCCAAGAACGACACCGACCATGTGAAACGAATAGTCCTCGCTTGCGAGAGAGACATGGAGGACGGGACTGCGACATGATTTGTAAGCAGTTTGGTTGCGTGCAGCCTTCATGTCTCATCGCTTGAGGATTTTACAGCTGCGATGGATGCTGTGAATGTCGACTTGGATGAGATGCGTGCTAGAGCCGCTCTTCTGCAAGCGCTGCTGTCTACCCTTCTACAAGCAGTGGTTCTGCGTGGACAGGGCTCGGAAAGACGTTAAGCCTCGTGGCTTGACCCTTTGCATGCAACGGCAGGGAAGGAGGGTGAGGGAGAGAGCGAGAGGGGCTGACCGAGCCCCGAGCAAAGCAAAGCAAGAGCGAGGGGCAGATCTATCCTCAAGTCCAGGCTTGATGCTTCTGCTGCGGCAAAGACACAGGAACCGACAAATAACGCCTTGAGGTTGACTCTACCCACTCCATCATCACCTCTCGTCAGCGGGTGGAGGACGGCGGCATCATAGCTAAGCTGCGCGGTCGTGCAGTAGGGTACCGGGTACCTGCCTTGCTGCTGCACTGCCATCGACGGCCACAGACTAGAACCGTGCAGTGCGGGGCTGTCTTCCAGGCTACAGTCACAGCTGAGATCTCGACCATGCGCTTGGACATGGGAGACATGCAGGAGGACGGCCCCATGGAATCGAGCTTTGCAATATCTCCTGTGCTGCGAAGTTGCTGGTTGATAAGTGGTTCGCCCTTCTTCGACGAGGCATTGAAAGCGCACGACGCTTGGATGGAGGACGTCTCACAAAGTCTACAGGAGGCCGCCAGGAATGAATCGCTTTATGATTGACCCATGACGACACAGGGGCCTGAATCGGGATGGAAACGTGGAGCCATGGGGTTCGGCTCCATGAAGTGTTTGGAAATGCTTGCTGTGAGCTGTCTGACGCTGCTTCGTTTTAAATGAAATCTAGTGTAACCTGTGTCCAGTGACAGGCACACGAGCGCTGCCAGCAGATTGGCCTGGACATAAACGACGTCAATCAACAGATGCAGGCAGGCCGCTCGAGCTGACACTGGCTTCCACCGATTGATCATTATTCAATGCTTTGGTCATCTTTGATCGTTGTCCATATGACAGACTGTCAGAGTGCAAAGTGCGTAATAGCTCAACAATGTCTGACAGCAAGCATGTCGAGCACTCGCACATGTTGGAGGGCTTCTGGCATGTTTTGTGCATGCAGTGAAGGTGAAGCTGGATGCCAAGACGGACATAGTCAGCTGGAACGATATGATGCATGGCAGTGAATAGGCTTCCTGTGCGCGCAAGTTGTGGCTTATTTTCCTGTCGCCGGTCACTACCCGTTCCGCGTTCGCACTTACGTGGGAACAGGAGGCGGAGGGTCATTACCTCGTTCAGCGAATTTCAATAAAGCAGTAAGCCTTAGCGATTTTCCTGTTTGACCGGGGGACGCTTCAGCGAAGAACCCCACATGCCAAAACGATCACGGCCCGCATCTTTAACTTTCCAGATCACCCAGCCAACCCCACGCTCATGTCGATGCCCAGGCTTACCTGCCGGTGGTACGATGAGACAATGATAGAACATGATATTGTGGGAGATGCCTTGTGAGATTCGATTAGTATTTGCGGTTGTCTAGCAGTTTGGGCATGTTGCACTCCAACGAAAAACGGGCTGGGGCTGTTATGGTGGTGGATGGCGGTGGAACTGAATCGCTTCTCTTCCGCCTTGACGCAGCATATCAGGAACGATGACATTGATGCTTCCATCAGAACCGTGCCTGGCCCAGCTGCAACAACTGCCATGCTGAATTGGGACAACAGAGCTGAATGGCACTGCAACAGTTTCATGCCGGGTCAGGTCAGAGACATGGCCTCTTCGCTGCGCTTCGAGGCTTCGACCTTGGTTGTGGTGGCAATTTGCGGAGCAACGCCGTCATTGCGGATGCTTCGGTGCCTTCGTTCTGTTTCTGTCTGTCTCCGACGACTGCAGGTCGACAACAGACGGCGCAGAGTCGACGAGGAGTGGTGGAAATGCCGCGAGCCAGAAAATGCTTGAGGGCTCTCGATGAGTGTGGCACCAGCTCCATAGGACTACTACCGATGCTCGCACGTTTGAGCAACATTTCTCTCTCCCTCTCTCTCTGTCTCTCTCTCTCTCTGTCTCTCTCTCTCTCTCTCGCTCTCTCGCTCTCTCTCTTGACGCCGGCCCGGCTTTGGCTGGATGGCACTTGGCAGGAACTTGCGCGTTTGCGGTCCGAAATGACATCGATGGATGAGAGGGTGCCGGCCGCTGATTTATGACTGCGTGTGATCTTCTCTTTGTGGACCGCGCTTGTGTGCATACTGTAGGGGCCTCAGTGGCCTTAATAAATAGAACAAGCTTTTGGGGCCCATGATGCTATAATTACGTAGAATATGGAAGCCCCGCACTAGTATACAGCAGGTAATTGTTAAGGCCCCTATGGTGTTATAGTACATGCATCTCTCTGATTCGAGCACTAGTATTGATCAATCAGTCGCACGGCTGGTGACTCGAGTCGTGTGGATGAAAGAGAAGTGATGCCGATGCAGCAACAAGTCGACTATAGATAGCTCCGTGAAGCACTATCTTGGCCCTCCCAAGAACTGCAGCATCGGACATCGCAGCACGAACGATGCAGAAGCTGCCAGAAAAAGCTGATCGTATTGCCAGGTCATGGCCAAGACTGGTGACATTCAACGCAGCTTGGGCTTGTGAAAAGCATGCATGCAGGAAAGCCACAGCGCTTGCGGAACCACATCAGATTCGGACCTTTGTCAGATTTTCACATGCCGTGGAGGTGTGGATTTGTGCATTCGACGTGGGTAATGTAGGAGCCTGATTCAGAAACCCTGGGAATATAACCCCCAAAATCGGATTCGTAATAAAGGCCCATAGGTTTCCTACATTACTCTTGATGTGACCCCGAGGCCAAGCCGATGAAAAGCACGCCGCCGTGTCTGGTCGGCTGGAGGAGGGTGCGCAGCACCGGCGAGAGCTGGAGGCCACGGGCATGGGAAGCATCAGGGAAGGGCATCGGATGCCAGCTTTTACCAGCCACAGTAGTAGGGAGTTTCTGAAAATAGGGGACCCGCGCTGACAGACCCCTGAGTCCGCGAGAGAGAGAGAGAGAGAGAGAGAGAGAGGGCACCCTAATACTAAGATAGTATCCTAAACAGAAGGCTCCTCCTCTTTATAAGCACCCCCAAAATAATAAGCTACCCCTAATTGTCGGCAACTCCCAGTTCGAGCTTAAGCACTTCCCAGGCTACGCTGGGCCGTCATGCCGAAACGCACAACCTCATCCAGGGGCAGGTGCCAACTTGTGCTTCCCATGGATTGATCAGGCTTCCGAGGTCCTTCTTCCTTAAGCTCTACTCGTATCATCGGGACCCTCAGGGGGTAGGGGACGTTACTTCCATTGTCAAGTCCTTGTCATAGGTATTAAGGCCCGCTACCCCCTTCCCCCCTACCCCTCTAAGGGTCCTGATCGTACTTGAAAGCTATGGGGTCGAGCAAAGCTTCCGCCTCACATTTACAGCCACAGATGGTATCCTTGCGTTGCCAGATCAATGGTCAACGAGACGAGCTCGACACACGCTTGGGCTTCCTCGAGTCTTCCATGAAGAAGCAGGCTTGCTGGATCTCCTCGCGTGTGACATGTCTTGGGAGGGTTGACAAGCACCAAAAATCAAAAGGCAGGTCACGAATTGCCACCAGATGCACACACGGGACCAGCATGCTGATTCGTCCTGACCACCCTTCTTCCTAATCGAGCCGTCAGTCGTAGCAGTCCCGCTTGGTGGCGTGGCGGCCACGGCAACAGCAAAATGCCGACAGGGCGAGGAGCTCCAGAAGTCCGCGCATGATCGGATGGATGGCATGGAGCGGCATCAGTCGACGATCGCGAAGGAGCTTTCAGTGAAGCACCTCTGTGCCAACAGCACACTAAAGAAGTACCAGCTCGTGCGTCGCATTGTTGGCGGCATGGATACCTCCCTCAGCCAATGAGTCAGTAGGATACATTCCGCATCATTCCACACAAGTCTTTTCCGAATCTTGCGAACTGTCCGAGAAGAGGAAAGCGGAAAACATCTCAACGCACTGGACCTTCGCATGGCGGCGCTACAAGGTGCCAGTGGTGAGCCGGCCGCCTGGGCTTTCCTCCAATGTTTGAAGCTACATCAGGAACAAAGCGACTGTCCCAGGTCTAAGCGTGACATCAACAAGATCCGGGACGAGGTCAACAGTCTAACGGCCCGCGCCCCGAAGTCCCGTCATACAGCGTCCCCCAAGGTGCAAAACCCTCACGCGTCTGCAGCCTCCACTAAGGTCAAAAGTGCAGCACACGATGTGGATATTGCCAAGAACAGCGACGACTTGAGAAAGCTCGAACGCTGCGGGCTCGGATAAATCCAGAGTTCTCGGAGCACTCCGGCCCATCTTCTTGGACTCTCGAATCCGATGCAGTCGCTGGCCGGAGACCTGTATTGTAGAGTTCGAAGATCGTCGGCCTTCGTACCGCTTCAGGCTTGAGGATATCCTGCATGTAGCGCATTTATGTAGGCTGTGTCGGCACCAGGGATAGGCTTCAAGGATTGACTTTTAATCGTCATCCGAACCAATCTGCAACATTTGTTGACTTGGACGATAAAATAGCAGAAGTCAGGACAAAAGGCAGAAGATGGCCAGCGGCAGAAGCAGGCCAGAGAAGCGAATTTGCTGCGATGCGAGGGAGCATTGAGCATGTCAGTTGAAAACATTGAATTAATCATTTGCATTTGCAGCCGTAAGCTCTATACCTGCTTCGATCAGCAATCACCAGGCCCTACGGCTTCCACCTGTAAACTCTTCTCAACTTGGCTTAGCCGGAGGCATGAGCATCCGGGGTTCACTAACCGTCTCTTTTCCGCGAAAGAGTTGCTGCAGAGGAGTTCGATGCAATCTACGATGAGCTTGACCAGATGCTCGGTTGCATGTTCCGAGATGTTCCGAGGTCTCCTGGAACTGTCCATGTGGAAGGGTTTCCTTCCCGCAGCTTCATTGTGGCTTACAGCAGCTAGTTGTGCTGCTTTTGTGGGGGCAGCCATGACCGCGATGCGTTATAGAGCCAGAGACGACGGGCAGATCGGCGACAGCGCCACATGCCTTGTTTCGGCAACTGTCGGCTGCTCTATCTTAGTGTGCAGGTGTGCTTTCAAGAGAGCTGCCAAATAGGGGCCGGAGTCGGTATCCTAATAATGCAGTACTTGTGGTGGAGCTTTAGGGTTATAATTGGGGTAACTCCATTGGGGGTACTTATAGCTCTACTTATAACCTACTTACTAAGTCCCCTGCCCCTCCAAGCAGGATGTCCATCTACACAGTCGAACATCTCAGGCCTCGCTCTCGGTCTCGAAAAATCCAGCGCGGCTCTTATCAAAGATAACCTTCACAGAGACGGACCATTTGAAGAATGCGCTGGATGCCATCAAAAGTCGTACCTTGTCAGCATGCTAGAGCAACAGGCCTTCACTGACCCGATGCCGACACACAAACGGTGCTCGAACTCCTCCCAAACCTGATTTTTGAGGTCGGTATACTCGTGCTTACACGAAGAAGCCTTGGCTGGATGAAGATGGCAACAAGGTCTGGAGCAATCTTCGTGTGGCCTGGCTTTCTGAGCTCAGTTTTCTGAGTTCCGCCAGTGCTTCGCCCATCCAAGGTCATGGTGGCGCAGACCGTGTTTTCTCAATACTTTGAGACTTTCATGGGCCTGATTATCATCTTTAACATCTGCCTCATCGTCTACGAGGCGCGAGGTCATTATAGGAAATCTCAGGGCATGGCGTGGTCGTGCACTTCTTAATAGGGTAACTACTTGCTTCGTGCCGCGTGCACTAGTGCAAAATTGGCTTGTCTGCTTGACTCCACATTTTGCTACAGAGTCTTTTGCTCGCCAGCACGAGGCCAATCAAGATGCGCAGTGCCACCCAGAGTACACACACAATTGGTCCGAGTGTCCTTTTCGTGGCGAGTTGATTCCTCTGCTCGGTATTGGAAACTACGTTCTCCTGGTGCTTTACTCTATCGAGAGTTGTGCCAGGGCATTTGCCGAACGAGAGCGGTTTCTTTGCAATGTGTGGAATGTCATAGACCTGGTGACGGTTCTCCTCGGATGGATGAGCTTGCTTCTGCAGAACATCATCAACCCGAATCTGTTAAGGCTTTCGCGCCTCGTGCGCGTCCTGCGGGCTGCCCGAGTCTTTATTTCGATCCCAGAGTTCTATTTGCTGGTCTCTGGGCTTTACTCCTCTTTCAAGGCCATTCTCTTTGGATCCTTCATGCTGCTGTCAACTATTGTAGTCTGGGCCATCATTGCAGTGGAAGTCCTACATCCCATGACGGCCAAACTGACCTTCGTCAGCGAGTTCTGCCAGGGCCGTGAGTGCCAGCTCCGGTTCCGCAGTGTTTATTCTGCAGGCCCACGGCGAGATTTCGGGTTCACGACCTAAAGACGTGTGCCCCCTGAGACTGCCCCCATCTCAAACATCACAGACGCCACTAAAGCCATGGCCGAATCCGATAACATGACTGTGACTTGAGTACGAAGGGAGATGAAGAATAGTTATTCCCCCCGAGTTGTTGCCCCGGTGAGGTCTGACATTGTTTCAGCAGGTTGTGGCCGGAGATTCGTGGGGCGAGACCCTTGACTGCACTGCAGGTTTTACCGGGCAAATGCACACGGAAGTATCAACTAGACGAGCAACACCACTTCGAACAGCATGCGGTGTCCATTCCATTCCTGCTAATCGAGAGGCTACCAATCCATCTGTTTTGACATCATTGAAATTCTAAAGGCCACTGTTCATCGAGGAGCAGCATTGCGAGACTGACCCAAGTAGAATAGAAAGGATGCATGAGGAAGGCGAAGAAGAGGTGCAACGACAACTTCTTGGCTGTCCCATGGTCTCACGATGCAGGCTTGAGTAAGCCGAAGAGAGAGGTAACGCCCTTGCCCTCAAGCCCACGGAAACAACAGTATCAAAAGCAAGTGATACAAATAGAAATCAAGTAGCTCAGTTGGACGACTTGATTAAGTAGTCAGCCTTATGTGCACACTGTTTGAGACATAGATGGCAGTTCGCGAGAGAGGTGACTGACCAAGACCTGCAGTTTGAAATCATCCCCAAATTTTTTGCCTAGCTGTCCAAGACCACCATCACGTCTTCCGTATCGTCCTTGATCTTGTCTTTGTCAGGATCTCTATTCCTCTGCTCGAAGAGCATCCAGAGACTTCGCTCGTCCTCTTCCCGATCATGGTTTCGATCTCGCTTGGGGTGATGAACCTCATTCTGGCGGCGCCCAGGCAGATTTTCGAGTCCTTCGGAGTCGCGGGTCCCACCGTGCATCCCGCAAAGGGCTTCAGCTGGGACGTACGCGGTAGACTGCCACAGGTAGATGTTCAGCGAAATCGGTCTGGTGTGTATCTGTTGAAGTCTAGGAGCTGAAAGAGGGCCCCTTGAAGTAAGGTGATTGTGGAGCGTGCCACAGAAGCCCGGGAGAACGACCAGGATAGGAAGCTCAAGAAAAAGGACCAGGAGCGATCGAAAAATATGATTGAGTTCGCGTTGCTTTGCGACTGGTCGCTTATGTCAGTCATGCTTTCGGGTTCCAACCTGCGAAAACATTGGATGTGTTTTCGTGCAAACGGTACATCAGACATTATCAAAACTCATGTGCTAAGCAGCGTAGTCAATGGGGTTCACTGAAGGTAACGACATGGATGCGGATGAAAGCGGATCCCTATCGCTGGACGAGATGCTGAAGGGTTACGACAACATCGAAGCATTCAGCAGGCTTATGCAGATTATGGATATACGGCGCGAGGATATGGAGACTATTTTCCATGTGCTGGATTCCGATCTCTCTGGGGAGGTGTCATACTTCGAGTTTTGTCAGCACCTCTCTGGTTTCTTCGAGCGTGACCCTACGATCATGCAGTCCCTGATCAAGTGCTTTGGCATTTCATCCGAGGCTGCCAGATGTAAGGTTAAAGTATGTCAGTCTCGTTCGTGTGTTGATGTTTTTGCCAGTACTGCTGCGCTGGGCCCAGAAGAATGATTGTGCCGAAATGGTAAGGTACTCTGTCATGGAACTCCGGAAAGTGATAAACAGCGACGTAGTAGAGGCGCTTCGGCGCCAGACGGATATGCTGCATCATCAAACTCGGCTGCTGGAAGTGATCATGCCATCCATCACAAAGATGCAGAATCCGGTGCCAAGCATGCCAACGCCCCCAACTGTGCCACCACAACCGGAGGAGCCTTGGACGCTGGAATTCTGGCGCTCCAGGCACCCGAAAACAGAAGGGAATTCGAAGGGCCCTATGGAGCCCTTGGGATCCATCCAGCAACAACTTCAGCCGCTGCTTGCCAGAGCTGAAGAGCTGGTCTTAGAAGCCCTGGAGCAGCGTGATGAGCAGATCTTGGGCCTCGCGGAGTCGCAAGCTCCAGAGAAACTCCCAGTCAAGGCCAGGCCGAAGAAAATGGAGAGGCCGACGAGCACAGATAGCCTGCAGAAGGAGCCGAGGGAGCTGGCAACTCTCTGCGAGAGCTTTCAGCACAGGCTGACTGAGATTGAGACGCTTGAAGAGCGGTGTAGGGATGTTGTTAGATATCTCAAGTCCGCCCAAGGTCACACCGCCGTAAGTAGCAAAGTTTCACACCTAGTCTCCGAAGAGTTTTAGCCGTTCAAGCCAGCGGAGGTGCGCAGACACGTGTTTTGCCTCAAACGGCCAGTTCATCACTGTCTGTAGCTCAAGGTCTAGCTGGTGCTCAGCAAGAAGGCCCGAAGCCTGCAGAATGTGAATCCCGGATATGTCATGCAACATGCTGTCGATTCTGGACTCGTCAAGGCATTGGGCCCGCGAGATTCCATCACGAGCTGTGCTGCGAAGCAGTGCACGTTTGATCTAGGAAGGACAACATGCGCTCAGCGCCAACAGAAAAGATCAGGTTCTAGCCACACTACAAGCGCGGAGATTTGTTTGGCAAACCGAAACGAGCAACTCCTCACGGTAGCTCTGGGCGCTTGTGTTGTATTGCTGGAGCCCTTGCATACCTTGGCACCAAGGAAAGTGGCTGAGAAGAGCTTCCAGCGCTTGGAGGTCATGGTGATGTGTCTGTTTGGCCATTACGCGACTGTCTTGTCTTTCATGTATACCTCTCAGCCAGCACACACACAAGCTAGGTTCGTACATGTCTTGGCAAACAGCGCCCTTCTAATTAAGCATCTGGTGGAATAAGGTAGTACCGTGGCGTCAGTTGTTTCTTCATTTGCACAGGAAATGATTCACCAGCCCCAGCCCCACGTACATACTGTATGCAATGTCTACAGCAGGACGATGCATCGAAGCTCACCCGTGGTGCTCTAGCCCCGGAGCGTCAGCTGCAAGTGCTCTTAGAGGAGGTGCAGACTGCCTTCGTGAGCAGTGCTTGGGACTTCTCGTGGCAGGTTTTGGCCCAAGACCCTGTCAAGTAAACATGGAGGCACAAGCACGAGCGAGAACAAGCAGGCAACATAATACAGCACTGTAAGTCCGGGTGCTGCAACATTTGCACAACATGGCTTCCACGAGTTGCGGCAAGCTCACCTAAATTTGGTAGAACTGCCGCAGCGTGGTTCGCTTCCTTCCCGGCCGGAGTCTTACCATCAGATTGCAGGTCTGATCGGCCTTGGGTGCTTCCACACTCACTGCGTTGCAGCCAGAGCCGTATGCAGCCGTCGTTTGGGTGTTCATCAGAGCCCCAGGTCCGGACGACAAGAAATGGGCCAGACAGCTGCGGTGCATTGCCGAACTGACTGTCGAGCACCGCCGCGCTGTGAGGCCATTGCCCAGGCCCGTTGCGCCTCTTATGCTGATGCACTGAGCTCTCGGGCATTTTTTGTGTATCCTAGTATTATAGCATCCTGTCCCAGAGTTGTTAAAACCTGTGCATCTTGCCTAAGCATGCCAAAGTAGAGCCGTCGTCGCTTCGCAAGATCGCCTTCTCGTCGCAAGGATTGCATACAGGACCTCAATCCGAGCCTCGCGCTGGCCTGAGCTGAAACGCTGAGTTCGGTCAGGAAGCTTCAGGTGATTCATCCATATCGCACTGATTTTCGGGAAGCCCGCGGCATGTGCTAGATGAGCTTTCAGATTCTTCAACCGAACTTTCCAGAAGGACAACTTGGAATTTGACCTGAGGCCGAGCCATCGCCGGAGAGCAAGCTGATTCGAGCAGCCAGGGATGGGAATTTGGAGGCACCGCCTGGCTGTGCTTGGCCTTAGCGCGGCGGTGCACTAGAATGCTCGAATGATATGGGCAGTTGAAGGCTTTGGCGATGCCATGGCTCCGCATCTTCGCTGTAGAACAGTGTAGCAAGATGTCAGCGAAGAGACCGGGACATCCATGGGCAATATCAGCGCAGCGTGCCCCGCAGCGAGTCTCTCAAGCATCTCGGAGGGTGTCTCTGTGCTTCATCTTGGTCCATCAGCGCAGGCTAGAAAAGTCATCGGTTGCAACATCAGACCCGGGCTTTCACAACTGCGCCACTCTGAAGATCAATTGTCGCACATGGCGGTGACGTTCCATGACAAGATGGCTGTCGGCATGAGTGCCCTGTCCGGACACACATTTCGCACGCGGGTCTAAATGTGTCAAAGGGGTTTCCATTCTGTGATCTGCTTGCTCTCACAGTTTCACACCATGTTGCAGGCATGAACTTGCAAACTCAAGGCGGGCCTACGACCATGAGTATGCCTTACCAAGCAAACATCTCCATCGAGAAGGAGAGCTTGGACTACCAGCTTCCGCTGTGGGTCGTCCCGCAGAGTTTGGGCAAGTCCCCCCCGGGCCTTGATCGCGACTCAGGGTCCGAGCATGCCTCGTTTTGGGACGAGAGCGATAACGAGGCCGCGTTCGAGCCATTCCTTTGTCTCCCGAGCTACATGCGGCAGGCCTTACAGCTGCCGGGTGACGAGGTTCGAGCGGGTCCGAATCCCAAGGTGAAGGAGCCTGGAACCTCACAATATCGGACGTCAACGGCCTGCTTCCCGCCGCAGGATTTCATCAATACCATCCCTTCACCGCCAGGGCTTGAACAACATTGCCCGAGGGCCTCGGCTAAGAACTGCTACGACTTCAAAGTCATCTTCGGGGGATACGACCAAGACAAGCACTCGGATTTCGAGCTGGTGCCACGTCTAATCGGAAAGCGTGGTTGCAATATGCTCCCTATCAAGAGACTTGGTGCTGATGTCCGAGTTTGCGGGAGGGGGAGCGGCTACCTGGAGATTCCGGCGCCGACTGGTGAGCTTCTAGAGAGGGATGAAGCGCTGCAAGTGGCCGTGTCTTGCCGAACGTGTCTCGACTGCATCAGAAACGGCCTCACCATGTGTAGAGTTACTGGCCTGTTCTGTAACATGTCATGTGGATTCGGATGGAGGTCGGGGAGTCATGAGAAAAGCCGTAAACCTAAACCCTAAACCGCCAAAATATCTGCAGCAGGCTCGGAATTGTTAAACACAACGTGAGCCGTAAGTCAACTCTGCTGTGAGTGGAGAGTCATCAAGTGCTCGCCACGCCGAAGTGCCTAATTGGCTATGAAACCTTAGCTGCTTTCGACTGTCCAACCAAGATTCCCTGCAATGCAGGCTTCGTCCTTGCTAGGTAGGAGGGAAATTCCTCTTTTGGTGGTCAAAAACTGCTGATGATATACATCCTGCCTTACCTTAAGGACTCTCATCTATGGGAATTATGGCATATTCCTTCTTATGGGTAATGCAGGCGATGTATATATCATCAGCCGAAAGCTCAGGAAGGAGATGAAGGAAGCAGCGATGGAAGAGATCGCATCTCTTCTCAGCTCCCTGGGGTATCACTTCAAGCGGTTCTGCCGCACCTTGCCCCTGTGACCAGAGGTCTCTTCGGGTATTCTCCGAGTCTATAGGTACAGTTGGTGCGCATTGAGAACTGCAGTCTTGCACAAGGACGGGGATGATTGCCGATTGCCTATTTTGCATACAATATGTACGCATGCATGCAATGTTTGTATGCAGGTGGCATGATGTAGCGTAGTGGTTGAATGTAATACGATGTACAGCAATGTAACCAAATCTGAGGCGGCAATAGAAGGTAAGGTAAGGTACGGTTATGTAGGGTAAGATACTATATCGTACTGTAACATTACTAGATGTATTGTAATGCCTGTGATGCAATGTATGCCTGCAGAGATGGATGGATGAATGGACGGACAGATGGATGGAAGGGTGGAAGATGGATGGGTGCATAGAAGTCGGTCCTGATGTGTTTCTGTTTAATTCTGTTTACACGGTGCCTCGGAGTTGTAGACATATAGCAGCCTGCTGGAAAACTCGGCTGTCAATGCTAAACTATGACCACGGTACCGGGTCCTGATTCGACCTCCGCCCCAAAGAAGAACCTGGAGGGTGCGACAGTCGAAGACGGAACAGAAGCAGCAGACCCCGGCGGATTTGCGCATGCACCTTCCACACCGTGACAGTAACAGTACAGTGGGTTCAAAAACCGCCCCGATAGGCGTCAGTTGTCGTCGCACGGGGACCGGCTAAGAACGTAGCTGGTATTTATTCTGGAGAGCCCATGGTAGCATGGTAGTGTAACATGTAGTGACGTAGTTGTGCCCGATCCTAGCTCCTAGCATTGGTAGTACATAGTCAGGTATGCTTCATGTCGTTCGCTTATCTTTAGAATCGCATGTGGGTTCGTTCCCGCTCGTCCTGTTCTCCCTTCCATGCCCAGGCAAGAAGCAGCTCTACTATTCACAGCTGTACACCTTCGAGACAAAGGCGGGCCGGGAACAGCCGTCGAATTGCCGGTTCAAAAATGCTGGTAAACTGGGCAGAGCAGCGTGGGCAGAGTGTGGAAGAGGCCCTCTTTACAGACTTGGTCGGACTAGCGTTGTGATCTGCTGCACACTACTCTCCCCAGCGATGTCAACTGCTCATCCGTCACCCTCCCCTGCTTGAAATGATACGGAGCCTATAACTTATGACTTAGAACCCAGCAGCCAATTGTTGGAACGCCAAGTTGCCAGCTTGCCTTCTTCGATATTCGCTCACCAAGACGGCAGTTTTAAGCCAGTTGCCAACTTCATGACTCATGCCCCTCCAGGATATGCAGCCAAAGCAGCCTGTCAAGCGAGTCTTCGGGTACACAGGAGTCAAGGCCGCAGCTTCTTAGCACTAAAGCTTCCGCAACTCCCCGGTGCCCTTCGAGGGAACTAACTACTGTCTCTGGGAACTCCTCTAAGGCCTTGGCATGAGTCCGCAAGTGATGCCGTGCGCAGTGAGAAGCAGCTCGACGCGTCGAGGGTGTTCGGAGTTTTGATCTGTGGTTCGGAGGAAAGGGCCAGGTAGCAATCTTTGGGACTCGAAGCCGCGGGTTTTTCGATGGTTACACTGGTTCTACTCCTTACATCGACGCATCATGTACGATGCTCGGTGTCGAAGCCGGTGGGGTGGTGCAATGGTCGAAGCTGGGGGGCTCAGACACGCCCTTTTGCTCTACTGTCCACATGCGGTCGAAGCTTTGCAAATGTTTCTTCGAAGTCATCTTGTCGGGTCTCTTGGCGAAAAAAAGGCTCATTGCACACTGGCCTGCGACGTGTAACAAAGCCATAATTCAGAAAAAGACCTTTCAGCCGCTTTGCAGCCTGCGCCTCGTTTCGGAGATGAAGTTCTCAATGTATCTTTCTCACTTGCAAGTCCCTGGGTCCTTTGGGGCGAGAGGTTGCAGAGTGCTTCTGGTCCATCCCAGCTCTCTTTGCATGAGTCTTACAATTTGCAGCTTGCAGTCCCAGGAGGCCTCGAAAGCCCAAAAGCTTCGGCAGCTTCGTGAATAACATAACTGTATATACGCATATATATTAATATATATATATATATATATATATATATATACATACTGTATATTTATTATAGACAAAGATTATACTATACATACATATATATATATATATATATATATTATGTGTCTTCGGACGCCAACTCTCATTGATTTGAAGACGTTTCGCCAGCTTACGAAGCCTCCAGCTTGCATGTCGAGCTCAGTTGGCCATCGTTTCTTGACTCCTTGTAGTTCATGCAGGATCTACCTCGAGTGGCCGCCGGTTCCAGGGTTTGGCAGCTGTTTTTTTCTTGTTCTTGCACCCGATGGCCAGAGTGGCGCACGAAAGCCTCTTCTTATACTGCTGGCAGTGGGGTGGTTGTCAACATTATGGTCCCTTTTGGGGTACCCTAAATATTTGGTGCCGCACTATATTAGGGACCCAAACAGGGACCATAATTTTCACAACCACCCAGTGGTAGATGGCCTTTTTGGCGTTTCTGAGACATCCGTGAAGCCACGGCATGGGGCGACGCGTCGCGCGCGCGCCGCTGGTGCCAGTAAGCCATCTTCCAACTGTTGCTGTCAACCAGCAGTTTCGTAGTTCTTCGAAGTCCTGCGCCACATGTTGGTACTCGGCTGTAGTTTGTAACTGTAATGGGACCACTCATTCTTGAAACGACCCTGCGGACAATTGTCCCCTTTGTGATAATCCTATGGCTTGAATGGTGCGCCTGGACTTCTGATATGATAGCATTAGCCATGCATCTGCCATGATTCTCTCGGCTCTCGGAGGAGGGGAAGCACGTTCGTTGTCTACTTGTCGTGCAGCCTGCAACTGGGCACAGCCTTTGCGATGGGCCAGGCCCCTCCAAAGCCCAGTAGCATGCTCGAAAGCATCAGGACAAGAGGCAGTAAGCGTGAAGAAGCAAAAGAAGCAGCATCGTAGACAGGGGTCAGAAGGTCTTTCCTTGGCCCTTGTGGATGCCCCTTTCTCGCATGGTGCAGTGTGTGCATTCAGCTGCACCGCTGGTTGCAGTATCTGCTGCATGTCTCAATTTCCTGCCATGGCCTACGTGGAATGATAGCAAAACAAGATTTGCACAGCAGGTCGTCACCCAACAGATCAAGATGGGAGCTGCCGCCCGTCCGAACTCTTTTGTCCAGCCCGAGTGCTGCACTCTGAGGCTGTAGACAGGTCACGGGTTAGGGATGGCTAGGCTTCCGGTATCCCTTCACAGCAACGGCCCCAGGATGTGCTAGGCTAGGAAGAATCGAGTCGCGCGACTCCTGACGGCCCCTGCCGTGATGTTACTTAGGACGTCAATTCTCGCCAGCCGCTGAAGCTCATTACCTTGGATAGATATCACTCGGGGCAGCCAATCCGCAACTGCGGCCTGACCGTGTTGAGCCTCAGCAGCAGCAAGATAGGCAGCTTCTTATGTAAGAGTGCGGAACAGCCTGAGAACACATGACACGAGGGGCTTGTCCAAGAGGCATTGTGCCGAGCCGCGGAGCGGAGCCATTGTACATGCATGCGCAGCTCAGGATGTATGCTGCCAAAACCGGGTCCCTCAAGGTTGTTACAACTTTGATCAACGCAAAGGCCCGAGTCAACGACACTGATGAGCGGGGAGTCTCTTGACTGCAAACCGTCCAAGACCTCCCCCCTCAGGTACTGGAGTGCTTCAGCCGTAAATATAATTAGACCAGCACAGAGAGACAGGATGAATCTGGATGCAGCAATGGGTGCGCGGAAGTTGGCACAGTGTTAGCGTAACACATGACATCTCTGGTGAATGAAAGTAGCGACAGAAGCATAGCTGAGACTGCGAGTAATCAATGACCCTTTATCTCACATGCTGAGCACATGCTTGTGTTTTCGAAAGATGTGGACTTGATTGAGTCCCAGCTGGACGGATGCCTTCAATATTCTGGAGTATATCGTTTTAGCTTCCTTTCGGTTGGTGTAGTACATTGTGGGCGACATTGGCTCCTTGATTGAAAACGCGCCAAATTCACCCGCATGTTGCTTCCTGTAAAAGTGGCCGCGTCTCCGATGACGGGCTGATGCGAAAGTGTTAGCCGTGCTTGTTCATTATGTAGCTATGTAGGCTGGCTCTGTGTTGCCTTTGATTTGAGTGAGAGTCTGTGGAGTTTTTATTTCAGCTGTCAAGCTCAGGCTGTTATCTCGTGTTTCGGTTCTGGAGCTCCAAGCATTGGCTTAGATGGAACGGATCTCAGGTATCGGCCTTGCATTTCGCAGCCGCTTCGGGTGATTTCCCGACTTTCCAGGCACCAAGTCAGATGTTGATGGCGAGCAGACCTCCGTTAGCAGGAGTTCGTAGAGCTGTGCCTGGCAGAAGCTTTCCTTCGGAGCAGGTCCTGTTGGATCACCATGCCTCGCCCTCGACCACGGAAGAAGGCCGAAGTGCGAAACTGCTTGGACAAACTGATCTTCCTTAACTGGGTCTGCCCGTGTGCAAGGAGACAGTGTCCTCGACTATCTGCCGCAGGAACAGTGTACGGATAGGTACGTGTTTAGACGACATCCCAAAGTGTGTATCAGCGATAACTCTTGTTTGAGGCCGACATGCTGCAAAGCCTGTCGTCTTTGCCAGTCGCAGACTGTAGAGATGATGCAGGGTCTAGAAGTAAAGCCGATAGTGCGTGTATGTCTCAATGCATTCCCTGCCAAGCAGCCCTCGAGTTTGTGTCAAGATCTTCAATCCGGGTCCCTGCCTGAGAGGACGTGAGAAGCGATTCGACACTTTTGCGCAAGTTTGTCCAGTCGATACCAGCTGGCGACGAGGACGGGGAGAACAGGAAGAAATTCTCAAAAGTTGAAGTTCCTCTGTGCAACCCTAAACCCACGAGATAGAGCATTTGGCAGCAGCATCTGGATGCGGACTACCAGGATGATTGTGACGTTGCGCACGAGGCGAAGAAGGGCAGACGTAACTTTGGATGGTATTAAGAGCTTGTCGGCGTCATTGCTCCTTTGGGTGCCAGACAGACCCGACGCCTGCCAGTCTAAGTGCCAAGACCCGAACAGAATGCGCACCTGAGACTAAGGTCCGAAGCATTGATTGCCTTTCATGGACTTATCCAAACCCGATGCATTGGCCATTACCTGTGTTTCACTCGCCAACTCCTCCGTTCTTTTCGCGCCGGAACATCTGGTGCTGTCGGTCAGGCAGCTGGACTGCATGGTTTTGGCAATTGAAAAGCGTAGGTCGAAGGAAGCGCATTGCATCCTTACAGGCGAACCTGCCTGCATAGCAATGGACTTCTCGGCAGCTCTTGAGCGCGAGATGCAGATACTGTTGTTGTATGCTGCAGCAAACTTTCGTTAGAAGTCATGTGTGTAGACTCTCGCCCCAAATCGTGCAAGCGCCGAATACGGCTACGGTTACTGGTAGAGCCAATCAGATGGGCAGTATGATGACAAGCAAGAGCTGCCAGCTTCATGTGAGCAGATGGTGATTATGTGATGCAGTACTTCGAACTGCAACTTAGCTCAAAACAGCGCTGAAACCCGCGGAAAGCATTTGGAAAAGTGCGTGCTCTGGCAGTGCAGGTCTGACCGTTTGATGCCATCAGGAATCAGACGTAAGTCATCTGAGTCCATAGAGTAGAGGCGCCAAGCTCAAACCGGTGGCAACTGGGCCTTTGTGCAACGCAAGTGCCGCCTCCTTGCAAGGTTGTAAAATTATGCCAAGTCGTGGGAGTGTTCCCTGGAGCGCGGATGAACGACGGCACTGAGGCAACTTGCATCAGTGCAGGTGGCTGTTCACGACGCTTTTCATACGGCACACTGGCGATTGGATCGTTTAAGGATGCCGGAATTCGACATTGTTCCGCCATACCTCGAGACCTGAGTTTGCTTGGATTGGCTGCTATCACTCCGTGGACCCTGTGTACCATAGTTCGATGCCGCTCCAACTCTCTCCTTGCTTTGGGTAGATTAGCCTCGAAATGCCTTGAAGCAGTTTCCCCGACTGTGCACCGACACGGAGGAGGAGCTTGATGTCGACGTTGAGATGTTGAACTGGGAGGACTGTGCTTCACCTGTGCGATGTGCTTGGATGAAGACAAGCATGGGGACTAGCTTGCGGGCCTGTTTTGAAGCTTTGTTGGACAAGACTTATAGAGATAGCGAAGCGACGGGAAACGGCTCAAGTGAGTTTCGCGTGTGGCATCTGCAGTCGACAACCTTTGATTCGCGAATTTCCGGGAATCCTTGCATAATTTTGTCAGGCACATGCTCCCCGCCCTGCTGTTCTGATACTTCCATTTTGCCCGATGTCGAACTCCGCCTGCTTTGGGCGAGTGGGTAGAGGTGGGTTTGAGTCTGTTCAATCCTGCCTGACCCACAAACCTTTCCTCCTTCCCCTTTGAGTGCTTTAGGTTTGTCCTCATGCCCTTTCCTGCGGATACTGGTGGCGTTCTTCGTCGTGTGGTGGGGCTCCATTTACGAGGATCGTGAGCCCAACCAGTATCTCTGTGGTTGTTGCTATACGGACCCCACAAACAAAGATTTCAACTCCAAGGCGCCCTTGCCTGCCGACCATGCAGGTCTGTGAGTCTACAAACATACGTTCTGAAAGTGATGCGCAACCTTCGCGTATACTGTATGTGAACGATCGTTCAGACTAGAGTGACTAGAGGGCTTACGATCTGAATGTCTGAGAAACCTCAGTCACCAGGATGGCGACCACGAAGAACCGGATCCGTGACACTTTGAACCCCAACGTGGCGAATCCCTTGTTAGGGTAGGCATGTAGGGTGACCCCGGCGTGGCGGGCTACGGGGTGTCAACTGGATGTCAATGTCACTTCATTACGCCCCCTGGGTTGATCTGGGTTGCCTGTGGATATGCGTAAGTGCTGAAGTGCAGAATCCGTGAAATTCAACTACACAGACCATGGAGCACAGAAGCTGCTTGCGCAATGAGAGGGGGACACTATAGAGGCCGTAGCACGGAGCGGCTGTCGAGGACTGCGCGCAGAACCTCACACTTCGAGTCGAGAAGACCTGGCGACAACTGTATTCGCAGAGTCTTGGTCTTGAAGGCAAGCACAAGTGATCTGTTCACAACCGAGTCGCCCATTCTTCCAGCATCACTTCCTCCCATCCCAAATGCTGCAGTTGCCGACGAACGCCTTCACAACGTAAAGTCGTAAAGTTTCGCCAAGGAAGTACCGGAGCATCCTCGACCTGGTGGGAAAGAAGGCTTGGCAAGATGGCTCAAATGCACTCTTCCATTAGTTTACTATAGTACTTTATGTCAAAAGTGTACTGCGCTGTACAGTATTTGTACTTCAACCGAGCAGATTGCAATTACTATGATATGAGATTGTGTAAGATAGTTGTGTATGATACCTCGAGTGTTTGGTGATGGTATGATGGGAGTGGGCCGAGGCTGCGTGGCTCTCAAAATCTCTCCCTGCCATCCCTGCCAGGCAGACCACTCTGTGCTTCGCTTGCTGCAAATCTCCCAACAGCACATCGAGAGCCAGCCTCTTCCTCGGTGATTCCTTGAGGATGGAGCCCTCTGAACTGTGCAACCCTCAGCTAAGCCGCGAGGACCATATTGTCTTCGTCAGAGGCTCGCATGTACATAGGTATCCCAAGACTTTCAGAGTTGGCGTCATGCTGGTTGTGTTCGATTCTGTTGGGGGTTGCTCGCTTTCTTTGCTGAAGGTCTTGTTTCTAGCGCTGCCTATGCTCCCTGCGCACATCGGGAGAATGTTGTTGGCCTTCACTTCCAAGGTGAGGAGATCAGCTTAGAGTTGTGCCCAAACTCAGCCGGTATACTAGACCAGTATGCTACACTATAGCATATGACATGCTAGACATGTTATACCCGCCATCTACACGCAAGGCTCGACCGCGTGCGCCATGAGAGAGAACTCCTCAAAGAGGCGGGCAAAGGGTTTAGGGCCAGTGTTTAGGGAAGTTTAGGGGTTCGACGAGGGTCTTTCGGTGCGAAGAACTGTTTCCGTGGGCTCGATGGTTTAGCGCGAAAGACGGACACGAACAGTTCAGGAAGATGGATCTCTGATGTGCCGTTCCGTCGCCACGTCCAAACTTGGTCGCAAAGCCATCGGTAATTATATGTAACTGTCGAACCACACAAGCGCACATCTCTACCACGAGGTGGTTGAGAGGAGAGCGCAGCAGCCCATGCCCTTCCCGATGCCCATGAAGGCGCGAGTTTCCAGACTTGCCGCGATCCTTACCTCGGAAGGAAATGAACCCTTGCGCACGGGGTATTTGCATGTCACGCACGGTTTGGCTTCACCGCTTGTATCTGATACTTCAGGACCCCAACACCGGCATAACCATGCCGCAAGGTCGCCAGGCAGCATAGTGGCGGCATCCCGACGAAGGTAGTTTCACATGGTGAGGTTGAGATGCTTGACTGGAGTGCTGTCAGGATTAACACCCATTATTTTCTTATTATTATCATTATTCTGCTTGTAGAATCCCAATTCCCGACAGCGTCTGATCTGCTTTTGACCCGAACCAAGGCTTGCCGGGCAAGCCAATATACTATATTATACTATTGTAAGATACCATAAACATACGATACTTTACTAAAGTATACACAAATAATCTGAAATATATCAAAGTATACTAACATAATCAAAACGAACCAAGGCTTGCCTGGACTACCCTTCAACCCTGCGGCAGCTGGCCCGGGCCCCTTTTCTTGGAGGAAATTCTGAGAACGCGAAACGCAAGAAGGGCGTAGGTTTCCTTTAAAGGGCTCCTATAAACGGATCTGTAAGGGTTCCTTTACAGGGATACTATAAGGGTATAAAGGCATCTATAAGACTATAAGGGTTCCTTTAAAGGGATCCTACGAGGGTTTTTTTTTAGGGATCTATAAGGGGTCCTTTGCTGTCTGGTGCTTAGAGGGAATGGGGGAATGGATCCCTATGATAGTCCTTTTAGGTCCCCTATATCCAATGGCCCATTCCCCCATTCCCTACTAAGAACCAGACAGGAAAGCACTGTGTCGGTTCCGCGGGCTTGAAACGCTGATTAAAGCCATCGCAGGCAGTCTTTGTGAACTGATTTTGGGTCGGGTTTGCAGAGCGAGGTGTTGAAGCTGGTAAACTCGTAAACATATTCGGCTCACTCAGGATTTGCTCACCCAATGGCCTTTCCTGGAATGGTGCCAGATGCCGCGGGCTTCAGCTCTTCTGTCACTATGACGGTGTTTTCCTCGTGTTGCGTCGCATCATCTGTTGTGTTGCTGTTTGTCTTCATGTGCGTGTGTGTAGTTGTGTCTGTGTGTTGTGCATGCCAGTTCGAGCGTCCGTTGACGAATTGAAAAAGTCTAGAGGGGCTCCTGAAGCCGATGTAGTTGCTTCGCGATATACGCTTAGTCTCACGTGTGCTTGCTTCACACGCCACCGAAGCATCTACGGTCATGGTTCTATTCGTGGAGACAGCTCCTGTGCGGGGCCATGGTTAAATTTCATCTTGGGGAGGATAGGGGGGGTTCACGCGGTTCCGGGGCAGTTAAGCTTTCTTCTTGATCCTTGCACAAGTTGGCGCGAGGTTTCTTACGAAAGGCTTCGCACCCTGGCCCCTGCTTCTGGTGTGAAGCCTTGGCGGAAGCGGGATCGTAAAACTTCCCAGAATTTTTGGTTGTTGGGAGTTGTCGCTCGGGGGTGCTTTCGGTAGCCTTGTCCTGGCTGCGCATTCACCCACCCACCCACCCACCCACCCACTGACCAGAATTGACCCACGCAGCGATTCGTGAAGCAGGGGTGAGCGGGAGGAACACATTTTCTGCATATTTCATCTGCTTCGAGGCATGGCAGGACCTCATGCTATGAGGTTAGAGTGGTCAGAGCCTCCAAGTTCTGTCCGATTCCCTTCTTAGATCGCAGACAATTTCAGACTTGGGCCTCAGATGTTGTTTGTGTTGTTAGATGCGGCCCGAAGCATGCAGCGATTGTACACGCTTCGCAGGACCAAGTAAGACCGCAGGCCGTGGCTTCACAAGTCATGCAGTACAGAACTTGAGCTGGAGCTGTATGGCTGTACGCTTCTTTCCCAGCTCGTGATGAAGGGCATTTCTCACGATCAATAAACCCAGGTCACCACCAAACCATGTGGAGCAGCGCGCAAGCTTATCTGGCAAGCTTCGCCTGTGATGGGCCCACGATGGCCAACGTACAAATTCGCGTTTGATGGTCGCGCATCAGGACATTGTCGGCAAATTGTCGTCCCCAACCACGAAGAAAAGGCACAACGCTGGCGTCTGATAGGGGACTGCTGCAGGAGCACAGCACACCACATAACAAATGCACCCCTCAACAAAACACATGTCTACATCGGCAAACACAAACAAACATCTCTCACACACACACACAGCATGGTCTCCCTGAGTAAAGTCTCAGTAAAGTTCTGCCGAAGGAAATCGTTGCAACACAGTCTTCCACTCGCGCTCGACATGCGTCAAGCCGACCTGACCCGACAGAATCTGTTTTGTACCGGTATTTCTTGCTCTCAATGCCAGTTGAAACGATCCCCCTCTGAGGCTATATAGGGGTGTTAGCTAGTCGCGCTCGCCGATGGAAGTGCTCGATCGAGCAGGGTCATAGCTCGGATCGTCGCATCCCCTAACATAGCACAGCGCGATCTCTTCTTGTCCAGGCCGGCACCGCACCAGGCGCAGAGGCTCCAAAGCCTCCAGCAAAGCGTATAGCGGGGCCCCGAGCAGCATGAAGCATGTTGAGTCGCCGCGCAGAGTTCCGTGGTCATGTCCGTGGACTGTGCCTGAGCTGGCATAGATCGACGACAGTGTGGCTGCAGAGTGGTCATGTTTGGTAGATAGGACATGTCAACTGAAGGCAGAATCGGCTCATGCCGATCCAGGAAGCAGGGCTACAGGTAGCTTTCGAGCTCGTTTGCACGATCCTGCCATGATTCTTTTCTGCTGCCAGCTGGGGGACAGCTCCAAGTATGAAGCCGGATCTATTCAAGTTGACAGATCCAGCCAGAGCCCGCGCGTGGACGGATATTGGTTCAATGCAGCTCCTGAGACTGAGGAGAGCATCTCCAATTCACCTGGACAGCTGCGCAATGCTGACTCAGCAACGGAAGGGGAGTTGGAAACTTCTGAGGCCCAAGCATCTGTGCCTCTGCCATCGGAGAGCACGGCGGATCGCGTGCAGCCCGCCGCAAGGAAAAGAGTGAAGCTGACGTTCCATCGGCCACACGGCTTGCCACACTCAGTCTACTTCCATTCAAGGCCCTTATGCCTTCGTTTCTCCGAGAAACCCCCTCTGACCGTGACAGATGTTGGCGTGGACTTTGCCGAAGGTGCCAGGGTCCATCGTGGGGAGATCCTAACGCACGTGAACGATGTGCAAGTGGCGGCAAACGTTTTGGATGCTGCAGCTGCGGTCCGAGCTGCAGTCAGCAAGCTGCCACAAAGGGAACGACAGAATGCAGCGGCTCGTGCTAAGAATGTAGCGCAGTTCGAGCCACGAGCCCGTTCAAGCCCACCATGGTCTCACGCAAAGCCTGCTGTCGCACAGCAGAACCTGGTGACACAGCGGGCAGGGCCCAGGATCACATGCATAGAAGCAAAGATGGCTGCAAACTTTGCTTGACCAACAACCCGGAGGGCATAATGCTTGCGATAAGCTGTCTTGCATGGGCTTTTTCCATCGAACATCGGTAGGTGTGAATCAGACTAGTCAGCTAAGCTGACTCCGAAGTCTTTGTAAATAGCTTGTTTCATAGTTTGAGGCTTCTGCATTCTCATGCATTTTTCTTCCATGCTGTCGTGAACGACTACAGTCTGGATTAAGTGTAAAGGCTGGTAATGCGCGAGACTCGTCTTGCAGACAAGAAGCGGTGATTGCAGGCAAATACAAGATCATCACCGTCAGGACCTAGAACCAAAGTAGTGGCGAAAGCGCACAGAGTTCCAATGGGCTGGAATTCCGCCATGTCCAGTTGCTGACCTGAAGAGACTAACACTATTGTCCCGAAGCCATGTATGCCTGTCAGCGCAAAGCAAGGTAGAGTGCTGTAGACAGGACAGGCGCTACACGAACACTAGTCAGAACAGTAGAACCAGCAAAGGGAGCTGAAAACAGTCTCCTAAACCCTAAACCCCGTCAAGCACCTCCTTCGATGGCGCGCCTCGCGGTCCTTGCACAGTGCGCAGCCTTCATCTTCTTTCTGAGCTTCAAGCCCTCGGAGCCTCACCTGTCGGCATATCTGCAGGACTGGCACTGCCTAGGACCTATCTAGGAGAGAGGCAAAGGGAACTAAGGGAACAGGCCCAGCAAGAAGATGCATAAGGCAAGCAATGTAGGAATCTCTCAGACTTGCCATTGTGCAGTGTTCGAGCCGCATCCAGCCCCCTCAAGGACGTGAAGCACCTCACGAAGCACGAGCGTGACGCAGAGGCCCCTTTAGGTTGACTTCGTCAGTGTTGTCGTTTCTCTTATCATGTCTCCGGTATGTGCGCTACTAGAGCCGCAGCCACTGCAACGGCTTTTATGGTCTTTTTGCTGCCATGACTCTCGCAATCGGAAGATGCCGCCCGTGCGTGTGGATTGGGTAAGCGCAACCACAACAAGCTCCAGCCCAAATTTAAGTGTATATCAGGCGCGACAGTGTATATCAGGCGCTTGTTGTAGAGTAACTTCTACCTATGGTGACATCATCAGAGGCCTGAGCAAGAACAGCACTTGTAATTTACGGGAGTATGATGGGCCACGGTTCCAGCCTACGTTGGGATCAGCCGTTAAATTTGGCATGCACAGGGTTGCCTGCGACCCCCCCTTCCCCGGCAAAGCGCGAGTCTTGATAAGACAGATCTTTCCTCGCCTCCACCGACAACAAACACCTCATTAGAAAGGTGCTGCTGACACGGCCTGCTCGATGCAACAAACCTGAGTTACCGCGAGACCGGAAGGGATGTCCGAATCGAGGAATACACCTTTGGGGAACTTAGGACGACAGACTGGTTTGGTATCGAGTCGCGCATGTTCTGCCCCACAACCAAGAAAAGACAGGCATCGCACATACCCCAACGCCTGCAGAAGTGCACTACTCGCAGCATCTCAACTTCGCGATTGCACCCCCCCTGCGTGTGTCTTGTTAGATGCAGATTTGGGGCTTTCAACCGGCCTCGGTCACCGTCGTTTTTCAGTTAATTAGTGCCTTGAATTTTTCTATCCTTCGCAGAGACGAGCCGAGCTGGAACAGCACAAAGTCGAGACAGAGCCTGGACGAGATCGCAGCCGTTTCTTTTTTGGTTGTGTCTCTGTGTAGCTGCTTGGATCTGTGTCGCAGAGAGCTCACAGCGGGAGGTCTATACAGTCTACACTTATGGATCGCTCATCGTCGTTTGCTTCTGTGCCGCTGGACGATGCACTTTACAGCCTTTTTGCAATGGTTCGTCAAGCATGTTTGGATGACCCCGGCAAGATGGGTTCCCGTACAAGCATTATTGTACAGGCGGCATGTTCGCTTATCTGAGGCGGCGGCGAAGCTGATAAGCCTAAGGAAGGCTACATCACGCTTCTCAGACAAGGCAGAGAGCCTCAAACCAGCTTTAATCAAGTATCGATCGGATTGATCCTTGTTTCCCTGCATTGCTTGATGCGGCATTGAGCATGGCCTGTTTGGCAGGCCCTTATCCTGCTGGGCTGCAGTGGTCGCCTTGCAACCCGATTCTTGCTTCTTTTCGGTTGCTTGACTTGCAAGTCGCTCGTGAAAATGAGCTTACTGCTGAACTCACCTTTCCTTAGGGGTACTTAGAAATAGTTTTTAATTTTTGGTTATTTTAATCCCTAGAAGACAGCTAAAATTGTAATTTTTGCTAGGGTTCTAAGTTCAGTATAGTTTCCCTAATGCAGCCGCTTCATCAGGAGACTCATTGTTCTCTATGCAGCTGATGCAGATGGCCTTTGCGGTGGGCCTGGTCGGGGAACTGGCATTCTATGCGTACTGCTTGAAAGTGCTCCCGGGAGAGAGCCAGCGACTGACAGCTGTTTGCCAAGCATCCTACTTGGTCTCGCACACACTTGCGGGTTTCTGCGGCGACTGGCTTCTACTGGCTACGAGCATAGGCTTGGTCGGCTTGTTTTGGATCTCAGCTCTTTCGGTTGTGCTTGCTTTGTTGATTGCCCTAACATTGCACGACGCTGAGCCGGACACGGGTGACGAGTTGCCGGAGGCTAGGGTGCTCCTGGTTTCTGCTTACAGAAGTCGGAACTTCTGGCTTTCCGCCCTATGGTGGACATGCAGTTATCCACTGTACCAAGTGGTTTACGGCTACGAATCGTCTCTATATGCTGATAATATTCGTGGCCCAGATGCCCGTCAGGGATTATCTTGCTGTTTGGTCATTTGCAGCAGCACCTCCCTTGGTTCGTGACAGCCCCCTTCCCTCCAAGGACCACAATGGCACAATCTTTGCCGTGGGGCTGCTCGCTGGTGCGGCATGCTCCTCCTTCCTGACCTGCCAAGAAGTTGACACTTCGCTACGCCCAGCGACATAGAACCTAGGACCCGATGCTCCGACCGGAGCATGGGGAGCACACTAATTAGATTTAAAAGCAAGGCAAGTGCTGCAGCACCGTAGTTGGTTGCTCTTTGCAGGAGTATGTAGACCTGTGCCAGTCTTACTGGAAATAATGAGGACCCGCGCCGGAGTATGTAAGGAGGGGATGTCGGATGTCCTGATATGTCGCTCGTGGCAGCGAAGCCTCCGCATCTGTGCAATTGAGGAAAGGATTTGCTCGCGCATCCCTCTCGTCACATTCTTGTTGCAGAGCTTCCTTCTGGCGAGCATGGCTGCAATCATGGCTTGGACATCAACTGTGGAGTGGTCGCTGGGCGTGTCCTTCACTGTATTCTTCATGTCCTGGAGCTTTGCGAATACCCTTTTCTATGGCGAGACGCGTCGTGCCGTGGATCGCGCGAGCGCCGACCGCGGCCTTTGTGGTGAGCATGGAGAAGCTGTGTCGGGGCAAGTAGTCTCGGCTGTTTTCTTGCTGAATTCGGCAGCTGGGGCTCTGCTGAACGGGCTCATCTCATTCGTGCTATTCAACGTGCTGGGAAAGACGACCGAGTCCGTGTTCAAACTGCTCCTTGACTTGCCTTAGTGACTTTAGTGCCGAGGCAGCTTCCCCTTGTTGTCTAGCATAGCTCAAAGGATGTGAAAGGCCGCCGGAAAGGCATGTACGATGCGCACCACTCAACTCAGGCTGGCGATGTTTCAGCTTGGTTTGTCCATGGCCGTGTTGCTTCTGGCCTTGGTTTGTGACCGGCCTGTCACCACAAGTGGTGTGCACCAGCAGGAGCTGGCGGGATCGAGCTCGGACACAAGTTAGGGTCAGGGATAGTGCAGTGGTGTTCGCCAGGGTCTCGTCAACGACATACTCTTCGGGCTCAGGGAGTTCCTGGAGCTAGGGAGTCGACTCTCGTCAACGACATACTCTTCGGGCTCAGGGAGTTCCTGGAGCTAGGGAGTCGACAAGCTGGCATCTGCTTCGCAAAACGACAGCACTACGCCGAAGATGGCCTTGGGAGTGGTACCAGTGAGGACTCCCCGCGGCAACTGGTCTTTGTCAGGTGCATCTCGACCACATGCAGCTTCAAAGAAGGTCCATTTCGTAACTGCGGCTCGACGCCCTCAAAGTGCCGTGGCCTTTCACCCTTCCTCGGCCTGGATTGGAATGCTGAAAAGCCGCTGCTGCAAAACGCAGCTCAGCTTTCCCAACTTCCTGGAAAGCATGCCCTGTTCTCCCTAAGGCTCGTCCACCGGCAGTGCAAGGGCAGACGCCGTCTGTGAAGGTGCGGGACTCCGCGGGAAGGTTCAGGGCTGGGATGGGCCAATCCCTACGGCGCCAGCATGCTTCGTTGCCGTCTGACTTTACATTTTCGTGTTCGTGCTTGTTGAGGCAAAACTAGCACAACAAAAAGCATGGCAAGTAATTCTACTTAGTAGTGGCAGTACGTATGTGGCTTCGGAGGAATGCGACATGGAAAGGGTGGGGTGTATTAGCTATCCCCATGCCTCTGCAGAGCAGCAGGAGAAAATTGCACATGTTGCTTCTTGCTGTTTCTGTTTCTGTCGTCAGCAAGTGGTCATGGAACCGAAGTCATGCTTCAAGCTTCAAGTTTTGGGACTGTGACTGGACACTTCGACCATCTTGCTGGGGCCATTGATCTGTTGACAATAGTAACTACGAAGACGAGGAAAGCTTGAAGCCAACTAGATAAGTTTTTCAATCGAATCGAGCTTGGACCTATCCTACATGCATTCGTCAGCAATCCGCCAAGCGGAAACGACGTTCAGTTCGACTCGTTGTTGCTTGCGGATAGAGCCAAGCTGTGGCTAGAAGGTCTGAGGTCACAATGTCACTCTGATTGATGTATGACAGAGTTTTCAGCACAAGACAGACTTTGATGAGTTCCGGGTTGCATTACACAAGTGCTGCAGCAAACTGATGTCAATCGAGCTAAAACTGCGTGTAGGTCTCTGGGTTACCTTGCCTTTTGCCGACAGACCTTATTATTCCAGTGTTGACCTGTGAAGGCTGCACCCACGCCGCGGGAGTGAGCCGAAGGCGGGGCAGGGGTCCTCGGACAAGAGGGTTCAGGGTTTAGGGTTTAGGGTCAGGAATCTCGGGAAACAGCTTTTGGATCCGGTGGAAGCACTGTCTCCTTGTGCTCTGGCATGATCAAGGCCGTGGCACCTGCGCGTGTTCATCCTGCGCCTGCTGCGATTATGTTCAGCCTAGTTTTTTTCATTTTGGACTGCATGTGGAGCTCCAAGCCACTAGGCAGTCGAAACTATATAGGAATTGGATTGCCGAATCGGTGCTCTGCTCGGTCCAAACACAACGGGACGCCACTAGATGCCACTAGAGGTGCTCCGTTGCAATGAAGTTGAGTGTGGATTGTTTGACGCAACTTCGCTCGCTCCCCAAAGGGGAGCCAGCACCAAAGCCAATCGATTATCAACATCCCTTGGCCACCACCCTTCGCAGCAATACCGTGACTAATCATCAACATCGCCAAATCATCCTCCTTGTTTTTGTTATTGAATGCGTTCATCGCCGATACGGTTGCTATTTCTTTTTCTTATACGAAGTCAATCAACGCAGAACTGTACCAGCAATGCATCTTATTCACACAGCAGTTCTGAGCTGCATCATTCTGCGCAGCCAGTAAGTTGGAGAGACGTGTGTTCTGCTTAAACAAAAGCTACTACTAGTAGTTACTAGTGCATTTCTTGTCGTCACTGCATAAGAAGAGCATCTGCAAATGTTTTGCGGCATTGCATTTATCGAAAACTTGTATCGCCTCATCCCCCGTTCCTTAGCGTGATCTTCACTTTAAGTTTTGTGACGGTCCAGGCACGTGTTTTCCAATCAGTACAACAGAACTACAAAGAAGTGGCCTGGACCCAAAGCTCAAGCCGTGTGTCGCGGCTTGCAACTTCATGCCGGAAGTTTGTCCACTGGCCTCGGGCATGCCTGGGAGTATTATCCAAACAAAAACAGGTTGCCTTAGTGCGCCTAATTTACGAAGAGTATCCCTGTCAGCTCGTAGGACATGCAGTCTGGGAATGCTTAGCAGACGGCGCCTCCGAATGTGAGGTTGAGTAGGCTGTCATGCTGTGGACCAAAGCGTGTCTTCAGACGGCGAGCAAAATCACTTAAGGACCAGTCTGCTGAAAGGGATGTATCGACCTCCACACCAAGAATCCTTGTGATCAACGCTCGAATCGAGATTGCAACGGCCAGAACTTGCTCAAGTGCGTGTTGCCGTCAGGTTCCTAATGAATTTCTGTGTCCGAACACTCTGCCAGACGGGCGAAGGACTCTTTCGAGTTGCAAGTTGCTATTCTCGGGCTGAGCAGGTGGGCCGAATTCGGCTTGTCGCGGGCATCGTCTGAGAAGGAGCAGGGAACCAACGACGTAAACTCAAAACAGAGCAACTCAGGAATGCTGGTGGCCAGTCGGTCTGGATGGACTTCCGATACAGTCTTTTGTGCTTATGGTTGACTCACCGAGAAACCTTCTTGTGCTTCGATGCCGTTGTGCTCCAGTGTGGAACTGTATCACATGGAGCTCCATAAGAAAATGCTTATAATGCTTGCATCAAGGCGGTAAGTGCGGCGCGACAAGTGCTTGCTCGTTATGTTTGGTAGCTGCAGCGCAGGAACGAAGCTGCTTGTGATGTTGATGCCGGTGCTTGCCCTGAACACCTTGCCAGCTGTCATGCAGAAGGATCGTAAACGCAACGTGGCCGGCCCATCGGCCAATGAACAACAGTGACCTAGAGCCAGCATCCGCACCCTTGTCGAGGGAAGGTTTCTTGCTGCTCCGGTTTCATGACGGCATGGCCGCTCATGCCATGCCATGCTGCTGCTTGGTGCCTTCCGAAGCTGCGGGCCTCATCATAGGCACGGCACACGACATGCATCCATGGGAACAGGCAGCATCACGAAAGCAGCACCAAGAACCGGAGCCCTGCTTCGGCTGTGCCTGCACGAGGTCGGGCCGGCAGCACTGTGAAGCACATCTGCGAAGTCTCCGGCGCACAAGTGATCTTCGGAGAAGACTTCAGTGTGCTTTTTCCTTGGTCTTCGTGTAATTTGTATTACGCAATTTCGCTCGTCAGTATTTAGTTACACTACTTGTTGATCGTACTAGCTGTGTTATGCCATGTTTGGTGTTTCCTCCGTACCATCGATAGTCTTGTCTAATTTTTTCGGCCAGGCATGTACTAATTGAGAGCTGATGGCTGCCGGGTCCTTTCCTGCACTGCTAGCCTGATGAAGCGGCAAAACTACAGCTTCGCGTAGGCAACGACAAAATCACCCCCAGTTAGCAATCACGATAGGCTAGTGGACAATAGAATACACTATACCTGACGGGCCCTGTGGAAATCGTCTCGACAGCAAGCTGCATCTGTTGGTTGAGGTGCGGGTGCAAGCAAACACGATGACAAAGGTTGTCATGATATTGCTGCCGAATTTATTGTAGTGATGACTGAGGTGGTTAAGATGCGTACCGAAGTTTCTGCTCTTGCTGTTGCGGCTCCGCTTCTGCAGCCGTCGTGGTGGAGGTGGTGTTGGCGCCGGTGGTGGAGGTGGTGGTGGTGGCAGTAGCAGCAGCAGCAGTACTAGATGTATCAGCTTGGAGCGGTGTGGCATGCTGTGGTAACGGCCAAGGTGCCGTCGCAGCAGTACTAGACATGCTGGTAGTCATCGCAGTGGTTGCGGTAGAAGTAGTAGCCGTGGGAATAGGAGCAGGAGCAGGAGAAGGAACAGCAGTAGCAGCAGCAGTAGCCGTCGTCGTTGTGGTGCTAGTATAGTCGTAGTATCAGCAGCAGAGGCAGCAGCTGGAGGAGGAGGAGGAGGAGTAGCCGCAGTGGCAGAAGTCGTCGTCGTGGTGGTAGTAGGAGTAGTAATCGTCGTCGTCGTTGTCGCAGTGGCAGTAGTAGCAGTGGTAGTAGCAGCAGTAGCAGCAGCAGCAGCAGGAGTAGTAGTAGCAGTAGTAGTAGCGTAGTAGTGTAGTACTGTAGTACTGTAGTAGTAGCAGGAGGAGGAGGGGGAGGAGGAGGAGGAGCAGGAGTCGTTGTAGTTGTTGTTGGCGCTGGTGGTGGTGGGACCCAAGGGGTCCTGCAGGTGGTATGCTTATAGTATGTATAATGCCGAACCAAGGAATGTCTCCGGCGATCGGGATACCCCTCGTGCGCTGACAGACCGAACCTTCCAAGACTTCATCACACTTTTGCTTTTGCATATGCTTCTAGTGCCGTTTAAAGTCCTTATTGAGGCTCACTTGTTGGCGTTGAACGGCCGTGCTGTTGAGCATCCATGGAGTCCATTTTGACTTCGTCCGCATTAGTTGTTAAGCGGAGAGCTTGGCTGCGGGGTGTTAGCCACTGCGAACTGACACATTTCAGGAATTGTCACGATCCAGGGGGACCCTGAGCAGATCGAGAAAGCATGCCGAGAGGCATGACAATGCCCGTGATTTCATGCAGGTCCAGTGTGTTTGGGCATAAACCACGTCATGCTCTGGAAGGTTGACGTGCAGAAAGCCCGTGCATGTGTCGAATTACTCTGGCGCCTTCGTGCAGCCATGGAGGTGATTCGAATTGTCCATCGGTCGCAAGAGTTGGACGATTCCGAACATGGTGTGTTCGCTGCGGCCTCAACTGACACAGGTAGGAAAGCTCCAGCAAATACCTCATGCTGACCTGCTGCCTGATGACATGAGTTCATGCCATGCAAGCAGCCGTGCACGAGGTCACAGTGGTTCCGGCCGGTGCAGCCTTTTGCCAGCAAGTTGAGGTTGTGAGGTTCCGATCTCTTGTCCGTAAGCTGAAGTGCGGCTGTTTGCGCCCTTCTTGCATCATCCGCTTGAATGACATTAAGTGTGACTTCGAATCATCTGGGAGTCTCGCGGAACGCGAGAGCCGAAGCATCAAGCCGAAAGCCGCGAACCCTCAGTCAGGTGGAGCACATCATAGGGCCCGGTGGTGACACCATCGAGAAGCTGGTGGAGAGCACATCGTCAGAGATCAACATCAGCTCCTGGACAGCGTTTCTCTTCCTGTCTACGGTCTAAGTCAGTCTAAGTGTATCTATGCCAACTTGCGCTTAACATCAACATCTGAATTGTCATAATTATGCAACACGTGCCTATGTCGCATCCAGCTATCAACCTGTCGGTGTCTTAACACCTTCCAGTACCTTGCCGTGCCCCTGTGCCAGCATGGGAGAGAGTCGCAGCGTGCTCAAACCTGGCTTCACCCAAGGTTTTGGTTTCGATTATTTGGGATTTGTCCTAAGGTCGCCATGCCATTGCGGGGACGGAGCTTCAACCCGTCAGCATCGCAGGCAGAGGTTTTATTTACATCTCTGGCTCTGACCTAGAAGCAATAGGAGAATCCGTTTCAGATCTGATTTCTTCGGCCGTTCGTCTGTAACTTCCGTCAGTTCGTGCCAGCTTGTGGCGCCGAGTCAGCCGACGCGAAATGAAAAAGCCAGTCCAAGACTAGTCGCTGGCTTGAGAACCTACGTCAAGTAGAGGAGCTGATGTAGAGTTGTGGTTCGCCTGCATAGCTTCTTCCTGATCATCCCGTCCACGCTTCAAACCTGCCAGGCACTCCCAAGAACATGCTCATTGCGTGCATGCGTGTTCTCGGCCTGGTTCAGGACACCACAAGCAGAGCGAACAGTTGACAGAAAATGATGGTTGCGATGTTCCTGAAGCTTGGACCCCTAAAGTAAAGTCTAAGGCTGCTTGCTCCACCAGAAAAAGTTTAGCTTACCCAACGAAGCGACCTCCCGTCAGGAGCTAGCGGACCAGGGCGGTCTTACCATTGAGTGCGGACCTCAAAGTCAAGTAGAGAGACCACTACAGGGTCCTGTCATACAGTTTTCAGCAACTCATACTTTGCAAATTCTATTCTTGCTTATGCGATTTTAATTAGTCTAATTGCACGATGCTACAGTACACTGGAAGGCACTATGCCATTTCACTACTAGACGACTAGACCAGGCCTGAGCCAGACTAATTGAATGCTTTGCTACACACCGTGCTGTACTATACCATGCTTTACTGCATGAATTACATCGTACTATACTGTACTGTGGCATGCTACACTATGTTACGCTGGCTTAGTATCTCACTCATCTCTATGACAAGTCTTGCCTGATACTTTTCCTCTTTAATGTCAATATTATCTATTGCATCATGTTCAGTTTATTGATCATTGCTGACGCTTTTGTCATTGCGACGCTCGTTTGTTAGTATTTTGTGATTATTTTTATAGTTGTTGTTCTTCCTACTTTAAAGTTATACATTACAATATGATTTCCTCTCTTCAGCTCCTCGACCTGGCCTCCACGGCGAAGCCCCAGCGTGGGGCAGCTTCGGAGTGTGTCCCGGACCGTCTCAAGGAGAGGGTTAAGGGGCTTCAGAGCTGTGTAGGGTAGAGGGTTTAGGGGCTTTAAAATGGGTTTGGGGAGGCGGGTTTCCTGTGCAACTGGATTGAAACGGGTCCAAGCTGTCCATGAGAAGTTGTTACAGCATCCGATCCTTCTTCAGAGCCGCACAAGTGCACAATGGTTCAATCTGATCAGAATGGATGATGAGCCACGTCAACTTGGCGGAAGCGACGATGACACGCAAAGCAATTCCGAAGATAAGCAGAATCAAGACTGCGGTTGCCTCGTAGCTTGACCACGAGGAGCTCGACCCCAATGCGAGGCCCTGACCTTGGAGCACAGCTCGCAGCTGCAAGTCATGACTTGTGTAGACTAGCTGTGGTTGTTTGTTTGCTGAAGGCTCCCGCTGTGAGCTGTTGCCAGGATGTAGATCGCACACCGGCTTCTTGTTGAGTATTCAAGGTCGGTCAGTCGACGGCGATGCCGAGCAAATTCCCCCCGAACTGCTGCCCGAATTGCTGGCTACTCAGGTGACCTGCGCTGAGAACGCATATGTCCTGCATAGCAGCCATGCATCATCATTCACATCCAAACTCGCGCATGAGGCACGGAGGGCTACACTCATAGACTCATGGTTGCAGTGACTGACGAACTGAGGCCGACCAGTGACACGGGCATTTCTTCAGTGCTGCGGCTCGTCGGTCTATGTTATGATTGTGCTTCTTGTTGCTTGTCTGTGCACACTTGTGGGTCCGAGACACTGGCAGCGCTTCTTCGTTCAATTGTTGCCCCGCCTTAGCTGAGAGCCAGCACCAGGTTCGTCGTTTCAGCATCTGCAGCTGCATGGATCGTTGGCCGCTCGGGCCGGACCGCAGCACGGCTTAACAGGTGATGCGCCGTGAGCTCTCTAGCAGCAGGCGCTCTTGGGTCATTGCTTGGCGGTTGAGGGCCCGGCTTAGTCTTCGGCTTTTCCCAAGCCAGCTGACGGGCTTCGCGCACGGAAATCCAGAAAGCAACGCAGTCCTAGGTTTCATTTTGCAGACTGCCGGGTTAGATGCAAGCACTGCGAAGGTTTCTGAGATCCGGACAAAGTCTGGGGCCGCTGTGGAGGTTGCGAGGCCTGACGTCTCAGTTTGGTGTTGACTGGAAAGAAGGTTGCTTCACATGTAACACTACGGCATCCGGCCATGATGCTAAGTCGACTCCAGACATCCAAACTGCCCTTGGCTACTTTTTGAAGCTGAAAGTGTCCATAATCTTCTATACGTAGTCGTGGATTCCCAGAAAGGACCCTTGCTGAGCTCCTGTCATCGTTTCCAATCCTAAGCTGATGGCGAGTCCACCCGAGCTCCGGCTCAAAGCAGACCTGGGCTGCGGGATGGATTCGGGCAGTCTGTTTATGTTTATTTAAGGGTCCAGCCGAGCTACGATGTCGTTTCTCGCAGTCTTCGCCCTCCTTGAGGGATGCATCGCATCACCCAGCGATTACTGGGCCCTGGCTTCCCCTTCCGTGCGGAGGGCGCGCTCGTTGCAAGGGCTGGAAGGAGGCAAGGCATTGGGCTTGGGGGGCCGAGAGCTCACAGCTGAGAACGGCACCGAGAGCTTGGCACCGGTGTGGTGTGGACAAGAGAAGTACAACGGTGCTGCGGGGAAAATGTGGTACGCCAATCCCTTTACGACGGCTTGCAGCCGAGCCTCAACAGACCTCGTGTATGTCGATGGAAACCGAGCGCGTGTGGCTCGCAGGGGCGATCTCATCAAGATGCACTGTGACAACTGGGAGTGCCCCATCCCACCCGTTGTGGATTGCTACTTTGATCGCAACGCTTGCGCAGCGGATGAGTGGTGCATGGTCACAACACACGAGAAGTGGGGTTCTTGGGCCATGGGCAGAGGCGGGCACACTCCCAACTTCGGGTTGTGCGGCGAGTCCTACTATGAGGAAATCGAGGCGATCGCATCTCAGAGCGATGTCCGCAACGTGACTCTCGAAGCTCTGAAGTTGACCCGAGACAAGATTTGTGGTAGCTCGACGGTGGGTGTGGCCAATGGCATCCAGCTTCAGAGTTACTCGAAGCACCTTGTTTGGAAGAGCTCTCGCGGCCGCTGCGTGAAGTATCGCTTGGAAGGCCAGAGCTGCATCCCCACCCTATCTTCCCCTGGACGCTTCGCCAGTGCATTCGTGCGGCGAGCCCAAAGCGGAACATCCTACCCAAACGGGGGCACCATAGAACGGCCGCTTGCTTGTGCACCTGGTCTTGTTTGCACGGGACCCGGCTTCGATGTTCTGCCTTCCACTTGCGTCAAAGAGCGGCCCGCAGACGTGTGCTATGCTGGGCCCTGGTGGGACAGCTCCCGCTGCCCACGCACATCCATGCAAACACCGGGAATGAGCACAGAGTGGGCACTGGAGTCCTTACAGACTGCTTTCCTAATTTTCCCAGGGGAGGTGGCATCAGCCATGACTTGTACGTATTGGACGGGTCCTATGGGCCCCTTGACAGCAGAGGTCAGGAAGGTAACCCACAACATCTTCAAGGCGCTTTGGCCTTCGCATCTCGTAGGCGAGTGCCCAACACTGGAGGAGCTTTATGCCAGTATGTGGCGCCAGACGGGCATTGACCTTGCAGCGTTGAGTCAGGAGGAGTGTGCAGCCGGGGAGGGAAGTGATGGACGAATTGCAGAGGCACTGGCCCGGGTGGGGTCCTGGACTCACCGACCGAATCTTTTGTGGAGCCTTATACATTTCGCGATGCACAACCAACCCTCCCCGATGTCCCGAAACGCTGTGGCAGCCTCGACAGCTTTGGCCAGCCACCTGTCAGAGAATTTCTGGTGCAACGACTGCCGTGGCTTCTTCACGGTGGGCATACTCTCTGTGGTCGGTCTCCCACCTCAGAGTACGGATGGTGAGGAGCATGCGAGATACTGGAACCTGGGGCACAATATTGCCTCCGAGCACGTCGCAACTACTCGCGGTGGCCACCCCTGGATAAACACGTTGGAGGAGGCGCACGACGCCGACGTGATGAATCCGTTCTACGTTCCTTACGAGACTTCTGTCAAGATGTGGCATGTGGAGGCCTGAACTATCCTGACATGAACTTGCCCTGTTACCTGGCAGCTGTTTAACGCAAGCTGTGAGTTTTAAAGACTTGCCGGCGGTCTGACTATCAGGCACGTGTGATGTCTCTGACCATCACTGAGCTTAATTAATTGTTCTTCTTGAGCCCTGCTGTGGCAATCTTTGGCATGGAATTTTGTGCAGCACTGGCAGGCTCGCCTCATGTACACACTGCTGGGGCGTTACCTGCGGTCCCGCATGTAGAATGTAGAGCTGGGCATCCATGTTGAAACGACTCGCGACTTCTCGCGGAGAGCTAGAATGAGCCAAAGACATTGTTGATAGAGACACGGACTGCTTGCAAAATGTTAGCTGGAATGTGACGGTGGGAGCGCACCGGAGCAGTCACGAAAAGGAGCTGCTGCGCAGTTGGACCTAAGTATGAGCCAGCGCTTGACAAGTAATTAGGGAGAATGAGGGAGAACACTGCGGCAAGACGCAGAATTCCTGTCATGGGTTACGTGTTCGGCACTGGTGTGAGTAAGGCTAGACGTTCAGGCATCGTGATTAATTGTACGTCAACTCGGGTATGTACTCGTCGTGCCCTAGTTGCCTTGCCTAGCTTTGCTGAGTGAGCATGTGAGTCGAACAGAGCCGCAGACCCGGGAGGAATGGGGGGCCTCTTCGATTGGTTGAGTTGCGGGGTGAAGCTGACCAGCGCAAGTCTGCGGTGGAGCTGTGCCATGACTGGAAGTGCAGGGGGCTGGGCCGGGTGCCAATATTATGTTTGGATGAGAAGCGGGTTTTGCCTATTAAATCGTTGCACTGGGTGTATCCCAGAAGGGCTATGAGCATATGATTAACGATTACGATATCTTGCTTTCAGTCTTTTTCAGGCGGGATGCCATGGTTTTGTGCAAGGGTTTGCAAAGTGGGATCCCTTTATGTAGCAGGTCATTGCATGCATACTCGCAATGCAGAAGGGGCTGGATCGTTGCTGACGGTCCAGATGCTCTGTGCGCCTGGACTGTCCAAAGCACCCTCAGGACAAGAGTTATTTTGGGCCAGTTTCATGCGGCTTCAGCACAGGCAATATGTCACTAATCCCACGTTCAGATCAAACCCTCGTTTTCCCCTGTACTTGCGGCCGTAGCTTTGGGTCCTGTCTGCCTTGCACTCACCTGGGCCGAGGCTGTTGGAAACGGTCGAGGCGCACTTAGAGCAGTGACATGTCCAACATGCAGCTGCAGTCAACGAGATCTTGCATGACGTTCGCAAAGAGGGTTGTCAGAATCGCGTTGATAGGCGGTGATATAACCATTATATATCAGAAAATCAAACGTACTATACTAGAATATATACCATACTATACTATATGCTACGCTATAGTATGCGCTGTACTATACTGTAATATACTCTGCTGCACTACAGTCGGTGAGCACAAGTAGTTCGTCCCGTCTTCGGATGCGTGAGTGCAAAAGGCTGGGCGTAAGGGGCCACTGAATGCCAGCGCTGTTGCTGTTCTGTGAGTTCTGACAGCTCCCAGAATCTATTCTAATATGCTACAGATACTACAGCAGACTGATGTAATCCATTAAGATATAGTATCATATACTACATAAATACTCCTATACACTGAAGTATCGGAAAGCGGAGCAGACTCGGGCAAACCCTGAAGGAGCTGCCCGCCGGTGCCCCTCGTGAAACGCAGCTCCTGGCACCTCCGGGCTCTGGGGTGGAAGAGGGTCACCTCAGAAGCTCAGCTGTATGTGTATATAGTACTCGTATATGTATGTGTATATATATATATATATATATATATATCATATATGTATATACCATATCATATATATATATATATATATATATATATATATATATTCGGTTGCAAGCACTCTTGAGCAGAGGCCGAGCCGATGTAATGTAGGAATCTGATTAAGAAACCCCGGCCCTATAACCCCAAATAGTAGGATTCATAATATGAGGAACCCCAATAGAGGCCTAAGGTTTCTTAATCAGGTTCCTGCATTAGCCCAACGGCTGCATGTGGAAGCTTCCCGTGGCCGATGGTTGTTCGCAATGACTGTGGCATTTGGGAGTTTCCGAAAATTAGGGGTACCTTATTTTGGGGTCCTTATAATAAGGATCCTATTATTTAAGGTACTATATTAGGTTCTCCTATTTTCGGAAACTCCCATGGACAGTATTGCGCAGGGAGCTTGGTGACCGTGTGAAGCAATAGTTCAGGCACAATCCGTGCTGACACTGGCGCACAAATCAAGATTGAGCAACTGGGTGCCGAAGGCAGGGTGCTGAGCTTGCGGTTCTTACCTGGACCCCCAAAGTATGTAGAATAATGGCCTTTTATAGGTATTGGGCCATTATTTTACCTACTTTGGGGGGGTTTAGGTATCAGCCCCACTATACACTGCAAGACCGCAAGAGCCAAGGGGCCAAGAGTTTATTGCCATATCTGCAGGATGTTGCATGATTTTCCAGTTTGGAAGGGAAGGGTGGTGAGAGTTTGCATGTGCCACCCAGATCCGTTCTGTAGAGGGAACATGGCTACCACATTATGGCGAAACCCAGCCCAAACCCAAGGCCACAGCCCCCAAATACACAGCACCAGAGCTATCCGCCGCAGCCGTGAACCTGGCTCAGGCCAGTTTTGTGAGTTAGCCAAATCCGGCATTCTGCCCAAGCCATCACATCCATGGTTTCAGCCGGCCGCGCGGTGCTGCTCCTCTTGTGCCTGGTCGTCGGCGACGCGGTTCGCCAGATAAGCATGCACAAAGATGACGTCTTCGGTGCCTCCCAAGAGAATCAGGAGAATGAGCACGTGCACGCTGAGCACGAGCATGTCCAGGAAGGGCATTCTGGGCAGGCGGCTCACTCAAAGCTCGAGTGGTACACGTACGGGGGCAAGTGCGCAAGAACTTCTGAGTGCCAGCCCAACTGCAAATGCAGTCACGGGAAGTGTAACTGCTATAGATGATAGGTGTGGCGCATGGTGCCGTAGCAGTTCGCTGCTCCGAGGCAGATGTTCTCACACTTGCAGCCCCTTGGCACAACACAAGCAAAAGAATGGCACCGATTCGGCGGGGCGGCAGTTTTCCATTCGAGTGTTGCCTTGAGATTCGTATTCGTAGAAGTAGAGACGATCTGGCTACCGCGGGCTGGTTGCACAGCTCGCGCAAATACGAACTTACAGCTTTCCACATTTGCTCCGAAGCGACAGATAGGTTGAAAATGACTAACAACATCTAGCAACAAAAGCATGTGAAGGCTTCTGCGCTGTTCGTCAAGCTTTCTTAGCCCATCAACAAACATCGACCGTGGAAGGAGGCTTCTCCCTCTTGCGAAACTTGCTCAGCAATGGTCAAGCAAGCAACGATAATGCGATCATTATGGCAAAACTCTCTTCTCGCGGCAAGCCACTTGCATACAGTACCTTGATGCTTCAGCACATGTGGAAAGCAATCGAGATATCTCCGCACAAGCGCACCACGGCCATAGCTTGGTTTACAAAGCAAGCTTGGAATCCGTAAGCAAGATGTACAGTATTCCAGCATGCTTCAGGTCTTACCCAGAGCAAGACACCATTGGTTCTGCATGGATCACTCCCCGCCGCGAGGAGCAGACGGCTTCGGCACTGGCTCAGGTTGCCGTCTCATCATTGTTTCCGGCTCCTCGGCTCGAGACGGCAGCGGCCACGTGCAGGGAGTGAGCTGCGCGAAGCCACTGCCTTCTGCGAGGCCCCAAGCTTGCAGCTAGACAAGCGGCAATGCTGATCGCTGCTGGGGGCCCAGCAGACTACGCACACCCCTCAGCACATTGTAGCGGTAGCACGAGCAAGATCTTCTCTTGTTGCATTTGTATATACATATCTAAATAATATTTCCGTATATGTTGGTCTTATGAATATGTATCTATACATATCACCCTTTGCGTCCTCTGGACGATATCCTTTCAGTTCTGCAGGCTCTACTGGGGCGAGCGGCGACGAGGGGCTCGATCAACGCCCGACAGAAGGCGGCGATGTCGGGTTGTCACATGGGGGTTTCCGAAAATTAGGGGTACCTTTTTGGGGGGTCCCTTATAATAAGGATCCATAAGGATCCTACTATCTCGGGTACTATATTAGGGTCCCCTATTTTTGGGCACTCCCGCATGGCTCGTCTGCCGGGCTTCACTTGCGTGGTCATACACCATCAGCAACGCACCTTCCGTTCTCGCTCGTGTTTTCTTCTCTCATATGAGTTGGACGCCACAAATACTATAGGGGCCTTTAAAAAGTCATTTGCCTATGCTATTTGAGGGGCTCCTTATTATAATCATAGTATACTGGGCCCCAATACCCTGTTTTAATTATCAAGGCCTATGAGGTATGAGGTTGCAAGGCGCTTTTGGTTTCTACTCAGGCTGCTGATGCTTATTTGGTGGTGTTTCGGCAAGTGCACTACACGCAGTTAGCTATGGATCGTGTTTGCATTTTTGAGGTTGTCCCTACTAGTTTCTTGAGCAAGGTATGGAAGTGCAGTCAGGAGTGCTGACCTTCCGTCCATGTTCTTCAGGCGATTGCACAAGTCCTGATGCAAAAAAGGCATCGCGTTGGCAAGACGTGCGTTTGCTCAGCAGGCCGGGGCCGCTGCATGCCCCAACTGCGGCAACGTTTTCGCAGCTGCGGCTCGGGCATTAGGTTTAGGGTTTAGAAGCGGGGGAAAGGGGGGGCTCTTGCTGTAACCGGGCTGCTGGACAACGAGGCCTGCTGCAAAAAGGGTTTAGGGGCATGTAAAAGGGTTTAGGACAGCGACTGTAGGGTTGCAGTGACCTCCGGACAGATTCAGTAGGGCCGCTCCCGGTCAGCGCATTTCCAAGGCAAGTGAGCTTCGTTCAACGTTCGGACTTGTCAGAACTTCGCAAACAGACCAGAGATGACCAGAGCCCTTTAGCCCTTTCGAGGGTGTGGGAATGATGCTGATGACCACCAGACACTGATAGCGGTGGCACTTAGGCTGCTGTGTGTCACCTCGTGCTGAGAACTGGCCGAGTTCCCCGTACAAGCGAGTCCTCGAGACCAGCCATGCGGGACCCAAATGGGAGTTTACGAAATTAGGGGGTGCCTTATATTTTGGGGTCCTTATAATAAGGATCCCACTATCTAGGGAATCTAGGGTATTATATTAGGGTCCCCTATTTTCGGAAACTCCCACATGACACTTAGGACGCGGCTTTCTGCCAGAAGTGCGGCCAGAAGCGTGAGGAGGCGCCAAAAGCTTTTAATTGCTATGCCTTGAAGTTCCCTGTGTACATTTCCTGTACCTACCTCCCCCCCCCCCCCCCGAAAAAAATTCGCTTCAAGTAGCCTTTGCTCCTGAGACCTTTGTCAGGGACCCGTGTCCCGTGGCCGTGGCCGGGACGTCAGCCCTGCAGGGAGCTTACACCGTTTGTGCTCAGTGGAGCACTGTCAGCAGAACGAACTGCCCAAGCACAATTTCAATACAGACACTTAGTAGTCATAGTAACACTCATGACAAGCCCTAAAGCACCCGGTTAGGCCACTTCAGCCTGACTTCATTTCAGGCGGCTCCTCGCCAGCGTGCTTTGAGCCTGGGCGCGAAGCACCCAAGCCTTGGAAGCTGCTTGGACAGCATGGAGATGGCAGGGGTTCTTCGGAATATGATATCATTACGACTAGTAACAAGTATAAAATGGTACTCGAATGAAGAGCCGCAATGGCCATGAAATTTGTATGTATCAATAAGCTCCAAATCTTCCTCGCCTGTGGACATAGATGCCAGAGGGAAAAAGTAACAAGTATATCGAAAGAGTAATAATATTGATTACGACTACTTGGAGGGGCAGGGGACTTAGTAAGTCGTGTCTAAGTAGGGTTATAATTGGGGTAACTCCATTTGGGGTACTTATACCTCTACATATCACCTGCTTACTAAGTCCCCTGCCCCTCCAAGTACTAGTAAGGTAATATTATTGCTGTTGTTATCGCTGTTTGTTGCTGCTCCTGCCATTGTTGTTCTGATGGTTTTGATCATGGCTACGATTGCCTGCACTGAGCTGCAGCAACAGCAAGGGTGCCCTACAAGTCCTAATGCAGGGAAATCTGCAGCCTTGCGCATGCATGTGCTGGTACTTGATGTTGCATGGTCGCGCCTTTGATGCTGCTGTGCCAATGCATGTCGCGCAGGCGATGGAGAAACTCAGCTGCTGAAGGCGAGGCATAGAAGCCTGCTAGACCTGCACGGGGTACTCGCAGAAGTGAGTGTAGGGTGAGTAGCCCGAGTTGAGTTGCTGATGGCCACCTCTCGAAATCGATTAGAGGTACAATGGCAGCACACAATTCAATGCAAACAGCACTTACAGCTTCGTTCTCGTGGCTTTGTGCTATTGGTGTGAAAGACCGAGGGCCCGGGCCCAACGACGAGCACCAGGGCCCCAGGGTCGACGACCAAAGACCAAGCACGAACCACCAACTACCATTGTCCACATGGGCATGATCGCCGGCTCTTTCCAAGCGCATGGCACCCGTCCAGTTCTGTTTGCTAACCCGGCCAGGCAAGGCGACGAGTCGGGAAAGGAGTCATCAATCGAAGGGAGGTCCAGAAGCCTCCCAACTACATCACCGAACTTATTCAGCAGTTTTCTGCCGCAGATTTGGTCTTCGCAAACACTCCGAACCTGGTTTGGACCCTGGCCCTAGTAACTTAGTAGCCTAGTGGGACCTTTGTTGAGGGCCCACCACAGGACCAATCTAGTGTACGCGTTGGAGGTTCATAGATAGTTATACGTGGGGTTATACGGCCCCCTAATATAGGTTATAACCATAGTTATCCGACTTATAGCCCCACTTGTAACTATCCACGAGCCTCCAAGTTGTAGACCCGCAACGTGGCAGCGCCAGGCGCTGCTATCGGGTCCGTCACCCTCGAGCTGCCAACTCAAGCTGCTGCTACCAGCAGACTTCGCCACTTAGCTCAGGTCTCTGCTGTCGCAAACTTCGACGCTTCGTAGCTGTGCACCAGTTGAATAGCCCAAATTGGGGGTGGCTTTGGTGAGTGTCAGAACAGCGGGATCAATTCCTCTTGGTTTCTGCACGTTTTCGTTACACATGAGTCGTGACCAGCTATCAGCCTGGTAAGCCTGGCAGGGACAAGTCTACAGCAGGAAAGCGCAGACTTTGCCACGAACCGACAGAGCGGCAGTTGCTCCCGCCATTCAGGTGCGCCTGTGCCTGGAAGCTGGCAGCCACCTCGCCCAGGCTCCGTCATTGGAGCTTGCTTTTGCAGTGCTAGTCGCTCGTCTTATGGGCCTGCATCTGAACACCAAACTTGTCGTTGTGGCGTATGTTAAGGCTGTTAAGGCGGCCAGAGACCCCACCTTGAGTGCCTATACGCACCAGGTGTCGTACCGCACCGGCAGCCAATTGGAGGTCTTAGCACCGCACTCGCCAGAGCCCACTCGCTGCTTGTCTCAAAGGCCAACACTTTGTTGACCCGTTCGAAACGAGACCGTGTCGCGGACCTTCGTACTGAGAAGTGTTGCCTAGTTGAAGAAGTGAGTGATCCTGTCAGGATTGGTTCTTGTGCAGGGCACCATGCTGGGAAACTCCATGGCAGCAACTTGGCCTGCGGCTGCGATTCGAGTTGACAAGGCAACGTCTCAGGAGCTGTGGGTGAGATCGCAGTTTGAACTTTACTATTCACAGCTGCTCAAGTTCGTTAGTTTGAGCATCGTTGTCTGTCAGAACTCCTCGGCCGATTCACTCCAATGTTTCGTTTCGTCGTGATCTGACGTCCTTCGAGTGAGAGCCTACTTGTGTATTTGAATGTATTGGTTTTGCAAACAAAGCACCGAGCCTACACCTTTGAGCGGGGGGGTCAAATGCAGTTGGAAACCATGGCCTTGCTGAGAGCTGAGGTGATGCACTTGCAAGAGCTGCTGCTACAGCTGCTCAGCTTCAAGCGGCCTGTATCAGGTTGGATACTAGCGCGGCTGTTCGGAGTCGTATGCAGGTTCGTTGAGCAGCTGGTGATTTTCACAGCTACCACTTCTGCAATTGTCCAAACTTGACGCCGAGGTTTCAGGGCCCCTGACGCAAGGCAGGGAGATTGAAGCTCGCTGGAAAAAGGCCTCTCAATCTGGGAGTGCAGGATGTGGCTTCGATTTAAGTTGGTTGCCATCTCCGAATCGCACCTGTTCGCTCCGACCCACATTCAAACACCTATCATGGACCTTCTGCAAAGCTATGCTGCCGTGCCGGCTGCGGAAGGCTTACCTGTGAATGCCCCCGCAGCAACGACCAATGGATCAGCTTAGGTAAAGCCGGGGATTTCTTGATCTTGCAAGGCTTTTTGACAAGCAGTGTCATGGCTTTTGTATCGCCAGGTCTCCTCGCCCACCACATGTGCAGGTCTTGTTGTAGGATTGTGAAAATCTGGTTCTGCATGGTTCTGCTAACACTGGGTTTTGTGCAGAAGCCGAATAATCCGTTTTACATGCATGCGGGAATTCGTTTTGATCCGTTTGGGGATTTGTTTGGGGCTCCGTTTTGGCCCCAGCCCCGGCAGGACCCCAAAACGGCTTTGCAAGCGGATCTCAACGGATCCAAAACGGATCAAAAACACATCCCTCTCGAGGGAAACGTGGGTTCGGGGATCCGCCGCACGACCCGTCTGGAGGTCCGTCGGGGGATCCGTTGGGGGATCCTTTTGCTGGGCCGGCGGGGCTGGGGCCGCCCAAACGCGATCCAAAACGGACCCCCAAACGGATCCCAAACGGATCTGAAACGCATATTTAGGGAAAATAGCATTTCCAGAGTTAGCAGGCAGCAGTTGTAGGAAACTTGGTCCCAAAGGCCTCAATGTCAAACTTGTCGTTGAGCATCGAGTCAGAAATCTTGTTCCTTGACTACCTAGTAGCCTACACTGGTTGCTGCCAATCCGACTCCCCTCCAGGATATTCGTTTGAAGCAGAAGTCTCCTTGCGTGGAAGCATTGCGCGTGGCTTTTTCTGCCGCCGTCTTCCGCGGTCCGCCCACATCGTAGAGCTAAAACCGAGTTTGCCACCCTGCTTCTGGCTGCGCAAAGCCGCAGAATGTCGGTACCTGGCCAGATCAGCGAGCCGGAGGTCAGCCCACAGGCTTCATGGCTGGGGTTCAGCGTTGCCGATGCCTTCTTGGGCATTGAGGCCCGCTTGGATCGAATCTCAGAGCAAGTAGAGCTATGTATATCGGAGGTGACACAGATGAACCTCAGACCGCCTTCACAGGCTCTACACCGGAGGGTGAATTTTCCTTCCAAGGTCCGGCCTGAGGGCATCTTGCCCGTAATACCTTCAGAGGCTCCTCTTTCCTTGGAAACGCCGTATCCGAGTGAAATCGAAACCATTCCTTCGCTGGCGAGCTTCTCCCAGGACATGTCCCACACAGACTCACGCCTAAAGCCCACCATCAGTGAGCGAAGTTTCCGTGAGATGACCCGGAGTGGAACAGACGCCCAGACCGTCCAATCGGGAGTGTACGAGCATCGTTTCAGCCGGCAAGTAAAGGCTTTCCGGAGCGTTGACCTCAGGGTGGCCTGGCAGGTCTATGGCACAGAGCTCAAGCAAAGGATGGGCAGCCTGGAAGCGCAGCCACTTATGAGACTGGTCTATCGCACTCGGGCTGAGTTTTTATGGGAGTTGTTAGATGATCCGGAGTCCAGTCGCTGGGCGTGGTGTCTGGCGATACTTCTGAAAATGCTTGTGCTTGTATCCATGCTGACTTCGGAGCTTGCTGCCCTGCCGCACAGCGTGGATGCACGTGCATTGCTTGCTTTCGAGTTCGTTTGTGATACAGTCTTCTTCGTTGAGTTCTGGTGCCGTATTCTTTCTGCACCAAGCAAGAGGAGATACCTGGCCGATCCTCTGAATGCCCCGGATGTTCTCTCCATAGTCGGACTTCCGCTTCGGACATATCTGATCTTCGCCGTCCAGCCATCCCCCGAGTATGATGTGCTCAGAACACTGCTATATTACTTCTTACCCCTGGTTCGCTTCCTTAAGCTATTGAGGCGTTTTGATACCATCAGACTTCTGACCGAAGCATGTAGGAACTCTCTGGAGTCCCTACCAGTTTTGGCTTACATGGTGGCTCTCATCACGCTGGCAGCTGCGACTGGCATCTACCTTCTTGAGCCGGTTGACAACATCCCCAGCATGCCACATGCACTGTGGCTTGCCATCGTGACCATGACAACCGTGGGATATGGCGACTTCTACCCAATATCCCTGGGAGGTTATCTGACGGTGTCACTTCTCACGTTTGTGAGCATGATATTCCTGGCCCTGCCTGTTGGCATTATCGGCTACGAGTTCACGCAAGCATGGAAGCAGCGGGAGCAAATGCTTCTCATGATGCGGATTCGAAGAAGTCTTGTGAAGTGGAGCTACGACGCCAACGACATGAACATTTTGTTTCAGTACGTCGATGGCGATGGAGACGGCTGCCTCAACCTCACAGAGTTTGTGGAGCTCGTTCGTCAGATGCGCATCGGCTTATCCGTTGACCATGCAGTGCAGATCTTTGCGTTGTATCACGATGAGTCGCAAGGAACCATGAGCTTTGCGGAGCTGTTGCGCGATATATTTCCTGAAGAATACTTGCGGGATCAGCAGGAGAGGGCCGGTGACCAGCAGCTGCAGCTACAAGCCTCAAAGCAGAGCATATTTCAGGCTTTGCAGCGCTTCGAGTCTGACCGGCAGCATTCTGCTGCAAGCCAATCTGTAAAGAGCGATTTCCAAACGAGAGACGAGGACACCGGCTGAGCCATCAAGAGACGGGGTGCCAGCTTTCTGTGGAGCAGTTCTCTCTGTAGAGCCGTTAGCTTTCTCTTCCCTAGCAGTCTGCGGTGAGCAGTGCAGTCAAATCATTCTAATGAGTCCAATAGGGCCGTGAGGCCTGCAGTGGGCAAAGCAGGGCTATACGCTTTGGCATTTGCAGACCCTCCAACGCAGGCAGCCACCAGGCTAATGGCGCCTCGTGACAGCTTCTGTCTGCCGTCTTCCAGCATGCATCCGCCGAAGGCGTTTCATGCCCTGCTGCAGACCTATGCCACGACAGCCGACGACGCCAGCACGCCACAAAATCTTCAGGGCTGGCAAATATTCCGTCGAACGTTTGCAACCGTCCTGAAATAACCTCCACGGCCATGCGAGACCTGCAAGTTGGTCGCCATCCATGTGGATGCACTTGTATCCACGTCACCCGTCCCAGCAATGCAAGCAGACGGGCAGCAGCCAACTCAGCAGCAAGGATAGACTGAGCAGATGTTTGCAGCGTCCTTTTCCAAGCTCGAGTGCTTGCACGATCCGACACAAAGTTTAGTAAGCTAGCAGCTGCTTGGTGAGCTGGAGACATGGTCTCAGACTGGGTGCCGGAGCTCCAACTTCATAATGTAATCGCCACGCGCAAGAGGGCAACCTGTGGAAAGGCAAGGCCACTATGGCACTATGGTCGTATGTAACTGAAGCATCCCTTGGAGAATCTGAATTTTGCCGAGAGTTGTTGCACATGTTTGCTGCTTGAGCTTGGTTCCGCTGGATGTGTCTGACTACATGGTTCAATGGAGGGAGATAAGAAGCCATCACATGTGTAAGACCAGTGTCGCATCTTCGGGGCCCTTTCGTCCGTATGGGAAAGGTCGCAAGTAGCTGTCCGGAGGCTTTTAGGGTTTATGGTCTGTCAAGGTCATAAGTCTCAAGTAACGCACATCATCTTCCGCCAGTGCGCTCAGCTGATTTAGGGCCAGACTGCTTCACAGACATGGTGGAGGATGGCGCCTATTGGGCCTGCGAAAGCCGAAGGCTGCTGGGTTCTTTCTCAAGCAAACCGGGCAGCGGCCATATGCAGCGATGAGAAGCAAGTCAACGACAGCGATCATTAGGGTGATGATGTGGGAGACAGCAGCACAACGAACATGCTTTTCAGCTTCCAGTCCTTCCCACTACAACATCGTGCCGATGCGACTCGCATCAGCAAGGACAGTTGCAAAGGCACAGCCGATTGAGAAGCTACCACGGTGTCGTGCCATATTGAGAACATATGGCCCGACAGCACAAGGCTACGACCGGCATGTTGCGCGACCCTTTGTTTGTCGAACTTGCTATTCATACATTTCTCTGCATCCACATACCCTGCAGCTGCAGCCTTCAATTCCCTGGAGTGCTGAATTGATTGCTGACTCCGAAGCCACAGGCCGCTAAATCGCTCAAAACCAGATACCCCACCGTGCGATATGCTACTCCTACCCCCGTTTGGTATCCTTTTGTTTCAGAAGCCTGGCTTGCTGTGCAAGGCCCCGGGAGCCCGGCGTTTTGTCCGCGGCGGACGTCGAGCCGCAGTAGCACCCGCTGTGAGCAACTGTGCTTCAAAGATCATTATTGTCAATGTACCCATAGTAGGCTCCATAGTAGTTCCTTTTCGGGATTACTTTACAAATATAGGATTCGAAATATGAGCCACAAAAACGGAACTACAATGGAGCCTCTATAGGTAGTGCCACAACATTCTATTGAGATTCTACTGTATAGATTGGGAATTGGGGTTACAACGACGGAATTCCAGGAAGCAGTCACCAACAGCAACAAGACAAACCTCCAGTCAGTGTACACCATCAATCAACGTCAACTGTAGTCAAAACGAGATCGCTGTCCAGCAGAATTCAGCATCAGTCTAAGCTTCGAGTAGGATGGGTGATCAGCTGTTGACCGGATAGTTCAGGTTGAAGTCAATTTCGCTATAGCAGAGGGCTTGTCGACAGGATGCGTCATGAAGGCGAAGTTTGTCCTTCGTCGTTGTTATAAGCCACGGACCTTTCTGAAGGGAAGGGGTGGAGACTGTTCCGAAGTTGAGTACCTGTCGAAAGCGCGGATGACAGTATCCATCCCTCTTCGAAAGCATAGCCACAAGCAGGACAGGAGGCAACAAGCCCTGGTGAGCACCAGGTCGCCACCACCTCGTGCTTTCACACCGCTGAGCGATACCGCTCCCCTCATTTTAGGCAGGAGCCTCAGCCTCTTTTCGAAATTCCATTGTGTTGTGTGGTTTCGGGTCCTTGGTGTGGTGTGAAAGATTCCTCCGCCTTCCTGAAATTTGCAGAGGCCGCACTTCCCCAGAGCCACCGCGGTGCCACAGTGCAAGCATCTTGGCTGCAGAAGCCTCTTCCTTTTGGATAATGCTCCTATTTACTTCCTTCATTCCTGGCCTAGCTTAATGTCACCGCAGACCTCCAGCGACGAGCCTGAGGTGGTGACTATTGCGCCTCATCGCGACCGCCATGGCGTCGGCGTGTGCAGCACAGGCCTGCTGCTGGTCCTACCCACTCACACCATCAGCAGCACGAACAATAGATACGACAGGCAACACGCAGGACTACGAATAAGTTAACCGCATCTCTAGCAGCAGTTGAGCATCTGAAGTCTCAGACTGACGTGCTGAGCAGTCGCGGAGGAAGAATCTTGCAGAGGAGCATCAGCGTGGCCCGGCCATCAAGTTGGGAGGGATTGATAACTGATGCAGGTGGTGTATAAAGATCTTGCGTTTGAGAAGCCGACCCAAGGTGAGATCAGCACGAAAATTGCTGAGCTGGCCAAAAGGAAAGAGCCACAATATCCAGATGGGCTTGATTCCGACGGTCTGAGTGTTTTGTCTGAATCTGGTAGCAGCATAGCTGTCAGTGCTGGCTCCAGCAAGCGCAGGCACGGTTTGCAACACTGCTCCACAGTGGCAGGAGTACCATACTGCGGCCAGGGCGGACAATACTGCAGAGTCGAGGGGTGATGACAGAGGGGGGAATAACTTGCACGACAGTCTTGGCAGTCTTGGCAACTCTGAATTGAACTGACGAGAGAGACTCTGGTTGTCATCACTATCATCACCCTACCTAGCACGATCACCATGATCCATCATGGTCATGATTGTGTGTATGTGCAATGACTCGTTCTTGTCCTTGCTCGCATCGTCTGCGTAACTGACCTCGAGCCGGCCGCCCCAGATGGACCTGAAGTCTGTTCTTGGCACATGTGAGAGGTTGATGAGCCAAGGTTCATGAGCCCTGAGAGGCAAATCGAAATTTCTGCATCTAGAAGCCAAAAATATGTCGAGATGTAGTGCACCGTAGTCTACTAACTGTATAACAGAAGTGATGAATTAGAGGACCTGCGGGCTATGCAGACTTCAGCTGACAGTGAGAGCTCAAACCCCAAAGCCTCGCCTGGCAAGAGTGACACCAATAAAGGCAATAAGCATACCCCTGAGGTTGCCTGTTTCGAGGCTACACCGCTTCTGTCCTGAAGGACTGCTTCACCCATGTCTATGTTTCAAGAGAAGTCGGTATCAAGGTTTCCGGGTATCCGGCAGTCGCAATTGGCCTGGATGCAAAAATGTTTCAGGTTTGAGGCTGCATACAGCCTTGTGTAGGGATTGGGAGTTCAGGGTACAAGGATTGATTGCATACGGGTTCGGTAGATTACTTCTGATGGCACAACTTCTGCAAGCTGTTGCTGTGGCTGAGCGGAACTCCTGCCTGCAGACACAGCGGACGGCGCATCCAATGAGAAAGGCTGCCTGGTCATTCGTGCCTCCAGGCATGCATTCAAAAATCAGTATCGGAGTCTTGCAACAAGTCACTGGTGCGTGGCTGCATGCCTATCACGTTCGTGATGGTGACGTGAATATCCTCGGTCCTGCGCTGAACTGCTTTCGGGCCGACTTGTATGCCTTCAGTGTGGCTGCTTCCGGACCTCCGCAGGCAAGTCCATCCATCCACCCATACCTCAGCAAGACCTGACTCAAGCATGGGTGCTAGCTACTATGGAGCAAGATACCATAGGGGCCCAAATATTTTTAAATACTACATACTATTTTGGTGGTTCCTTATTGCATTTGTAATATAGCGTAACCCAGGTTCCTTATTGCATTTGTATTTTAACGTAACCCAAAACCCAATCTAATTATTAAGGTCCCTATATTGCATGCTGCATATTGCCACATTCGGCAGCCTCATCCCCTCCATGCGGCTTCCGCCGTAGAGCACCCGAGCCCCGAAGGCTCTGGGCAGCCTCGAGAGAAAACCTCCTTTCTAAATGGAGAACGTTAGCAAAGCCGACTGCCCTGGATCAAGTTTAAAGGGGGCAGAGCAATCTTGAAGGTCAACATTGTATTTTCAGCTGTTTCAGGTAGTTCGGAAGCCCGACAGCTGCGCATCTCAGGTACAGGGCCAGGGCATCTCCACAGCCAGATGTGCCGAGTTCTGACAACGTTGCGCCGATCTTCCACCGCCATAAAGAGCAGTTTGACCTTTTTCAGCTCATTCTCAGAGAACCAGTTCCAGGAGTAGTTCCTGTCCACTTGCAGGTTCAGAGCTTTGACTTTCGCTCTTCAGAGTGGTTAATTTGGCTAAGGGAGAAGCGTGGTACGTGCCGGCGCCTGGAGCCATCGAAGCCACGCTCTCCACCGATTGCTGGTGACTTGGCTGAGGGCATTTTCGGACGCCTAATAAGAGCAGCAGCGAGCCGAGCTTGACACTTGGTCTTCAGCCTTCGAACAGAGGTTTGCCTCCAAGAAGAATGCAGTCCTCAACGCAGCCGCCAAGGGGAGACAGCTCGGGACCCGGGACCGGGCACCGCAATGTACCACAGCATTGATATGCACACAAATATTTAAGGATATATGCATAAGTACATTACCAAATAGACAAATATATATATATATATATATATATATATATATACCGTATATTATATGTATATGCATATGTTCGAACAGGTTCATACATGTACTTATGTGTACATTCATACATATATATATATATATATATATACACACATACATATACATCTGTATATAGAATGTGTACATTTACGGGTATGTATGCGCATGTGTTAATGTATGTGTAAATGTGACTGTGAGTGTGTGGTTGCGTTTGTGTAGTTACTTACTTGCCCACATACATGCTGCGAACTTCAATCCTCGATCCTGGTTCAAGCAACGAGTAAGGGTAATGTTCCTACGGACCCTGCTACCGCACATATCCACTAGTACTTTAAGTAATGTTTAAGTTTCAGATATACATATACATATACATATATATATATATACATCGAGAAACTATTCTAACTTAGGATGCGCAACTTGAGGCTTTGAGCCGGCTCCTGCAGCGCCTTGGCAGCTTGAGAAGGCCACCTCTGGTCGCCACGAAAGCATCGCAAATAACAAGAATAACAGCGTAGGAGCCAGCATCATAATACGTTTCATGCTCGAACAGTGGGTTGCACGCAGCAGCAGCAGGAGGAGGAGGAGGAGGAGGAGGGGGAGGAGGGGGAGGAGGGGGAGGAGGGGGAGGAGGAGGAGGAGGAGGAGCAGCAGTAGTAGTAGTAGTAGTAGTCGTGGTGGTAGTGGTAGTGGTAGTAGTAGTAGTAGCAGCAGCAGCAGTAGTAGTAGTAGTAGTAGTGGTAGTAGTAGTAGCAGTAGTGGTAGTGGTAATAGTGGTGGTAGTAGTAGCAGCAGCAGAGATAGCAGTAGTAGCCGTTGTAATGGTAGTGGTAGTTGTAGTGGCAGTGGCAGTTGTCGTAGTCGTAGCAGTAGCAGCCAGTAGCAGTAGCAGTAGCAGTAGCAGTAGCAGTAGCAGCAGCAGCAGTCGTTGTCGTTGCCGTCGTCCCCGAGTCCCCAACTCCCCTTCTGCCATCTAAGGAATCCTTCTGTTTGATGCCTTTACCGGTCATCCAAGACTTCGACATGCCTCCCTCTCCAGATTCAAAGGACAGCCGGGTTCCGATCGCAGGCCAGAAACAGGAAGGCAACGCGAGAAGCAGAGCCGTTGTTCGGATGCTTACTGTCAGCTTTCAATCCGTGTATCTCAGCTTCTGGTGCCATTCATGAGTCATGCTCTGCCAGGAAACCCAGCTGAAGACCGCAGCGCTCACAAGGTTCCACTGCAGTCTTTCTTGTTCCCCCAGTTGACGCGTCGAATTTCCAGGGCCCCTTCGCACACACTCGGAGTTGTTTCCGCTCCACATCACAGTCACGGCATCCTTTGGAGACTTTGCTTTCCTGAGCCACCACCTCCTGCACTGCAACGCAAGACTATGTATCCGTGTGCATCTGGACAGAGCAGCTGATCCGAACTCTGAGCCGCAAAACCGGTGCAGGCAAGCGAGCCGGGAGTCAACAGGTTCACGAGTCGAAGAAGGTGCCTTCGTCTTAACATGAAGGTCAGTGCAGCTTTGACTGCAGATCTTTTGCAATGAGTTTTGCGTTTGCCTTTAGGTTGGGAAGAGTTGCTGGTGCTTTGTTCTGCAGCATTTCCTGGAGGAGATACCGACATCAACGATAGGGCACCGCAGCTCGCGCGTGCCAAGACGGTGAGTCAGGGACAAGGGAGCAAGAACGCTTCGAGTGCACCCGTGGCTCGGCTTCGTGAGTTCAGCACACTTGTGCTTTTTCAAGCAAACGTTTAAAGTTACGTGTTTCCGCGGTTGCCGCGACATGCATGCTCATTGCTGCTACCCCGTTGATTGAGCACTCAAGGAAGATGTCGAGGCTTTCGAGGACGCGGTAGTCTTGAAGTTTCATATTAGGCACTTGCTTCCATTTGGGTTTTCAGGTTGTTTTGGGGCAGTTTGTCTTGTTCGTAGCTTGGTCCTTCACAGGCTACCTGCTTCCGAGGCTAATTTAAACTCAATGCTGCTAGGCTTAAATTGCTTTTCTTCCCTTTGCTTGGTGCTTTGCCGCGCTGACTGGCCCTTGTCACATGTTGCTGCCACTGGCGTCGCGTGGTCAGCATTTGGGCAGTGGCAGCGCAATGTAACTTTGACTGTGGGCTTCATCATCAACACCATATTCAAATCATGGAGACTTGCAGGGAAACAGCACACTCGCCACCATTTCTCTCTTGTGTGTGGTTGTTCTCCGCTTCCTTCTACTTGCCGCTGTAGTCGTGATTCGTGTGCATATACCTCATTGTGCTTGCTTCTGCACGCCCCTCAGGCAACGAGTCGACAAGTCGTTCTTATCCCCACTGAGGTGCAAGACAACATAAGAAACTTCACACACTGGACTGGAGCGAGCATCGGTAGCTGTGGCAAGCAGCACTTGTGATGCCGATTACGAACACTGCTGCGACTGCTACTAACTACTCCTGTAGTGAGTTCCTGTAGTACTACTACTGCTACTAAATTTCGAAGCTGAGCGCAAGGAGCCTGGATCTGGAACGCCTCCATCCTCCAAGGAGCCGTCAAGGGGGGGTTTCTATAAGTTCAGCGGCCAAGTAGTAGGTTTTAGGGGTTGTTTTGCTAGTAAAAAGAAGTTTGACATCATGAACACTGGAGTTTTCTTGACTGAGGGGGGATCTGGCATAGCAACATGGTTCTGCTGACATCGCTGTCCCTTTGCTTTCCAGTCTTGTTACGGCCCGTGTGTGCCTATAGACCCTAAACCGCGAGTGTTGAAAGCCCTTACTTTGAGCGCCGAAACAGTAAACGCTAAACTGCCCGCCTGTGAGATGCGCCCTGCGCCCCGTGGAGGTCGCGTTCAGGAGACAGGGGAGCAAAAGCGAGCTCCAAATAGAGCAGCAGGCGTGGACCGGGGTAACTTCGGGCTTGGGGGAAAGCGTAGGTTTAGCCTAAATTCGTGACTCCTATATATTTAGTAATATTTGGTCTTGTAACAGCGGGTTTGCCCTCATGTTGTAAAATAGGCTCTGGTTTCGAGCTGCAGAAAGGGTTGGGTTCGGGAACAGTTCTGTGAACTTCGGAGCTTTGTGCTGTGGGCTTCGGCTGGGAGACTTGCGTCGGCACGTCAAAACTTAGCAAGTCGAAACTCAAGTATGTCAAGCAAGCAGGCAGGCGCAGACGCAAGCCGGCCCTTCAGCTAGCACAGGCTTCTGGTACTGGTTTGGCCCCTGTCGGGGCTTGTTCCACCTGCCTTGTGCAGCAAAGCTGCGGCGATGCAAGGTACATCAACCCTGCTGGAACTAGCTTCTAGTGTTGTATGAAACACTAGACGCCTATTTTGCGAAACACTAGTTTTCGGCAGGTCAAAACTTTGCATCTGACTGTGCGTTTTGCTTGCAAAGACAGAGCTGGCTGGCATTCTGTGTGCTTCCGAACCCTGAACCTAGGGCTGTTTCAGGCTCAGTGAAGTTCTGGGGACAACCGTTTCTCAGGAGAAGGGATTGGAGGTCTTCTACCGATTGGCCGAGTCCAACAAGGCGCGGAGCTCTTCAGTCACGGGCTGTTGTTTTGGTAGCTTCTTATGAAGGCTGGGCAGCCATCCAGTGTCAGTGGAGGTGACACCCTAAACCCCTACCTTACCCCGCGGTGTCGGAAGTTCAAAGGAGCTTCAGATCCTTCATCGCGGTCTCCCAGAGTCGTCTTCAGACCTTGCCTGGACTTGTGGGACTGTATGCGTCAAAACCCAATCCCTGCAGTCAAGCATGCGCCAAGAGGCGGCCAGAAGTTTGCTCATAACCCCAGTTTTAGTGCACTGATTAAATCTCAAATCCTAAGGCCCGTCTACAACCCTTGTGAAACCCGAGAGTACCCTGGAAAAACTAAAACCTTTGCGTTTTTTCTCATGTTGGCCAAGGAGCTGCATCACTCTGAGCTTCCCAGGGCACTGCGGATGTGCCTTGGTACAGCCTTCGTAGTAGGTTGAGGTTCAGTGGCATATTTCTCTCATAGCAGTGGTGTGGAAGCTAAGACTATAGTGGCAGAGAATCGGGGGGCTCTAATTAGTGCCCTAAATAGTGTGACGTCGTAGCAGCAGCTCTACCAGTCGTCGTAGTAGTTGCAGTAGTAGTAGTAGTAGTAGTAGTAGTAGGAGGAGGAGGAGGAGGAGTAGTAGTAGTCGTAGTGGTAGTCGTAGTAGTAGTAGTAGTAGTAGTAGCAGTAGTACTAGTACTAGTACTAGTACTAGTACTAGTACTCGTACTAGTAGTAGTACTAGTACTAGTACTAGTACTAGTACTAGTACTACTACTAGTCGTAGTAGGAGAAGTCGTAGTCGTTGTCGTAGTAGGAGTCGGAGTAGTAGCAGTCGTAGTCGGAATAGGAGTAGGAGCAGCAGTGCAGTCGCTCTAGTACTAATACCAACATATGTTCGTACCCGTGCTTAGCAGAATTTTTGCGAGACAGGGCAGAATATTTGTGTCACACAAAGACTGAGACTGCATCTCGTGACGCACACCCCGCTGTAGTCAGGATGGGGTACATGCAGCCCAATGACGCTTGGATCACGGACCTCCTGCGCGCAGCTATGCTCAACCGACATGATAACTTTAGAATCGGAGGAGGGCCCTCTCGCCATCGTGAGCAGGGGTAGGAGGTCAGGGAGCAGGCAAGACCTGGATCGCAAGACAATCAATGGCAGAGGGACGGTGACGAAGAAAGAGTGTGAATAACCCGCCAGTCTAAAGTCTTACACACATGTAGGGAAGGTTACCGGGCAAGGATATCTCGACGAACAAGAGTCCGTCAGCTCGGAAGCACCGGGACACTGAGGCCATCACGAGCTTCAACACTGTCCAAGTCAATGAGTTCCTATCGCTCGTACACGGATATGCAAGGGGCCGAGCTGCTGTGACGAGTCCTGTTGAATCTGCGGCAGGGATGAACAGAGTTGCGTGACTGTTCTGCTCTGCGCGGTCTTAAGCTGGAACAAGCACAAAGTCGACGGTGTAGCATCCTCTGCGATTAGCAGAAGCCAAGCTGCCACGGAATCAAGTCGCCTCCACCCTGTTTGTCACGAATCGATGTGAGCGAAAGGCGCAGCGGCATCATGATCAACGCGCCGCAACCTTCGCCAAGTACGAGGTAGGGCTCTGCACTGAGAGAGCACTCATGGCCGTTGTCCAGGCTCGCGACAGCGTGATTGCGCGGTATTGTGCTGGATACTGGGGGAATTGCCTTCGCATTGTACAAGTAAGTAGTGCCTTCAGATCACTTCGTATCGCCTGGTGGTGTCGAGAGGCTCGATTCGGCTTGATTCTAAAGACGATCGTAGCGCCTGCTGCCGCCGAACTGTGCTGATCACGGGGCTTCGCGCCGAACACCGACTGAGGGAATTCACCCAAATCATTTTCATCCCACGCACCTCATCTTCAATTGCCCTGAGGATGGTCACGGGCACATGAGCCGCGAGGGGCTGCAGAAGGCCGATAGGAACAGATTTGCTTTCCAAGCCCCCGCAAGTTACCAGTTCTACTGAGTCCGAGATATGGGCGAGGCACATTAGTAGGGCAGAACTTTGCATGAAGATCAGTGGGCTTTCTCGGTGATCCACATGTCCGGCCCAGCTGGAGCAGCGCTCATGCTGTTTTTGTTTGTAGAAGTCACTCAGTATTCCGCGGCACGCACAATTCAGGCCAGTCGAGACTTCGGCATCGAGCTTCTGTGCCCTCGCTGGACTTTGGCATACGTTGAGAAATTGGGCTTCCGCCACTAGATGTCAGCAGCTCGCAGCGAAGTCTTGAGGCACTCACACATCACACCAACCAAGACCAAGAGTTGGTCAACAAAGTGTCAACAACAAGCCCAACATTGGCCATGTTTCATGGGCCACACGGGGCATGTAATATCCTGCTCGCAGGCTATCTCTGCAGCCCTGACCCAGAGACATCGCGAATTGCACCTGGATCCCTGGTTTTACGATCGCGGCATGACTGAGGCCGTATGTGGTTGAAGAGGTGGTGGCCGAGGTGAGTCAGGCCAGGCATTCTTAGTTCCTGCCGCATTCCTCTGTTCCTCATTCTTCTGGGCAGATCTGTGGCATTGCATGTCCTGTGGCGAAACGTTCTTGTTCAAGACGGAAGCACTTCCGCAAATTTCCCCACGCCGTCGTCCATGCCATGCCTGCCACTCTTCCTGGACAGATGGTTGTAACTGACGCCTCGCAGGATGTTGCAGATTTCCATGTGGCCCTGCCGAAGCGCCCAGCTCCTGTCATAACATCCCTGTCAGAGGTGGATGTTAAGCTGGATAAGCTTGCGGAGAAGCTGGACGTTTGTATCAAGGAGTTGTCCAACTTAAGGCTTCCACAGAGACCTCGCGAGATGGATTCCGGGCACCTCAGAGCTCCCGAGACGAGTAATGCCCAGCTCACCCCGCGAAGCCAGGTCAGCTCTGTTCGGATGGTTGCCGACGACGTAACTTTGTCACAGTTGGGTAACATTTTGCATGTTTATGAGTACTTAAACCCAATAAAGAACATAAATTTAGATTTTCAGTCTTATCCCAACCATGAACTAGGTAAGATTGCCCATTTCGGCAAACGTGCCTCGATTCACCAGCACGGATGAGTCTGAAGTGGAATCCTTTACCCAATCATTTTCCATGGCTCCGATGGCTCCGGCGGAGGGCGTGAAGCCGGCAGCAGCATCTCGCACTAGGCCACGACGTGTTGCTGCTAATCTTCAGACAGCATGGCAAGCTCACGCGAAGTCAATCTCTGGTGGTGGTGCAGGGGACATGGAGCCAATTATGCGGTTGGTTTACCGGAGCAGGACGGAGCATGTTTGGGAGTTTCTAGATGATCCACAGTCCAGTATCTGGGCTTGGTGGACCTGGTCGCTTTTGAGAGTCCTGGTCCTGCTGTCCGTATGCACACCATATCTGCAAGAGAGGCAGCCAGTGTTGACTTTGGTTCTGGATACATGCTTTGATACTGTCTTCATGGTAGAGTTTCTGAGCCGGCTGGTATCTACACCATCGAAGCGGACTTATCTCAAGGATCCTTTGAATTGGGCAGACATCGTGTCGGCACTGGGACTACCGCTTCGAGGAGTGACCGGCTTTGCCGTTCTGGCATATCCTCCATCAACGGCGCTTGAGATAGTCTTGGTGTTTTTCCTGCCCCTGGTCCGGTTGCTGAAGCTACTACGGTATTTCGAGTCCTTCAGGCTTCTTCTGGATGCATGCAAAAACTCCATGGAGGCGGTGCCCTTCCTAGCCTACATGGCGGCAGTCATCACCTTGTCATCGGCGACCGTCATCTATTTGGTGGAACCCCGAAGCCGGATACCAAGCATGCCGCATTCTGTCTGGCTTGCCCTCGTAACCATGACGACGGTGGGCTATGGGGACTTCTTCCCGGTGACTTTCTGGGGATATGTTACGGTATCTGTGCTGACATGCGCCAGTGTGCTGTTTTTGGCTTTGCCGGTTGCTTGGGCATCATGCGCTGGCAAGTCTTGACATGTTTTTTGGTAGCTTGTTGCACAAACTTTCCGAAGCCCTAATAAGAATTGGTCTGATTGAGCTGGGTGCTGGGAGGTTGGAATCATCGGAAACGAGTTCTGGAACGTCTGGGAAAGTCGAAACGAAGTGCTTCTGGTGACACGCGTCCGCCGTGCTTTGCACAAGTGGGGCTATGCGGCCAAAGACGTGAAAGTACTGTTTCACTATGTGGCGATTTGGCTGAACCGCATCAACATGCATCAACTAGAGCAGTACCACTTAGACCTTGCTTCTTCTTCTTGGGCTGGCCGTCCGCACTATGTAGATGTATGTAGTGAACCTAACCCTCACTCCAAGCCGATCAGGATCAGGATGGTAACGGTACGCTGGACCTGGCTGAGTTTTTGGAGCTTGTGCGCCAGATGCGTGTCCTGGCGTGAGTTCGTGGCGTTTCTGGTTTCCCGACACGTAAAAAAAGTGGAAGTAAGCATATATCGCACTTTGCGGGTGCTTAAAAGGCCGACTCAGGTATTGGCATAAGTGCAGAGAATGCGTTCAAGATTTTCACGATCTTCGACGATGACAATAGCGGCACGATCGATTGTGCCGAATTCTTACGGCACATTTTCCCTGAGGAGTATGTCGAAAAGCAGCAGGAGCAGTCCCAATCCCTGCGCAAGTCCCAAGCCCATGTCAGTCTTGCACTCCACCAACTGGAGACCATGCATACTGACAAGTCTTGATGCCTGATGCGACTTGTTACGGACGAATTATGTTTTTTGCCCCAGCGTGGTGGATCATGTCCCACTGCTTGTGTTTAGGTCTGTCTTGACAAGAGGTCTTGGAGTCAAATGTGCTCGGTGTCCATTATGGATGCGATCGTTCGAAGACGAGTCTGCGAGATCGTTAAACAGCGAATCATGCTTTGCTTTGTGCCGCAAGCTGTTGTTGTATTCCAATGGCACCTCCAATACTTCCTTTAGTCAAGCAGTTAATGTCACACGCAAACGAAGCGGCGGCGTTGACCGCTCAGTTTGTACAGCGTCGCGCATTCTTCTCATAGAGCGCTGTGAGCCGCGCCTGTCAAACAGGCAACGGTCATTCCGCACAAATGGTAAGAATAATACTGACTAGAACAGAAGTTGTCATCATCATAGCTACACCAATCATTACAACAGTTGGTCTTGTCATATCAGTAGAAGTGTTATGATTATGATCGTGGTGCTAGATTCCCAGATAGGTCGAGGCTGGCATCAGCAGCCCTGCGGCCCTCTCAGAACTTCATCGGAGAAAAGAACGGTGATTTGCGTTTACATGGGGTGCCTTTTACAAAACGTTCTGCCGATTCTGCCACCCCCGCTATGGGTATATTATATTCTGTAGCCTACCGATGTTGGCCTATGAACAAACCCTACTGCCACGATGTAAACATAGCATAGCGATCCATAGCCAGGTAACTGGGCTTCTGCAGTTAGCGGTCTCGCGATGTCGATCGCAGGGCAGTCCGCTGGACACCGACAAAGACAGTGATGTAAATGTTGGTCCAAGCACGGCTTTTCAGGTAGGTTCTCCTCTTCGAAGGCCTTGCTTTCTCCGGCCCTGTGACGTTGGTGGGCCGGAGAAATGTCGATCCCTGGCCAAGTCGAAGACTTTCCAGTGGTGAATGCCTCCAAAGACGAAGTTGCAGGAGCTTCGAAGAATGCCTTGGCAGGCGTCGAGGCTCGACTGGAACGGCTCTCCGATCAGATGGAGCTTTGCATCACCGAAATTATGAATCTAAGAATTGCAGGTCAAATCCTTCCTTCACTGTCTGGAACAAGACGGGTGTACCGAGCACCCTCGAAGCCTAAGGGCGATGGCTATTTGCCGGTGATCCCCTCCAATGCTCCCTTCTCAGAGAATGGGGGCCCTGAAGGCCTCTCCCCTCCGGTTCTCCCGGAAGCTCTTCCGCTTTCCGATTCCTTGAGAGACTCTCACCGGAGCAATAACAACACCATGGTCAGAATGGCTACAAGTGGCAGCTTGGACGGGCCCCACTCATATCGCAGCTTCCGTGACATGCGGGATGTTTCGGCCAATTCAGCCAGCGAGCCTGATTTGGGCTCGGACGAGGGGGAGAGGGCCGTAGAAACCCGACGACGGGTTCAGCAGGCCCGAAGTGTAGACCTGAAGGTCGCCTGGCGGATGCATGGGAAGCAGATGCGGCAGAATTTTCCAGACGATGAAACGCAGCCCTTGATGCGCCTCGTCTATCGCAGCCGAGCCGATTATGTATGGGAGCTACTTGACGATGCAAACTCGAGTGCAACGGCATGGTGGGTATCCACTTTTCTGAAGTTGTTGGTTGTATCCTCTCTTTTCATCACAAACCTGCAGACGAGCGAGGGGATTTGCATGAATCCAGTCCTTGCTGCCGTGTTAGAGACAAGCTTCGACGTCATCTTCCTCATAGAGTTCGTATGCAGGCTTCTGTCGGCACCATCGAAGAAAGCTTACCTGGCTGATCTCCTGAACTGGCCTGACATGCTCTCTGCGACGGGGTTGCCACTGCGCGCAAGCATTGGCTTGGTGCTCAGCAGTTCCCACCCGTGGCAGCATGTTTCGAGTACTTGCACGACCGACGTATCCACTTCCTTGTCCAGCGCAGAAGCGATCATTCAAGGCCTTCTCCTATTTGGCCTCCCTCTTGTGCGCTTCCTGAAGCTGCTGAGATACTTCGAGTCCTTCCGGCTTCTGATCGATGCATGTAGAAACTCAGCCGAGTCATTGCCAGTTCTTACATACATGATGACTGTCATAACACTCTTCTCGGCCACAGCGATATACTTGGTAGAGCCTAGAGACAACATCCCGACCATGCAGCACTCGTTGTGGCTGGCCATCGTAACAATGACCACAGTGGGCTATGGTGACTTCTACCCAGTTTCTCTTGGGGGCTACGTGTCCGTTTCAGTGCTCACTTTCGTGAGTGTCCTTTTCTTGGCCTTGCCAGTTGGCATTATAGGTTATGAGTTCACCACTTCCTGGCAAAATCGCGACAAAGTTCTTCTCCTCACGCGTATCCGCAAAGGTCTTCGGAAGTGGGGCTACAGCGCGAAAGACTTGAAGATCTTGTTTCAGTACGTTGACGCCGATGAAGATGGCAGCTTGAACATAGCTGAGTTCATGGAGCTTGTGCGGCAGATGAGAGTGGGAATCACTGCAGACAGTGCTCTTCACATCTTTGAGCTGTTCGACGATGATTCCAGCGGTACCATTGACTATGCCGAATTCTTGCGCCATGTGTATCCGGAGGATTATGTAAGGGATCAGCAGAAGAATCGCGGAAGCCTCGATGCGAGCCGGGGAAAGGCTCAGGAGGCTCTAGAGCACCTGGAAATGCTTCGCATTAAGTCCTCTGAGGACGCTTCCGTTGACTCGCTTCAAGAGCTTCAAGAGGGCTCCTGATCTGTGTCTACGCTACTTCGACCCAAATGAGACCAGAATCTGTTTGCGATCTGGGCCATGTTCAATCTCTCATACTACTTCTAGGGAAGCTGGGAGTGTCAGCGCACAGGCGGGTTCATCCATTGGGCTTCTGAGCACTCCCTCAGCTTTGTCAGCCTGCCATCGCCGACCGCAGCTTTTGAGACTGGTTCGGTTTTGCGTTTCTACACCACCAAACAGTGTTTAAAAGACATGCCCAGAGATGGCTGGCCCTTGCAGTTGATGGAGCGGCCTGGATTAAACATTTAAAGGCAGAGGCTAGGCCAAGAAACTGGAAACAATCAACAACGCCAGTGCTAGTCTGCGAGGCAGCCCCATCAACCGGACATGCCATGCCAGCCAGACTCAGCCTTTTTGTGTTTAGCCTTCCACTTTCTCATCGACTACGAGCACGCCTCCAGCTTTCGGTAGCTCATACTAGTAGTTCTGATGTCATGGAAGTCTGTGGCAGCCAACATGACGAAGAGGAGATTATCTTTTAACAGATGGGGTTTGCTCTCTGAGTCGAATTCTACTGGTATGCCAGATGAGTTGCACGTGAAGTGCAAGGGCAGAACCAGATTTTTTCGCAGGAGCCCAGGGTACATCCTACATGGTGCACGAATTGCGCGTGCCTTTGTACATCACAGTACGTACATTAGCATCGGCAAGAGAAACAGCTCTTCCATTCACCGTGGATGCAACTGTGCGGATAGTATAGAGGGAGAGATAGAGGCAGTTGGCAGGAGAGCAGACTGACATACGGCACATCGAGGGTTGTTTATGTCACTGTGCTGGGGCTCCTTGGCGCTGCAAATGTTCGCTGGGCATCATTGGGTCGACAAGCACTCGATGATGCCGCTGCCACTACGACGTTGCGGCTCATGTGACCTCATGGTCGTCACTCTGTTTGCTCACTGCTTGGGCTGACCAAAGCACAACTTCACAATGTATGACGCAAGTGAAGCACTCCAAGCAGCTGACGGAATGCATAGCTTCCAGCTGTATCACACCCCACCGCGGCTTGCTATACAGCCCAGGTTTGGGTACTCGAACGAGAACACAACCCTCTAAATAGCTCTGGCACTGCGTCGTGACGAACAGACACAAGAGGAAATCAGATGTGTCCATAGGTATATTGATGTCAAGAGTTTCATGGTCTATCCTCGGGGCTTGTATCGGGCAGACCTTCATCGCAGTAGGATTGCCTGTGGCCGGCTGCTTCAGAGACCTGTTGTCGAAGACACAAGTCACACCTGAGCAGTGGCCTCTAAAGACTTCACGCAGCAGGAAAATGTGTAAAGGTTTCTCAAGCATTCAAGATGGACTCGGCGATATCTTTCGTCAGAATCAACCGTGGCAGCTGATCCCCCGCCAGGGCTTTGCAGACCGCGACTTGTTGGACCTCCCTCGCTTCGAGAAAGCCATGAATCTCATCCTTGGTCGTGAGGGGTTGCTGGGCAACGTTCCCCGGAAATTGCTGCAAAGACCTGTGACCAATGGCTAGACATAGTATGATGCAACGATCAGAGAGCACAAATGCCCAAACACAGGTTTCCACGAATGCCGATTATGAAAGTCACGACATGTCACGACAACCTAGGACCGTAGGCCCATGTTCCAGTGGCATCAGCACTCCTTTCAGAGAGCTGAGGTTCTCCAGGCAAGAGCATGAAGAATTCGCCAAGCTGTTCCTCATGCACGACAGGGACGGCTCAGGCTTCAGGGCGTGTCGTGCGATCTCGTCTGACGAAGGTTATTCCAAACTAGAGCTTAAAAAGAAAGACACCCTTCGGCGGAATTCGGATCATCGAACAAGGCGTCGCCCGGCGTCCCAGAACCATGTACTCAGCTCAAGAAGTTAAGCCAAGGTTCGGGGCTTCCTGGAGGGGCTTCTGACTGCAGCAGTGCTTCAATTTTAAACGACAATTCCAGATGCTTTGTGTGGCAGGTGAAATCGACAGCTCCGAGCTGATGGTGATGCTGCAGTGGTTGGGATTCTCAAGCTGCGTCTCTCGGGCCCCGCAGTTGCTGAAGCAGGACCTTGGGAGGGATCCCGCCGCCTTTTCGGAAGGACTGCCATGCTTGACTAGATAGACTACATATAGCTCAAGATCCGATTTCAGCTTGGTAGACAGTACCGCTTCGAGGCTCTAGTTTCCAGTTCGCTGTTCGCACAGAACGGCTCCCACGCCCACGAACCCAGCATGGCATATTCCGCCCTGAAGGTTGATCGCGACGGAAATGGTGAAATGAATCAGATGGAGCGGCTGGGCTGCGCGCGCGATTTTTTTGGTAGGCACCGGGCAGTTTCGCAAAGAGAGCCTAGACAGGCCCGCCTCGCGCAGGGTCTCTGCAGACATGTATCCAGACCAAGGTTCACGGCTTGCATGCGCCTGGTGCGGGATGTTGAGCTTCGAGCAGTGAGAAAGTTGATCCAGGCGATGGGAGCTGGAAATATGATCTACGCTCGCCTACTCCATTCCCGGACGCTAGCGGTCCAGATTTTACAATACCCTTGACCGAGCAAATCGAATCAGAAGACATGGTGGACGGCAGTGTCTATTGTCGTTGAAGCGCAGGTAGCTGCATCGGATGTCTTGGCGAGTCAAGCTCGTCCCGTCAGCTGATCAATTTGAATAGGTGCCTTGCATGGTAGCGGCGCATGTTGCAGGAGGTGCATGGTGACGGCAGTGGAACGCTTGCCGTGGCTTGTGCGAAACTATAAAATCTGTATAGCTCATCTCCTGATACCTTTCCCTAAGGGTTCAAGCACCGAATAACCATAATCCGCTATCCCAAATGTGAGACAAAGAATTACATCGGTGTGCTCTTCTCCATCCTGCCATATGATGCCATATTGCATTTGGAGTCTTATGCTCTGGTCAGAGATACTTGTATTCTTGATGGTTCTTCCTAGCTTTGCCTAGAGCCACGAACTAGAGTCTTCACTTCTGAAACCGTTGCGGGCGAAGCAGACAGGCCCAAACGCTGCGGTACCCGGTTCTTTGTTGGAGGCCCTAGACATCATGAATCAGATGGAACCATATGCCCGCACCACGTGAATCCCCGTGCTATAGTGCAGCTAGCGCATAGCCTGCCAACATGTACACACCATGCATGCATGCGTACATGGTTACTTGGGAACTTACTTGCTTGCCCAATCATACATATGCATCCGTGCATAGAACTAGTCTGCCTGCCTGCCTGCTGGTCTGTATGTATACATGGATGGACATGATATGTGTGCCTTGTTTCCCGAGGTGTCAGAGTTTCCGGCCCTGCTCCGGGCACTCGGATACGAAACCTGGGATCCCAAGGCAGCTGCCCCGCACTGGTTGTGCTAGGGTCGCATCGTCCGGCATCGTGGCTCCAGGCTTTCATGCTTCCGCATGATGTTCCGGAAAGGCGTGCATGAGAATCTGAGACAGGGGAGAGCCTGAAGCGTCGGTAATGTCGTTCCCGGCCACTGGCCGTAGGAGTGCAAGATGGAGTCGCGCATGGTCGCACCAAAACCCTCTTTCGACTACAGTGACCTCTGTAGAAGCTTCCCATGGCACCCCCTAATCTGACCGCCATATGTCACACACACAGATATATATATATATATATATATATATTATATATATATATATATCTATATCTATATCTATATCTATATCTATATATATATATATATATATATACACACACATACATACCCGTATGTGGTCTGCAAGGTAAGCCTTTAGTCTATATATCTCTAAGATATATAAGTTCATGTTCAATACGAATAAGTAGGTACCAAATACACTGCTTTGTCTGTGCTTAGATTGATATAGAGGATACAGTATAAGAAGTCTGGAAAACAAATTACAAACAAGCAGGTCATCGGCGAAACTCTTGAAGATGTTGGTTTGGCATCGAGGAAGGAGCTGCTTGGATCTACATGAGCTTTTACTGAAGAGGGTAGCTTTGTAGCGGAGTAGGTAACTTTTAACCTTGTCCTTAGGGGTACTTATAGATACTTGTTAATCTTTTGTTATTGCAACCCCTAAGAAACAGCTAAAATTAGAGTTTTTGCCAGGGGTCTAAGTTCAATTTTGTGTTGGGGTACCGCAATCCCTGTATAATCGCAAAGCTTATCTTTGGTAGTCGTGGCGTACAAGCCAAGCAGTTTCAGCCGGGGATCGACAGAATGCATTATGTAAGGTTAGTTCAATACCACTAGTACAAAATGTGCACATGGCCTCCTCTTGTCTCCTCTGAATGAGTGCGGTTGCACAAGTGGTCCACAAGTTCTGCAGTCTGCTAGTGCCTAGTGCTGCCTTTATCGAGGCTGGAGCTGGGTGATACATGGAGAATCCTGATCGAGCATCTCGGCTTTTCGGGGTAAGGGTCCAAAGAGCTGTTGCGCGAAATCATCCCGAAGCAAGGGCTCGAAGTTTAGCGTCCAAGTGGCCAGGTATCGCCGCAATGAAGGCTTCTGCAAGGAGGATCGTGAGGCAAGACGTGTACAAGGGATGCGGTTGCGGTAGGTGCGTCTGTCCTACCAGCTCTCTTCGGCAGAATTTTGCCACAGCCTCTTCAAGAGGCTTTCAGACCGTCGATGAACTTGGCTGAACTGTTCGGCCAGCATTAGCAGGCGCTGGAGTCCGTCTTCTACCAGCACGACGAGGACGTCGTGCAGTATGAGCGGGGGGAGGGGGGCGTTCATCGTGCTAGAGCAAGGCCGTGTGGCTTCTGTCTTCCGAAAAGCTCGAATTTGTTCCAATTCACAAGCGTTCTGCCAAAGCGCATCGTTTTTGAAGCGTCTCGGCCATGAAGCTACAACACCTCCCCCCCTCTCACCAGGCCCTGAGGCTGTGGAAACTAGATAGGGCTTTCAGCTACCCAGTGTTCCTGACCCTACAGGACCGCTCCGGGGAGCTGGACAGCCTCGAGGCACCCTTAGCCTTGCGCAAGCTCGGCTTCGCCGTGGGGTGCCTCGGGTCGAAAATTCACGAGTCTGCTTCGATAGTGTTAGTCGCATGATTCTGATTCTAGCGGCAGCATCACGGACCAAAGCTCAGGTTCAACGAAGCACAAAGTTGGCTGCTGAAGGCGACAGATGGCTAGGCTTAATGCCAAGAGCTCATGTGCTGTGCAGCCTCTGCCGGGGCTGTTTCTCCTTGCTGACGAGTGCATGGGCAAGTCAACGAAGAGCGCAAAGTGCCCAATTGCGCCAGGTAGATGTCGACGAGACCGGTGCTCTGAGCCTGGAAGAGTTCCTCAGCCCCGCTGTGGCTTCCATTGTGTTTGCTGCTGCTTTCCTTCGACAGCAACTTGCGTCTCCGATTGAGGGGCACCGGCAACATAAACTGGTTCTCTGAGGATTCGATTCATCAAGAGTCCTGACCTAATAGTATAGCAATTACCAATACGGTCAGTAATCAGACCAACTGTAATGCCAATGCTTTGGTGCAGCTGGTATGGCTCGTGGGCGGCCTCCGGCACGCAGATGGTCTATGTCACTGTTTCTTCTAAGAAAGCTCCGCGTTCCCACTCAAATCCCGAATGGCTCTGCGAACTTAGTGCGATATGACATCGTGAGACTGAAATGGCCGAAGGAACGCGAGAAGCTCAGCATGCCTCAGGTTCATAAAGCTCGCGCGAATGCTGCAGTCCAATGAAATGATGCTTGGAATAGAACATTGATTCGACGTCTTTGGTCGGTTCTTGACGCCGGAGGTATATCTCGCACTGAGGTTTCATAAGGACGGGGATGAAGCACATGGGCAGGCAACTGCCAACGTTTCCTCCATCCTGCTCATCCAGCAAAGACTTCCCTAGCAGCTTCCCGTCTCCGCCAAGTTGTTGAAGTGAAGTTGCCCCTTTAAGCATAGAGTGTAGAGTCTGTTGCAGAATACAGGAACCAAGTTCATGGGTCTGAGTAGGTGCTGAGTCGGTGATCCGTATAGGGTCTGCATTGCATAACGAACCATGTGTTTCTCTATAGGAATTACACGTATTTAAACCACCAACTCAAAATCTTGCTGAGCTGTTCCGTGGATGGCACAATCTCAAGAAGCCTTAGACCCTCAGGCGCAAGAATGTCCGAGGGAATTTCAGTTCGAAGCTAAGGATGCGCTATGCGTCCGCATTCAGGGAAAAGGCTGCTTGGGGGAGACCCGGCAGGATTGTGACCACGGCGATGGCGTGCATGATGCTGCTCTGAATGATGACAGTGGTGGTGGCGCCTGTGCTGGTGCTGGTCACTGAAATGACGCATGATGACGCAGAGGGACACTTGACTTGATGATTCTAATCGTGATGATGCCGAGCATTTGATGCTACCGTTTGAGGCCCACTCCATAGCTTTCATGACGAAAGAGTGGGAGATATCTGCCATCTTGCAGATGGGGATGCTCATGATCATGAGCAGTCCTGCATGCTATGATGCGTCGTATCCTTGGCGACCCTAGAGGCTTGGGGTAAAGGCCGTTCTTCGCAGTCGCAGCGTCGCCACAAGGAAACCTTCCCTCCACCCTCCACCAAGTCCTGTTTGCAACATTTTCCACTTGTGCCGACAACATGGGCGAAGATTTTTCACCTTTACAAGCGCTGATTCTTTGCAAAGGCTTTTTTGCAGCATGCCAATCACAGTGGTTCATCCTCGTTGGGGAACGTTCGGCGTTCGAATGATATTCCAAATTTTCGAAAACATTGGCAATGATGGCAGTGTGGTGCTAGCAATGACTGCGGCAGCAGCTGATGCTGCTGCTACTGCTGCTGCTACTGCTGCTGCTGCTACTGCTACGACTACTACTGCTGCTACTACTACTACTACTACTAATAATAATAATAGTAGTAACTACTGCACTACTACTACTACTACTACTACTACTACTACTACTACTACTACTACTACTACTACTACTACTACTACTACTACTACTACTACCACTACTAGTACTACGACTACTACTACTACTACTACTACTACTACTACTACTACTACTACTACTACTACGTCTACTACTACTACTACTACTACCACTACTAGTACTACGACTACTACTACTACTACTACTACTACTACTACTACTACTACTACTACTACTACTACTACTACTACTACTACTACTAGCCCCCCCCCCCCTACCAACCACCTCTTTTACATACTCTTGTAACCCACATCCGTTTTACTCGGTATTTACAGCACTTTCGTCATGTAGGAACATCTTATGAAGCTAGAAATTTCACCTGCGAGTTTTCAAACTCCAGCATCCGATTGTGGATTTTTTTGTTGTGGGGGTGCGTGGGTGTGCGGGAAGAATGAAGTCGAGATTGTTACGCGGACACCTCGAACGACATCTCCGCAAGAGCCATTTTACTCGGTATTTACAGTACTTTCGGGATGTCCGCCATCTTATAAAGTTGCCAAGCCTACCTCTGGACTTTTCTACGTTGTCTGTTTGCCTTTGCGAGGGCTTTCAGCGAAAACTCGAAATTGGGTGGGGGAAGGCTTGTTTTACTCGGTCTTTAAAGTAGTTCATCTGGTATGTTAAATCTTCGTCATCATCATCATCAACAACGAACATCATCACGACTTGAACAGAACAGAGAGGCATGCAGATTGCGACTGCACGTGTCTCGCAGGTTTTTTTGGAGCTGGCAGTCATTGCTTGGCGCGTGTCCCTGCAAGGTTTGGTGGAGCTAGCAGTCAATGGTTGGCGTGGAGGCTTGAGCTACTAGGAGCAGTTCCTGTGGATATTCGCTGGCAACTGTTCGAGGCTGCCTGTACGTTATCAGCCCCCCCCCCCCGCCCCACACCCCCCCACGCATGCAATCGCATCATGAGCATAGCATACAAAGCATCCTGGAGCATCTGGGCTAGTAGGAGCAGTTCCTGTCGATATTGGGTGGCAACTGTTCGAGGCTGCCTGTACGTTATCCGCCCCCCCCCCCCCCCCCCCCCCACGCATGCAATCGCATCATGAGCATAGCATACAAAGCATCCTGGAGCATCTGGGCTACTAGGAGCAGTTCCTGTGATATTCGCTGCCTGTACGTTATCAGCCCCCCCCCCCCCCCCCCCACCCCAAGCAACGCATGTAAAAGGGGGTGGTTGGTAAGGGGGGGGGCCGCCTACTACTACTACTACTACTACTACTACTACTACTACCACTACCACCACCACTACTAGCGCTACTTCTGCTACTACGACTACCACTTCTAATTTGTGACTACTACTACTGCTACTACTACTACTGCTACTTCCACCACTACTACTAACACTACTACGAATAATGCTACTGACTACTGCTACGACGACGACTACTACTGTAAATAATATTGATAATAATCATAGTTACTATTATTGCGACCACCGCTACTGCTGTTACCACTCCTCTTCTCCACCTATCCTTCTCCTGCGCCGCGTCCCTCCTCCTACGACGATGATGTGTTCTTCCACCACCACCTCTCCGACCACGGTTGGTGCGGCAAAGAAAGTAGCTACCAACAGGAGGGCTTTGAGCGTGGAGTGTCAGTCCCTGTTACAGCCAAAGCTGATGCCACCTGAGGCCATGCTCACGGCGGAGGGCTGCCGCGTGATTGCACATCATGTCGTTTCGATGGAATTGTTTTCGTATAGATGGCAAAGCTGTGAGGCGCGGCTGCTTGCTTCCTTCGGCTTCACGGCCGATGTCCAAGTCTTTGGTGTGGACGAAGATGAGGAGGTGTCAGCCACTTGCCTCAGGTCTTAGGAGATGTCTCAGGCTATGAGCACCTGCGTTGTTCTGGAAAGCCGCGCATGCGAATGCTTCCACAGCTGAGGAAGACTGCTTCTTGATCGTGTGTTCCAGGCTCTTTCAGGAGCGACGGAAAGAGTGCAGACAAAACGGCGGTTGGAATTTTGAGCAGATGCGGCTGCTCAAGAAGCTCGGTTACACAGTCCGGCCATTTTCTCAACAGTGAGTCGCTTGTTAGATGTGTTCTCTGAAGGGATGCCATTTGCATCATGCGCCCCCTGGACATTGAGGAAGGTCTTCGAAACCTACGATCCGCACAACAACGGCTATGTAGGGAACAAGGACTACTTGTCCGGTGAAATGCTCCTGCCACTCGCGTGGTAGCGACGAGTAACATTCCAGAGCCTTCGAGGGAGGAGCGCCGGAGCTTTAAAGGGACAGCGCAACTTCTTCGGGCTAGTGCCTTCGGAAGGAACTAATCCGTCTTCTGTCTGAGATCCTCCCGAACCTCTCAAGAGATCCATTCTTCCGGTGCCTCAGCTGACAAGTAGCTTCATTTCTTGTTCCTGCTGGGCTGCGTTTGTTTTGCCTGTAGAGCCAAAGCAACAGTAAATGGATGTCTTCACCAGGAGAATCACAAAAGATGGAGAAAAGGTGACCCATGAGGTCTTAGGCAATTCATAAATGCCGGCACCATTTCTCCAGTCGTCCGCAACGCCTGGCCCAGCCCGGCCCCGCGCAGCTCCCATCGCTCAGCCTCGGAACCTTGTGACCTTTTCCCACACTTTGTCCACTTTTTACTCTTCACCGTTTGGATTGCAGCAAATTGGCCGTGATTTTCTGGACTGCAAAGAATCTGTTGTTGTTTGCAGTTTTGCCCGCCTGCTGTTGAAAAAAATCGCATGTTTCCTTCGTGTCCATATGAACGAGATTGGCAAACTTAGGGCGGGTAGGTGGCCGTGGGGACCTAGCAGAGCAACGGGGAACATGCTGAGAATGCGGAAACCATCGGGTCTAGCCGGCCAAAAACCGGAAGAACTGCTCCCATGACACTCCACAACCGTGTTGGCAGAACAGCTGCACTGTTTGAAGAACTGTTGCATAGGGAAGCTGTATATCCTGTTGTTCTGGGTACTTAGCACTCATCCCAACCTTACGTTGCTTGTATGTTTTGTGGCTCAGGCTCGAGGTCTTGGGTTGCTTTGGCGATTGAAGAAACTGGAGCTGAGGGTGCTGAACCTCTCACCCTCTGCTACGAAGTCGGAACACGTGGAAACTGCGAGTGTGCATGGCCCTGTGGAAGTGACAGGATTTAGGTAGCATCCGGAGCTTAACCAGATATCTAAAACCTCTGCCAAAGACGTAAGCAAGCGGGCATAGCTCAAAGACCATCCAACCATATCGACATGACCTGTGCACATCTAGACAAGCAATCTACTGCTCAACGCACGTGCTGCTTTCGTGCTATGCCTCCTGATACTCTAGCCTGACATAGCGAGACCCTGCCGGATGGCGCGGCATGGAGAGAAATACTGCTCAACACTCCACCATGGAAAGACCGGCAGATGCCCTGCTCAATCCAATGCAGTGCTTGATTGTACTTCCCACCGGCCTTCCAGTTGCTTCCTCATTGAAAGGCCGGAGTTGAAAGCAATCCTGCAGAATGTGCAAGTCGAGGGCACCGGACGGTTAGGTCTCGACCTCAGGTTCAGCCAGCTCGCAGCATGCCTTGGCTTTAGACAGTTTCCAGTCCTAGTGTCCCAGCAGCATCACTATCACGACTGATTCCCCCACCGACCGCTAATCACATGCCAATCACGGTAGCCCGGTAGCGACGGTAACGTGGCATTGCCCGTCTCAGAGCAGTGACATCACTAATTTGGAGCATATTAGCCTGTCAGCCACGAGCAGAAGCAGTCTTCCCCTCCAGCAGCATCCGAAGCCAAAGCACGGCCATCGGGGCCAGGCTTCCATGATTTCTTGTCACTGGTGCAGCTTTGCCGGTCGGCACAGGTGGCTTGTCAGACTTCTGAATACCAGCCTCTCAAATGAGTGCTACTGCTGCCTCACCGTGACTATATAGTTACTTGATGTGCAGTGGACTCAGTAGGCCGTCCATTGAGGAGTACACCAACCCCTGCTTACTAGCTTACCGTTCATGCTGGCAGAAAGAGTTGTGCACTTGGCAGGAGAAGATGGTCGCCCGAAGACAGCAGGCTGCGATAGAGGACAGCAAGCACGAGACAACAGGTTTTAAGCAAATACGAATGTAATGCCTGCCATGTTCTAGGCGGGTTACAGCTACAGCACAGTACCGCCACGTGCAGTCCTTATGGCTGTGAGGTAATTACATCACACTCGAGCCAACAAAATGGATTTGGACGTATTCGGCAGCGCACAGTCTTGTTTTGATTTCTTGAGTTTGGTACGCCATGCCAGTTGATTGGTGTTTGGTATGCTCATATGGAAGATTTTCTGGCTTGTCGTCCGTCTACTTATTCTGAGCCTTTGTATCATGATGATGGTGAGCTTCAGCCACTGGCTGTGGCCATCAATCGTCATGCAGACTTCGATCACCGCAGCAGTAGTGGCAGAGGGGCACAGATCGGCGCAGTCGTCGTAGTTGTTGTAGTAGTAGTAGTAGTAGGAGTAGTAGCAGTAGTAGTAGTAGTAGTAGTAGTGGTAGTAGTAGTAGTAGTAGCAGTAGTAGTAGTAAGCAGCAGGAGCAGGAGTACGAGTAGGACTAGGGGTAGGAGTGGTAGGAGTAGTAGTAGTAGTAGTAGTAGTAGCAGCAGTAGCAGTAGCAGTAGCAGTAGCAGTAGCAGTAGCAGTAGCAGTAGCAGCAGCAGTAGTAGTAGTAGTGGCAGTATAGTGGCGGCAGAGCGGCAGCCACAGCAAAAGCTGCAGCAGACACGACAGAGAGAGTGAGAGAGACAGACGGAGAGACAGGGAGAGAGAGAGAGAGAGAGAGAGAGAGAGAGTGAGAGAGTCCCATACCAAAGCGTGGCACTAACCCGAGGCACTCAGGCATTGCACTTAGCGGGCATGGCACGTACAGCATCTAGCTCTTACCCAGAAGACCGGGGCCCGCTCTCGTAGGTAGTTGCCTTCGCCGCTGCACGAAGCTGTCTAGCACACACTCGGGGTGAACAACACAACCCTCGCAGAACAACTACAGTGCATAGACAGGCAGCGAGGCATGAGCAGAACTAGGGAATGTACTAGGGAATGTACCGGACAATCTATACACATGGGTATACAGAGCTGAGCCTGCGAAGTGCACGAGCCGTTTTCGCGCGTACAACCGTGCACACCTCCAACAGACGGGCTGCTCCCGCGGGGGCACGCCCTCAAGCCTGGGGAAAGAAAGAGAGAGAGAGAGAGACAGAGAGCGCAGCCTCCTCCTGTACCGCGACCTTGTGATCCACCTGCACTACCAACACGCCCGGGACAACCTGCAGGACGCGATTCAGCTCGAGGACCTCACTCGGGGGAGTCAACCCCCTACCAAGTTCTGCGCGCCCAGCAAATCCTGGAGGGGGTCATGCCGTTCCTCGAGCAGGAAACCGCAGCGGTTCTGGCAGAGGCCCACCACTTGCTCTTCTCATGGACTGCTGCACTCTGGGGATCCCCAGTGTTCCTGGTGGAGAATAACAACGACGACACCGCTGCACCTGACCTGGCCGGGGAGGCCCCCGAAGGCAACCACGCTGAAGACTCGCTATCTGAAGCGCCGACCCAAGCCTTTCGCTCTCGAAGCCCACGGCAGCGCACAAGACCAACGGGAAGGCGAACGAGACTCGCGAGGGCATCCTCGCACAGACGCAGACGAATGCATGCCGCTTTCTATGGCACCCCGGAGAGCGACCATGACCCCGGCGAGTTGCGGGACTGAGGGCTAGCGTAGCAGGTGTGCAAGCCCATGCGCTCGCTCTTTCCAAAGCCACAGCTAAAGCCAACTCGGGGAAAACCCCCGCTGAGCTACGAGCTCGACACGACGACTCGCCATGGGCCGTATTTTTCCCAACATCCTTCATACTAATTGTGCATCTTGGCTTTTGTCGCTGTACTTGTTCTTCCAGTCCTTGCTGCACACAAAGGCCATGGCAGTCGTACTTCTGTCAGTGCTATACCGCAAGACCTGGCATCCTGTGATCTTTATGGTGGTTTTTTGTTCCATTGTTTGCTCCCGTTGCTGCCCGCGTAAAGCCAGGCAAAAACAACAACCCCTGCGGCGAATAGGAGGAATAGCTTTTCCCACTAACACAATATCCTCTTCATGTCTCCTTTCCGCAAGCGGGGCTGCCTAAATCAGTAAAGACGTCGAAGGTCTCACACGTGACTCCTGTGCAAAAAGGGGGACGCCCCTAGCAACATGAGGAGACAGCCCGAACCATTGTACAATTACCTACTATCATGGTAGCACCCAACCTGGCATCCTGTGATCTTGCATCCGGTTCCATTTGTTTTCAGTTAGTTCCTTTATTGCTGCCCTTGTCGAGCCAGGAAAACACACGTAGTCACAACCACGGGTAATCGAGCTGTACAAGTGCCTGCCGACCTGTATGTGACTTTAGTTGTGGTCTTACTCTAGGTTTTGCTAGGCAGCAATCGGCAAGCTTTCCCTGCGGCACTTTCCAAAGTTTCACCTTTTTCTGTGGGCCCAGGGGGGGACGCCCCGGAGACGAGATGTTCTAAAGCTTCAGTTTACTTCCGTGTTTTCTTAACCCTTTGGGACAGTGTTGGTTAGGGCAAGGCATTATAATCGCGTCTCAGCCTTCTTTCGACTGGCACCACTTCACATGCACGTTGGCTTTTTCCTCTCCTACGAACTCAGAGGAATCGGAGGCCCAGCTCGGAAGGGGAACATCCCCTGTGATCGGCATCTTTGTACCGAGTAGATTTTTGTGTCGTAGTCGTATTGGGTTCACCGACAGCCTGCTGTTTCTCCCTTTTGAATCCAGTTGCCGAGGGAAGCTGCGTAACCTCCACTTCGAGTGCCGATGGCATTCCTTGCAACACAGGCGTCCCGCAACAGTCGGGGGCGCGTACGCGCGCGGTGTAGGGGGTAAAACCCCTACACCATAGCCCTGGCGAAAGAAAGAGAGCGGGGAGCTCGAACCTTTATTGCACGTAAAACCGTGCACACCACCAACAGCACAGGCTGCCCCAGCGGGGGCATGCCTTCAAGCCTGGAGAAAGAAAAGAGACAGAGAGCCATTTTTGGCTCAAGTCGAGCTGCCGCCAGGGGGGTACTCGGGGACGGCCCGCCCGGGGGGGCCGAGAGTGGTCTCTAGGGGGGAGGCTTGAGTCATTACCTCACAATGTTTCTGCTCGCAAGCCCGGGACCAACCGCTGAGGCCCCCTCTGACCTGGTCCTTCTGCGGACCGTGGCCCAGCAGTAGGAGGGGGCAACATGCTACCACGTTGTGGAACACACGGAGATCTTGGAGAACCAGGGGCTCATCCAGGACCAGTTGAAAAAAGACCTCGCAGACTCGCTGTCCGAGCACCTCCTTCTAAAGAGCGGACGGAGCTGGACATGAACGCTGGGTGAGGGACAAAGATGAGGTCATGATTGAGCAGGTGGCAGGGACACCCCGCCTGATAAGTTCGCCACCAGGGGGGGCAGAGGGCACAACGCCCATGGAGGACGCGCCAGTCAGGGCGAACCGCGAACCGCACAACTGAAGGGCAGCGACGAAGCAAGTGATGGCTCAGAGTTTTGTTGCATGAAAGGCACAAGATGCTCTCGGGGGACCACCCCTTGTTTCATTTTCCCGAGAACCTACCTTTTGCAGGAATTTTTCTGCGGCCTGATGCCGACTTCTCAAACTTTCCGAGCACCACCTCAGTCAGACAACAAGAGGGCCCAGCAGCTAGCGGGAACTCTGTAATTAGTGCGGAGGGACCTCGCTTTTACCCCTGTCCTAGAACAACGAAGTGGTGTGCCACAGCGGCTAGCACAAGGCTGGCGGGGCCAAAACTTAAAGAATGTTTTTCTCTCCCGAGGCACCCGCTTTTGTTAGCCGGAACGGCGTACCGGGGCCTCCGAAAAGGTGGGCCAACAAAGAGTGCCGAGGTTGAGGGTCGAGTGGAAGGTCACAGGCAGCGTGTGCGCAGGGATAAGGCTTGAGTTTGGAGTGCAGGCAGGCAGGGCTCAGGCAGGCGAGGTTGGGATGTAGCGGACAGACTTTTCAAAATTTGAGGGCACCCGCTGTAACCTAGGGCGAGCACACAGACTTCCTGCAAACACGAGAGCTGGGGAACGCTATTGTCTGAGTTGCCTGACACGGTTATGTCTCTTGAAAGTTGGTCTCGCTGACGTCACCAAGTCAAGGGGACTAGGTCAGAGCACCAGCCCAAGAACGAAAGCCCCACGTACAGCCGAGCCCGTCAACCAAAGTGGTGGACGGGGCTGCTGACCTGAGCGGGGAAAGGGGATTGCCCTTTCTCCTTGCCCTAGAGCAAAGCAAAGCAAAGAGAGAGAGAGAATCCCGACTCTCAAGCCCGGTAGAGAGAGAGAGAGAGAAGAAAAAAAAAAAAAAGAGGGGCCTTGGCGCGGGTCCACGTCGTGGACCTTTCCCCTGCGAAGCGAAGCGACGAGAGAGGGAGAGAGATGTGGCATCGCTTCTGTTTGCAAACCACCCCCGGCAATGCTCGGGGATGCCAGCAGCTACAAGCTCGCTTGAAAGAACCGGGACCCACGAGCTGACCCAGGCGGGACTGATGTCGCATTTTCGGGGAAGGGATACCTTTGTTGTGTAAAACACACGGCAGCTCGGGGGAAAAAGTTCGCAGTGTCACCTCTCACCAGACGCGAACAGTGGCGCAACGCAGCGCGCAGGGAGGGGGGGACACACGCCCCACTTGCAAGCGAGAGAGAGAGAGAGAGACACAGCGAGAGAACAAGTGTGCGCACTGAAGTTCTCGATGGGTCCAGCGAGAGCTCCCTTACTCAGTTCAATAGTCGGCGAGAGGCACGTTCCTTAATGCTGGCAGCAGGACACAGGATTCACTCAATCGGATGTCCAAGCCTACCGAGATTTCTTCCTTGCTGTGGCCCGGCTGCGGCATCATTGAATAATTATAGTGTTTAGGCTGGTGGTTGACATGTGCATTGTTGTGGAACAGTCGCACTGAATGCTGTCTCCGTGATTCTTGTTGCGTCGTTGTGGCTGAGGCCAGCGCGAACAGCAACACAGTCACGTTCGAGGAAGTCTGGGCTTTGTTTCATAGTGCCCCAGCAGCAGACAGGTGTCCTTTTCTTGCAACTGCAAGCTCCTGCATAAGTAGGCCAGTGTCGCCTTATCTCAAGAAATGCGCGTGTGCGAAAAGCGCCACCGCGCGCCCGAATTCGGTGCTTCGCACAGCGGCAAGGCACTACGCCCTTGGGAAATGGCTTGACCGAGACACTGCATGCAGCCTTCGAAGATCAACTGAGGCCGGGATTTTGGCTTGAGTCAACTTCTGCACATGTCCGACAGACTGAAGATGGCATGACAAGTAGGGTTTTTTCGTTGGCGCTGTCCTGGCTCGGATGTCCCTGTGCGATCTGCCGGCTGCTTTAAAGCGATACTACAGAGCTTGTGGCTCAAGCTTTCTGCTGAGCACGCTTGAAGGCTGTAACTTCAACCTTAGACACTAGTTTACCGCTCCGCAATGCGAGGCAATGGTGGGTGGATGCATTATAGCCTATCGATTGCTCTCGTCATCGCGACGTCGACCCTCTTCGTCTGCACACTGGCGGAGGATGCCTGTGATGCTCCCGCAAACAGCCAGGCCCGTGCTTTGCTCCAAAGCCACTCTGCTCGCGAGCACATCGCGAGCTTGGTGCAGGGATCGAACCAAACCCAAAGCGATCCGTCAGAGGCGGTTTTTTCCAACCAATCCAATGCTTCAGCCATCATTGCCCTGGTAGATGCATGTTTGCAGAATCACATGACGGGGGATGAACAGGAGCAAGCCTTGTGGGACTTGGTGAGGACAGCTGAGATTCTCTCCAAGTTGATGGCTGCCAACGTCTCAGTGAAAGCTTTGGGCAATGACTGGCCAGATGACAAAGGCGTGATCGAAGCTGCCATGGTTGCTGGCCGCGATGCTGCAGAAGCCTTGGTGAGGAAGCAATTCGAGGCTGAGGCAGCGACGCTTCTGGGAAACGCCAATTTGACTCAAGAGGCCATCGATCATTTCACTGAGAAGGTCGCCAAAATGGCTGAAATGTGTGGAGATTCCTCAGAAGCCCAGACATTGGCAGACGACGAAGCGTCCATTATGTCGAGGAACATGGCCCCAGAAGAAGCTAGGATTGCAAAGGAACTTGCTGACTATGTGGAAGGTCTTTGCCAGTCGGATGTCTTGGATTTGGATTTCTTCGTTGGTCGGCTTGCTGATGAGTCGCCGGAGTGCAATGCCCTGGTGGCTGACTCCCAACTCCTTCAAATGCAAAAGCACCTCTCAGCGCTGGATTTCTATGCCAAGAGCGCCCTCGTCCTGCATGATGAAGAGAACCGCCTGGGCCATCACTTTGCCAAGAGGCTGCATCGGCACCAGAGGGAAGAAGCCAGGGCGGTGGAGCCTTTGCTGATGCAAGCAGCGTTGAAGCATGGCTCCAACAAGCCGAGGATGGCACGTCTTTTCTATTTGGACCGGCTGTACTACGATAAGATCCATGGCTTCACCAAGGACCAGTATTGCGATTCCAACTTTCGCTTGCAGAAAGAACGGCCAGAGCATTGGATCAGCCAGAGTCAGGAAATCCGGGCATATGTTGACTGCGTGTGTGTGAAGAAGCGGCCATCGCTCTGGTGCGATGCCCACCATGCGAAGCCCCTAGCCCTTTTGCAAGCGAAGGTGGTGCAAGAACTGCAGGAAGCTAGTCGCAAACTGGACTCGCACTCGCTGCTCCAGCTTCAGACAAAGACGCCCGTTGGTTTAGGGGCATGTCAGGATGCTGATGGCAAGCCCGCTGCCTTTGATTGCTCCTTTTGCGTGAATGGCAACAACTGCATCAGCACCAGCGGGTCCTACAGCCTCGACGTCTTTGGAAGCATCAAGGAGCTGATGGGCACGTCGGCTAGCTGTGTGAAGGGCTACTGCACTCCTTGCATGGGCGTGAAGCCGGGAGATCCGTTTCAGTTCAAGCTGGATATTGGAGTGGAGGTTTCAGAATGCGGCAGCACTGCAGCCTTCCTGGCCACCTATCACTACTTTGCGGAGCTTAAGCTGTGCATTGGGGGTGTCTTGGGGGAGGCTGCTGACAAAATCGGCTGGAGCCTTTGCCAAAGTCTTGGGAAATTGAGCTATCATCCCTTCATTAGCAAGGTCCACTTCGCAATGAGCCTCCCGATCCCGCTCCCCCCACCAATTGGAGTTGCGGCAAGCCTCGCTGTGAATTTGAACTTGGGCGATATCTCCCAGGCCTGTGACAACCATTGCGCCACCTTTGGTCCTTCTCAACACTTCCGATGCTTGCAAGAGTTCTACGCTGCGAGGGGAGTGACAGGTGTGGACTTCAAAGTGGAGGTCCTGCTGGGTGTCAGCATCCCTTTTGTCGGCACTGTTGGCAAATGGTTCAAGGTGCTTGGCTTCAGCTTCATGGAAGACGACAACAGCCGCGAGATTGCCAAGAACAAGGCGGGAGTCACTATTGAGTACATTGGTCCATCACCTTGGAAATCAATCTGCGGCCGCACCTATTCCGGTGTGAATTGTGAGCCTTACGCTGGTGATGGGGACAACCGCGCCAATGAGGACTGCAGGGGCTGTGGAGATGACTTCAGTATTTGGCGCCCTGACCCCAACAATCCAAGGTCTCTCTGCATCAGGCGTGATGATTACAACGGTGGCTGGGGCATGCAGCTGGAGATTGCTTGCCCTGTGGACAATAGCCATCTGAAGGTTATCGTGCCAATCGGCTCCAGCTCCGTGAACACCAAATGCGCCATGCCCGATGAGCCGGTGACGTGCCGCTCCGACGGCGGGAACCAGGGCGTTCGGCTGGGCTTCGACACACACGCAGATTCCTACTCCGTGTACCAGGATGGGCACCGATGGTGTGCGCGCAGGACGGATCACGGTGGCGGCTGGGGACTCAACCTCCAGCTCGAATGCGATCCAACCGGTGGATCCTTTGGCTTCCAAGTGCGCAACATTCACATGGGCAGCAGCCACGCCAACTTGAAGTGCCTGCTGGTTACCCACGAGATGCGCTGTGATGCGCACACAGCTGATTCTGCATACCGTACCAACGACGATTGCAGAAATTGTGGTGACTCTTTCTATGTGACTGTCGACAATCCATGGGGATATGTCTGCGCCCGTAGGACAGATTACCATGGTGGCTGGGGCTTAAACCTTTGGTTCAATTGCAACAGTCTGCAAGACAATGTTCGAACCAGGAGAGATGTCCACATTGGCAGCAGCCATTCCAACAGCAAGTGTGTTTGGGGCGGCTCCACCAACGTCATGTGTGCTTCTTATGCTGGAAATTCTGGCTACCGCCGCAACAACGATGCTCATGGCGATAGCTTCGAGATCACAACCAGCGGTGGGAACGTTTGTGCCAGGCGGACGGATCATCACGCAGGCTGGGGGCTGGATCTCCAGATTTCCTGCATTGATCGATAAGCTGAAACCGTTCTCGGTAAGGCCTTAGGGAAATGGAGCCGGGCCGGGCCTTTGAAGCGGCATTGCTGCACCCCGGGAAAAAGGCGACACTCACGCTGGACTGCATTGCGCGATCCGTGTCTGTATGTTGTATGCCTCGCTTGCATGTCCGTGTGCGAGAGTCGATAGCCGGCGTCCTTTTGCATGCACTTGAATTCAAATTCGTTTGTTCCAAGTCCCGGAGGCAGAGGGCGTATTCGCCCACCTCACTGGTGCATGCCCTGCTTCAATCTCGAAGAAACCCTGCACTTGCACCTCCATCAGGCTACGCAAGGACGACCAAGGCGAGATGCAAGACGATGTGCTGGAATTCCCGGACTTTTTGAGGTGGAGACGGGGGAGGGGGCGGGGAGGGGACGGGGCGGCATGGTAAGGATGCGAAACAGTTAATAGACCGAGCAGCGTCCGTCACATCCACGTAGCGGTACCTTGTGTATCACAGAAAGACTTGCCAAAGGAGAGAGTTTGCTGGATGACATGAGGATGCCCTGGTGCTGTTTGCTGAATCAGCGGTGGTTGTCTCAGACCGAAGTGTTGCTCGCAACAATTATGAGCAGTATATCCTTTCGCTATGCGTCTCTTGATGAAACAGGCACAGGTCATGGTATCGTGAAAGGGAATCCGACCCGAAATTACCAGAAAGACTCGCGCGGTTGCATGTTGTCGTGCTGAGAGCTTCAGCCGGAGCTGATCTTCTTAGATAGTGAGGAAGCTAAGTAAGAAGAGCAAAACTTCCCACCCAGAATCCTAAACTTCCTAAACTCTACTCGAGTCCGTCGCGACAGTCAACAGGTTGGTGAAAGACTTGGAGGACACGAACTTTGCCGGCCTGGCGAAGGCTTGAGGGTCCGCGACCCTGTTGCTTCTTGAAACGGATGGCGGATAGCAATGCAGGGGGTTCTTGAACATTTTGTCAGAGCTTCAACTTGAATGAAGTGGCCGTTACAACCCGTAGGAGGGATTTGACATGGCATCCAGAGGAAATGGCCGTGAAGTTACATAGCTTGCATGTGGGACCAAGTTGGCTCGGCACACTTGACTGAGATTGGCATGCACTATCCCCTAAATTCGTCGCAGTGAAACTGCACTTGCACTTGTTTTTTACCGCTGGTGTTCGGCTGGAGGCACGGTGGAAGCATAAAGAGCTGTTTCCCTCCAGTAGCTGGACATATCATATTCCAGACGTCTGTACCATGCCCAACACGCATTGGCAATTGGATTACGACGGCCGAGAAAAAGCCCGTGGCACCGAAGCAGATTCCTCGAACTAGTCTTCAGAAATCTCGGGCGTTTGAGGCTACCTGGCCCTCTGAATTCAGACGTGCCAGAAACCTGCTTGCATCACGGCAAAGCCGTAAAGTTGTAAAGGTGATAACGACGAGTGTGTTGCGTTTGGCTCCCTTTGGCTGCCCTTGCAACCTCCGCTTGGTCTGACCAGCGACTCGGCTGGTTTTGATAAGCCATCCAGGCTCCTCGATTTTTATTGGCACGACCCGGCTGCACAGACGTGCATGGGTTTCAAGGGTCTTTCAAGCAAGTCGCTGCAGGGGCGTTCGTCCCAAGGATGGCAAAGCCTACCCTGCTCAAGGGTTCTGAATCTCAGAGTTGGAAAGCTCACTGAAAGACTTCTTGAGTAGTACCGATAGAACAATGTGCCACATCTTCATGACTGCTTCTGCGTTCTTTCCTGCATCGCCCTTGAAAGAAGCGGCTTCCCATGTCATGGCGAATCTGCCGGATCGGCTCAAGCTGACTGCGGTTGGCCGACACCCCCGGGACCCCTCAGTCAGCACTCGCCTGGAAAGGCACCTACAAGAAACTTCCATATCTTCAGGCCGGTCTGGGTCTGCTTTTGAAGCATATATAAATCATGAAGCTGCGTGCAGCCCTGGTCTAAGGTAGCTGGCTGGACACAGCCATGAGGGGGATGCCTTCCGGCATGTCCTTCAAAACCATTTTCATGCTTTGCCCCTGGATGCTGAGCTTAGCAGGGCCGGTCTTGCCACATGAGTTCAGCGCAGATCCAACTAGGGAAAGCCGCCAGACACAGCTGGAGCACGCCTTGTCGGGCATCTTTGCGGCACTTCCCAAGACAGCAGAGGGCACTGTGCGATCGACGACAGAAGCTAGGCAGCATGAAGCAAGCGTCTTGAACTGCCACGGACATGAGAGCACGTCTTTTCTGCACGTCATGTCAGGCACAATATGCACTGCATCGGCTTTTTGCTCAACTCTACGGATGGCAACTCTATGGGCATAGCCTCAGCGGATCCATACCGGTCAACACCGCAGACTCAGCGATGCTTCTTACATTCGGGGCGAAAATGTCCAGCAATGTGACACAGTGGCTGCATGCTCGCCTTTCCGACGGTGGGCTAAGCATTACCGACCTGGCAACACTGGCAGCGATCATTGAGGAGATGGTCCACGAGGAGGCAGACATGCGTCTAGCTGCAGCTTTCCGTGCGCTGCAGATGTCGAAACAGACACCCCTGACCCGAAACGAGTCGACCTCGGTTCTCGAAGCCTACATGGCCAGTTTCGTGATGGGCGTGGAGATGGGCGACCTGGGAAGCGAAAGCGACGCGTCTGAATGGCGGTTGTTTGGCATCTTGTATCTGTAGAAACAGAAGGCACTTATCTGTGCAATGCATGTTGGGACGGGTCGTCTTGAGAGCTAAGCTTTGCACTAGCATGTGTGGTTCTGGCTGAGGTATGTTGGAGCTGGTGCAGGAGGTGCCAGAGCAGTACCCCACCTGGCCTGCAACGCAAGAGTTTCTACAGGGCATCCAAGCAAAGATATTTCAGAATTCCTCGTCGCTGTCGTTTACAGACCTGTCGCAGGTGGTTGCTGCAGTTGACGAGAAATATGGTCGTTGGCAAAGCCATGAGTGCGGCGCATTGAAGGCAGAACTCTTGCAAAATGAGGAGCATCCCGGTACTGGCAGAGTTCGCTTGAGCGACTTTTACAGCATGGCATTGAAGGGAGGGCAATGGCAATTCAGCGAAAGCAGTTCATACCTTCGCCAAATCGGTGCCCTTGATGAAACAGACCCGCAAATTCTGCGGGTTGTGGTTCCGAACTACATCCTCGGGCTCTCCAACTGCATAGCTGCTTCCAGCTATTACATGGTTTGTTGCATCAACGAGTGTGACGCGCACCTGACGCGGCTGGAGGAGGCCCTGCAGTCTCATCAGGCAACTGTGGAGGCTGGGCTTCGTTTCATCATCACTTTTCTTGTTTTCCAGGCCTTGAGGCATGCAACCTTCGCAGGCAATCCTGCTGGCTCTGAACCACACGGTCGCTCCCAGTTTGCAGCGGCGCCTGTCAGACATTGCCGCGCACCACAGCGGCCTGGTGCCACTCCACGGCCGGCTCTTCGCCCAGTGGCTTCATCACCTCTACCCCCACGAGTGTCCTTATCCGCACATGTCCGGGACTACGAGCCCGATCCGGCCAGAGGTCTTCGAAGAAGAGAGCGGCCAGGCGGCTGAAGCTTCCGAAGAAGAGATGATTCAGCATGTGGAAGGAGCACCTTGGAGGGCAGCCCCAACTCACGAGGACGGGGCTTCTGGCAATCCAAGGGTGTCTGTTTCGTCGAGTTCCTATATCCCATGAAGAGAGTGTCCACTCCACGTTCGGATCAATCTCCGAGAGGGGTCCAGTGGTTGTCAAGATTGTTATGCCAGTGCAACCTCGCTAGAGACATTCGGGTCCGTTGTGGTTCGGTGTTTGCAGAAGAAAATTGTGCATACTTGCGGCATGGTGCTGCGGGATGGTTCTGGAAGCATAAGAGCTTTTGGTGGGCAGGTTAACGCGAAAGTCTGCGTGCCCGTAGTCAACGCATTCCATTCAATAAGAAGTCGTTAGTCGTTCGTGATCTGTTTGTGGGCGTCGGCTGGTGCCGCATTCGGAAGACGAGACGCCTTTACCCTCTTACGAGCTCGAGACTTCGTGGCGTAGGCTGCGCAGACTGCACCTGAGGAGGGGATGTGCTCCCACATGTGGTCCATGGAGGAGGAGCTCATTGATCCAGCGGCTCAAGGATTGACGCGGCTTCTAAAGGAACCGCAGAGCCAGGCTGTTGGGGCGCAGCGTTTGGCTGCAGTTCTAGCCGCCCTTTGCATCTTCAGTGCTTTCGGCTCCACCTTCGCTGCCAAGGAAGGCTCAGGAAGAAGATGGTACGAGAGCTCAATCAGCGAGCAGCCGGAGAGATCCGCGGTGTACAGCGTATGATGCATATGTCAACGCAGCTCGAGATGTGGCAGACCAAAATCATCAAAAGCAGTCGCATTGGTGTAGACGTCAGCCGTTCTGGTAGGTCTTTGCGGAAAGCGCACGGTAGGCTTCAGAAATTCCTTGTTGGCTCACATGTCACGTAGCTGCATGTTGCTGAGTCATTCATGTCATTCCACCCTGAGCAGCAGAGACAGACTCCGAGCCAACTCGAGTGAATCATCTTTGAATAGCAAGACCAAGTACGGATTCGGCTCATCTTGGCAGCATGCAGAGGTTTAGAAGGCAGTGGTACGCCCATTGTTTACATGGCCTGGAATCTGCACTGTCGAAGGTTGTCCAACAGCGTGCCGTGACGGAACAATGCCCATTGGTGGTCGCAGCTTTTTTGTCTGTTCAAAACAGCCGCACTCATTTCGTTTTCAGCTTGACGAGCACAACCCCAAAGACTGCCATCAGAGTCCCTCTTCGTTACCATACGTGTAGGTGGCAACGCAACGCGGGAGAGTCACAAAGCAGCTGGAAAGAGCATCAGCAGCATCAACTAGAACTGACAGGCATGATTACGGCATTATGCTAGCACTGAAAATTGGATGACAGGGGTACAATCAATCCAACCTTGAGAGGTGTCAGCCTGTAGCCTCAGTCGCTGGCACGCCAGAAGCCCCAACAGTTCTTTGCGTTCTCGTGGGAAGATGAGCTGCGGCCGCCCGCAGTGCAAGCGAACCTTTCGAGGCCGTCTCTGAGCTTGCTGCTGTTCTTTTTGGGGCTCACGGTAGTGCATGGGAACCGGCGCTTCGCGCCAACTTCAGGCATCATAAAGTCGTCGAAGTGCACAGTCACTCCAATCAGCCTCCGCAATCCCCCTAAGCAGCCACCTTATGCGGACATCCTTGGACCCGGGATCATCTCGAGGCCCGCCGTTGCACTTCGGATGCAATTGGCAGCTGAAGGGCGGAAAGGGCATGGCCAATGTTGTTATCACCGATGGTCGATGGCTGGGGGCCGGAGGCTAGACACGCGCCTGATGCAAAGTAATTAAAGCGGATTGGCCAGGGAGTGATTATGCAGCTATCTAACCAATCTAGCATTGCCTCGAAGGGGACCTCCTCACGACAAGACACCAGAAGCAACCGAGCAGCGTGGACCAGAACAGAACCTCTCAGGTTCTGCCGCTGCGGCCTGGAGTTCTGTTCAGAAGCGTGCTTCGTATCTGCATGGCATTCGGAGCACCAGTCGCTTGGTTGCCTTAAGTTGCCTTGTTTCATGTCTTTCAGGTGCAGGCGTGCGGACATGAGCAAGACTGACTTACCTTGTGTGAGTAGGGAATGGAGGAATCGGGTACAATCATAACTACTATTACTACTATTCTTCCATTCCCTACTAACCCAAGGTAAGAAGAAGCCTCTGCAGCATCCAAGGCTAGCATGCCCACAGGCTGCTCAGATCAAGGAGGACCTGGAGAAACGGGAAAGTATCAGTATCTGGCACGGCTTCGCTTGGCTTTCACATCATGCCTGCTGAAGCATCGGAGGCTTGTAACTGCGCGCACACCACCATGCAGGTTCTCCCAGCAGAATAGAGCAGACAAAATGAGGATCTGCTAAAGGTCAGATGTCAGTTGTTCTTCTGACGCATCCTGGCTCGTTGTCATATCTCTCTATATATATATATATGTATGTATATGCAGCTTCGCTATAATTCTCGCAGCGGCCTAGCTGAGAGGATCTGGAGGCACGGAAGAACAGCGGCCTAGGGGAGCGGAGCACTACGGGTCAGCTTGTGGCCGTGGCACTCAGTGGGATCCCATGGCCTGCCAGCGCCAAGTTCGAGAGATGTCTCGCTGAGGCACGAGACCCATGCGTTTTTGATGGATATGCTAACTGCGACCAATGCCTTGTCATGGCGGTAGCCCACGTAGAGAAAGACGGAAGGCTGGCAGTTGCATGATATCTAAAGCCTGAAGCATTGACAGCCATTGCTTGCACGAGGCAAAGAAAGCTGTTGAGCTGCGGTCCCACTGAGGCCGTGGCTCTCTCCAGGACACGCCCGGCAGACTTCGGCGGACAGCTGCAGGTGATCTCGCCGAAATAAATCACGAACGTGAAAGGGGATGGAAGGTGCCGAAGTGTAGTCGACTAGTCTGGGCTACTAGCCCCTTCGATCTGGTGTGCAGCGAGCACGATGCCCTGTCTGTCGCAGCGGCAGCTACTGCAGTCGGGGTGGGCATTTTTGAAGGCCAGGCTCCCGGGTCTTGCCATAGCCATGTTTTCGCAAGACCCCATGGTATGCCCTGCCATGGCTGAGGTGCCGAGCGCGGAGACCAAGGCCACGAGCCTGAAGAATAAGAATGACAAATTTCAGTTTTCACGGGGATGTGCCGTCTCGGAGTCTCAGCTTTGCGATGAGTTTTAGGTGCAAGTTGCGGCTCTGATTGCGAAGCCATATCAACAAAAAACCTGTGCGGACGTGTGCTGCTGGTGTTTGGAATTCTGTATATCCTCTCAGCATTTGCGCAGCATCCCTAAGAATGAAAGCCCCTGATGCATCACAATGTCCATTTGTCCAATCATCCGCTGAGGGGCGAAGATTTAGCCGATGGTACAGTAGCAGCCAACAGCTGCAACATCCACGACAGCATGACAGTAAGTGTCGTCGTTGCGCAATGGACATCAACAGTACATCAACAAGAGATTCAGCATGGCGTATCCTGGAAACAACTGATCAATCATCACCCCCGTGGTCGACAGTATGGCAGGAAAAGTTCAGAAAAGGATGGGCAGTTGGAATGTTGGGGCAGAAGCACTGCTGTCCGTATACAAGTAGACCAAGTGGCAGGGCTTTGCTGTTCCTGGCTCTTGCCGTGGGCTGTAGTCGCTGCAATCGCACTTGAAGCAGCTGTTACCACCTAGACAACTTTCTTTCAGGGAAAGCTTCCACCGGCAGCTCGGCCAAAGGTACGGAATGATGACAGCCAGGACCTTCATTATCATCGCGATGTAGACATACATAGATGGCTATGATACTTCGAACAGCCAGACTTTATAGTAACTAAAAAGTAAGTAGTATCCTGCCTGTCTGCTGACAGGGCGTGGACGACTCAGCCAAGAGTGGAGGCGGGCACGCCGCTGTTTTTGTAGAACTGGAAGTGTCAACATTCATTGGTGTTGATGCCGCCGTTCGCCCGAGCACGTGGGTAATTTCACAACATGAGCGCAATTAGGGATCCTTGCTGGGTAGGGATCTTATATCAGGGGTCCGACAGTTGCGGGTCCCTACACGTGCTGCAACAAATGCCGGCAGGCAGCTCCCCAGCTGCTGAAAAGGATGCCCGTGGTACCACTGCGAAAACGAAGGACTTGCACCTTGGGAAGCAGAGCTTAAGACTGTCCCAGGGCGTTTGGGCAAAAAGTTCGACCCACAAGAACTGCTTAGCTCCCGAGGCTTGCAGGTATCCAGAGATGGAGACGCGAAAGCCAAGCGAACTTCCAGACTGTCGGAGATCCCATTGGCAACGGCTCCTTGATCTCAAAGACATGGAAACTACTCCTAGTACTGCTACTGTTACTGCCATAACTGCCACTACAGGTAGCAGTGGTGGTAGCGGTAGTAGCAGTGGTAGAGCAGGAGTTGGAGGAGGAGTAGCAGTAGAAGAAGAGGTACAAGTTGATATAGACGCAGCAGTGGTTGTGGTAGTGGCAATGATAGCAGTAGTAGTCGTGCTAGAAGAAGTAGAAGTAAAAGCAGATAGAAGTAGCAGTAGCCGTAGCAGTAGTAGTAGTAGTAGTAGTAGTAGTAGTAGTAGTAGTAGTAGTAGTAGTAGTAGTAGTAGTAGTAGTGGTAGTAGTGGTAGTAGTGGTGGTAGTGGTAGTAGGAGTAGGAGCAACAGCAGCAGGAGCTACCACTATTACCACTACCACTACCACTACAGTTACCACTGGCGCCACTAACACCAGCACCACCACGACCGCTGTAGAGGTCGTGCAGCTTGTGGAAGCGCAACTCTCTGTTACCTCGCAGAGTGTGTAAGAGCAGACAGCAAACCAACTCGTCCCAGAGAAGAGTCCTAGGGTCATCGTGCGCTGCCAGAGGCTCTTATGGGCAGGTCACCAGGGTCCGCCACAAGGACACCGGTGAGCCGCGCGGCAAGCCAACTCTGGTTTTGAGGCGCCAATGTTCAACGCGTGATGTATAGACTGGAAAGCAGCAAGCAGGAAATAAAGGTGAAGAAGCCTTCAGGACGTCTGGATACCAGTCATTCAGTTGTTAGCTCGCATAACTGAGGATCTTTGCGATGAAAGCAGTCCCCAAGCAGAAGATCCGAGATCAAGGCATGCTAGACGCTTGGCTGAGACAACACTTCGGAAATCTCTCCGGTTAGGTCATGTGCAGACATGAATACAGAACATCGCCACCCCCAGGCTCCAAAGCCTTGCAAGGCATCTCTGTCTGCGAATGCCCCATGGATCCTCTACCCTAAATGCGGGCACATGCCTAGCGGATCCGGCTCGGAAATGCTGGCGCTTCGCAATTGTGCAAAGGCTACTTTTGGTAAGTGGAAGGTCGCCTCCAGGGCTTGTGCACCGCGAGAGTTGGCCCCGTCTTGAAAGTCCTGTACCCCATGAGAGTATCCCAGTGCAGGAAGCGACTCTAAGTTCTGAAGTGACTTCACTTCGAACGAGGCTTACCTCATGCGCGAAATTCGGACGCAGATGCAACTCACCCACCCATGCTTCCTGCCTGCAAAGCATTGCACAGAGACGTGTGCCTTCAAGAGGTTTCGTGACTAGAGGCTCCTGTGGCCTCCGCAAAGGCATGCAAACCTCAGGCATTGTGCAGTTGCACTACTACTTCGAAGATGAGCACCATGTGCTTCTTTTGCTGGAGTATGCCAACGGTGGCTCCCTTTTCTCTCTTCTAAGGCTCGGAGCTGTGACGAGTAGGACTTCTAATGCCGCTCGTGTACGCAACTGCGCCACTACAAAATGATGTTGTTACACATAGAACGAGTTTTTACAGACCCCTCGTAGTAACCCCTATAGGCCGCTTTGAAAGGAACCCTATTCTAGTTGTTACACATTACCTTCTGGAGGCAACATGGCCAGCTACCTGAAGCTGAAGCGGCGAGGTGCTCTGCCAGCACCGCAATCTTTCTGATGTGCCTGCTTTTTATCTGTTGGCATGTCACAAATTCAATGAAAAGCTCATTCGATTTCACAAGCCAGAGTGCCAACTGCTGTGCCCCTTGTGCCACAAGGTACTATGTTGATGTGGCCCGTGCTCTCATGCACTTGCACAAGCATGGGATTGCATCTTGGCCACAAGAGCTGGGAGGCCCGGGTGGCCGCGTCATGCTGCGTCCCTTGTGTGGGATGGCCGGGCCGGGGCGTAGGCAGGGTGCGGCCTCAGGCCGCTCTTAACAAGCTAGCGCTAGAAACGATGGCGCGTGTCAAGTGCATTCATAAAACCGGTCCGCAGCCGAAAGCATTTCCTCAAGAGTCATGCTACTGAATAGATGCCACGAGTGGGAGCAACTTGCATCTTGGTTCTCGGACCCAGCACAAGAGAGTGACCTACGAAAGCGCCTCCCGTTGAGGTGCACAGGGACTTAAAGCCGGAGAACATCCTCATGTGTGGCGACCCTCCGACAAAGGCCAGCTCCAACGGAACCCGAAACTGTGCTTGTGATACTACTCCAAAATTCCAAATCAGTGCAAGCAAGGCTTGTGTTGCACAGCAGAATCTGCAACATTGACACCTGCACACTCCACAGAATTGGGGTGTGCCGCACTATGCCGCACTGGACTCATGGTTCGCATCCTTGTCACACCGTTTAAATGGCCGCCTCTACTGTTCAACATAGTCAATGAACGAATGTTCCAACGTCGTCTTCTTCAGCATCCATAATCTAGAAGCTCCGCTGCCATGTTCTGAAGTGTGCTGCGTCGCGAGATCAACCAGATCCCGGGAGTCCGTATGCCAAGCTTAGTTGATGGAAGCATCCATCGGGATGTTCCGTTCCTCGCCTCCTTCGGACTCCCTTTCAACGCGGAATCGATGCTCCAGCAGCATCATGCAGCCCACTCGCTCACAGAGAGACATGTCTACCGGCACGGTACCTATCGCCCTTTACACAGGCCAAGCTTGCGGACTTCGGTTGGTGCGCAGAGCTCGAGAAAGGCGGCGCGCCGCGGAACACATTCTGCCTTTCGGCCGAGGATCACAGAGAGTACGAGCGCATCCTTTTGCAGACTTGAGACCGATTTATGCATCATGAGATCGTTAAATTCTCAAGCATCGTTGACTGATTGTGGCATGGAAGATAGTCGTGCGCATTACCATCAGCGTGGTCCATCTTTCGAGCTCTCAGAAAAACAGCTACCATCCAAGGCGGTACGTGGGACTACCTCTCCCCGGAGATGGCACGAGCCTAGGAAAAAAGCAAGCAAGATCGCTGTGCATCACAATCCTGTGTGACTTGTGCATCTCCTGACCTTTGCTGCAGTATGCCCAGGTGGAGAACCAGCCTCACAACAACAAAGTCGACATCTGGGCCACAGGTACGGCGAACAGCAAACTGGTTTCTCTGCAGTGTGTCTGGATAGCTGCCCCCGTTGTTGTAAAGATACTGTCGTGCTGCATCAACTCGGTTTGTGATCTTCTCCAGTTTCCCAGCTTTGTCTCTGCTGCACTTGAAGCCATGCAGGTGTTCTCCTGTTCGAGATGCTGACCGGCAGAGCTCCGTTTTCCGCACCAAGACACCCGGCAGGAACATTTAGCACCGGCGTTCAGTAGCGAGATGGAGAGCAAGAGGGGCAAGAGCAAATAACGTGAGGGAGTCCGTTGTCTCTTCCTTCATCCGGGCCCTTCTGTCTGCAAACTTGTGCAGTGCCGTATTAGTTCCGGCCAGTCTCCTGCGAGCATGTCAGGTCCAGCCAAGGCCACGGATCGCATTCGCAAAGTGGATCTGCAGGCTCGAGCCCGGTGGCCCTACCAGTAGCGGCCCTAGCGAGCCAAGTTCCCCTGCTGTGGAAGTACTTGGGAGGTGCCTGGTTACGTGCCGCCACTGGCCGCAGACTTGATGCAAAAGCTCTTGGTTCGTGAGCCTGCGAAGCGACCTGGCCCGGTGAGGCTTCTGCTTGTGCTGATCTGCTGACCTGTTCCTAGCGCGTTTGGTGGGTGTCGCTGTCACTGCTCTGCGAATGACGAACCTGAGGCGAATCGGGCTGTCGGACCGGGGGGCTTTCAACGTGATGTCTTGACTCCTCCAGAAAACCCGAATTCGGAACAGTGTCTCCACAGGCTTCATAAGTTACAGCAGCCCATGTCCCTAAAGACTTGCCTTTCCTGACCTAGCTCGAAAAAGGCAGAGTGATGGGGTTTCTTCCTGGGTATTTGTCAAAATTAGGGTCCCTTTTTGGGTACCCTAAATATTAAGTGCCGTACTATATTAGGGACCCAAAAAGGGACCATATTTTTGACAACCACCCTCCTGGAGAGCCAGGACGCTCTGAAGCACAATTGGATTGCCCTCCAAGTGCCTGGTACATCCCTGGAGCTGACCAAGGCTTGCGAAGTGCCCCACTTCCATGGGTTAAGTGAGTTAATGTAGGAACCTGATTAAGATACCCTGGAGCCTATAACCCCGAAATAGTAGGCTTCATAAAAAGAACCCCGATAAAGGCCCAAGGTTTCTTAATCAAGTTCGTACATTAAGCGCTAGGATTGCTTTTGACTTCGCTTCACAGCTCTCGATAGCCCTTGGCAGTCCACCGCCGATGTTGGCGTTGCGAAGCAGCTGGAGCTTGCTGCGAGGCCTGGAAAAGCATGCCACAGGGCCATAGAGTCGCTTCTGAGGTGTCGATGCGTTCAGTTTCTTGCTTCGCGTCACTACTTCCACTCGAGATGCCAAGAGGTGCAGCTGGTGTGAACAAGTGGGAGTTTCCGAAAGTTAGGGGTACTTTTTTGGGGGTCCTTATAATCAGGATCCTACTATTCAGGGGACTAGATTAGGGTCCCCTATTTTCGGAAACTCCCAAGTATCTACGGCGCTCAGTGCGTGCCTTGATGTTCCTGATGCTAGGCCGCCGACTCCGAACAAGGCCCGCGCAGCTGCAGCATCTCTGCATGTCCTTCCCTACGGGACCATGTACCCATATAGGGAGTACTTTAAGGCCGATGTATATACTATTTAGGACCCTTAGGGCTTGGCAGGGTTGAAACAGGACAGTTCAGAAGAAGGAAGCCAGACACGCAAAGCACCTTGAAGGTTGTGCAGCCGCTAGCTCCACCTGCTGCCACAAAGGAGGTCACGGTCGACAGGCCCGTCGCAACTCGCAGTGCATGAGTTGAAGAGTTAGAACATGCTACTTGTAGCATATCACTTAGCACGCCCCGCATCCTGAGACGTGCTATCACGCCGCAGGGGACCCGGGCCAAGCTCCTATGCGGAGGCTTGGGAGTGTCAGTGTCCTCAAATCGATGCTTTTCCCCAAGCTTTGCCCAGTAAGGCATTGATTGTCCACAGGCCGTGCCAGAGAGCAGCCCAAACACGGCATCCCCAGCATCGACGCTCTCAGTGGCACCTGCTGGAGTTCGGCATCGAGGCAGGTGACTCAGTATTCCAAGCTACAGGTAGTATAGCATAGTACAACTAAGTAGAAAAGGACCATCAGGGAATGGTATTACTGCATATTCCGACCCTATGTTGGGCTTTCGTGTCAAGTCAATGTTGGGACTCTTCGCTTGGTCCTCTTTGGCAGGCTATTCCGATGGGGACGGCAGCTTGGCGCCATCGTGAAGTGTTTTCAGAAGCTCCAGGTCCATGCGGTCAGAAGCAGGTGCCGGCAACCAAAACGATAGCAAGAGTAGTAGTAGTAGTAGTAGTAGCAGTAGCAGTAGTAGTAGCAGTAGCAGTAGTAGTAGGAGTAGGAGTAGGAGTAGGAGCAGGAGCAGGAGCAGGAGCAGGAGCAGGAGCAAGGAGTAGTAGGAGTAGTAGGAGTGGTATATGATCATCATGAATCATAATAGTAAGTAATATAACCGTAACAAAAACCATGATCTGTGCAGGCTGAAGTCTGTAAGGTCACATTCCTTAAGAACGTGCGAGAGAGGGCTTCGTTTCGAGGGATCTGCCGGCCTGCACCGAGGCAGCAGCCACTCCGTGTCTTCTGCCTCCACAGTTCAGGCACTTCAGGGTTTAGGGTAGGTTGCAGTTAGCATCTACCTGTGCGAGCGGACGAGAAGATTAGGCGATATAGCAGGCTGAATATGTTCCAAGAGCATTCCTTATAGGGCGCCTGACTTCAACTCTACTGTGATGTGCCCAAATGCCCAAACCTTCCGTTTTTGTCAGAAAACTACACCCTAAACTTCTGAACTCGAAGCCCTGTGCTCACTTTGGCTCTCAAACAGGCCCCTCCTACCTAGAAATTCTACACAGGCTAATTTGGCTGACGGAGAAGGGCCTGCCAAAAGAAGCCTAAACCTAAAAGCGTGAAAAGCCTCCCCTGCAGATCCCGCGGCCGAAGCCCTCAGTCATGCCGTGGCTCCTGGGCTCATCTGGGGTTTCGGGCGGAGGAATAGGGTTTAGGGTTTTAGAGTTTAGGGTTAAGTGTTTTGGGTTAAGGTTTCAAGGAAGGATTCAAGGAAAATGGGGTTTAGGGTATAGGGTATGGCGGAATACGGTTTAGGGTTCGTGTAAACAGGGCAATTTGACGGATTTGCGGATATGTTCGAGCGGTTTGTGTGTGCTTGGGGCCTGTAACGCTGAAAGGCATCGAAACCTAAACCTGAATTCCTGTGTGGCGGTGTCGTAGAGTTGCATGTATTCTAGTAGCAGATCATGCATCACACATGACCCAAAAGACCTGAGCAGTTCAAGCACCAGACATCGCTTGCCTGAACTCCAGGTCGGATAACACTCCCACCTCGATCAAGGACTTCACAGTGTTCAATGCTCTGCCAGTATGCTGATTCCGCGGGCAGAGCACTCCTTCCTCCCTCTGTCTGCAGAACCTTAGCATGCAGGTAATGCGTCCGCCCCAAAAGCACCATGCAAGAAGCATGCAGGAGGGAGGAAGTCGCAGCTCCAGCAAGGCGGCCGCAGTTTAGCTGTGCACATCTTCTTCTTCCTTCAGTACCACAGTACTAAACTCTATCTGTGAATCTGTGTACGACGGCGACGCTTCCCCGAAACTGAGGACCTGCCCAGTACAGTAGGCCTCTTGTACTCTTTCGAAGAGTGATGGGTAGGAGTTTCCAAAAATAGGGGACCCCAATATAGCACCCTATTTAATAGGATCCTTATTATAAGAACCCCCAAATAAGGTGCCCCTAATTTTCGGAAACTCCCGGATGAGCATTTTGGGGTCTCCAGGAGGCGTCTGAGCTTGGCACCCCTGCGGAAGCCAAGAGGGCCTTGGACTTCAGACTTCCCGATACGAAGGAGCTGTGCCGCGACCACACGGAGCTGATAAATGACAAGAATAGTAGTATATAATACTAACAATAGTTATAGCAATAGAATACTAATGATAATAATAGTAATACCACTAACAAGGATCTTGGGTAGCTTCTGCCACGCAGCGTGCAATTTCTGTGTGCAACAGCCTGGTGTTTCCAGGAGAGAGGTGATGCCTTCCATCTGAGTCAAGCAGACCAGCTGGGATTTGGGCCTCTCGACTTCCTGCGCCAAAAGCAACAAAGCCCCCAATCAGCAATCGGGCTTTTGTTCGCGAACGGGCACCCTTAAGGTTCGGCATCTGCAGTCGTTCCGGAAGCAAGGACCGAGCTAGGGTTCCGAATCGCGAGTATGTTCCCCTGACAGTCTTGCTTCAGCTAGATCGTATGCCGGCTAGGGCGCATTCTTAATGCGCCGTCGACTGGACAGGTTGTATACTTACTTGACCCCAAGTAAGGTATTCGTACCCTACCTGTAAATACCCGTAAGATCCTGTAACTAATGTCACAGCTTTACAGCTGCAGACGGGAATCATGTGGCAGTTTCCGAAAATGGGGCACCCTAACATAGCACCTTAAATAGTAGGATCCTTATTATAAGGACCCCAAAATGAGTCCCCCCCCCTTTTTTCGGAGACTGCAATGTCGACCTCCAGGACTCAACGTCAAGCGCACGGCTTGGCGGCAAGGATGCTTCCCCGTCTTCACCGTGGCTTTCAGCAAGTTGGGAGTTTCGGAAAATTATAGGTACCTTATCTTGGGGTCCTTATAATAATAAGGATCCTACTATCTAGGGTACTATTAGAGTCCCCTATTTTCGGAAACTCCCAGTTAATCACCAGGTGTTGAAGAAAAGCACATCTCTGCAAAGCCAGTATATGACCCCATAAAGCAAAAACTGATGCCAGCATTGCGAGTGCGCAGGATTCATAGGCTCTACAGCCCTTTAGAACCCGTTTGAGGCGTTCGAAAAGCTTTTATGCTTCTTCTCCTGACTAGTCAGGTGGTCCGAAAGCGAAACTTTTGCTGCAGTCCGTGATTGGCTGAAGAGCCCTACAGCCATTGTGGCACGACTGCAGGGGATTTGCAGTTCTGGTCTGAGGTTTGAGGTTAGCCGGTGACGATATGTATGGCGTAATTGCAACATCTCACAGAAATCAGAACAAATCTTAGCACCATACCATGCGATATGTTAGACACGCATGCTGCATGCTGCAGGACACCACGTACCATGTACATGCACATACATAGAGATGTAGAAACATACATGTTCTATCTTGTTCGTCTCTTGACGCTATGCTGGTCGGTGGTTACGCGACACGGTCCTGAACGCAATATCGCACCGAGACCGAGAGACTGAGAGGCAGAGCGAGGCGGCACGCCCCCTTAAACCCAGAGAGACAGAGCAGCGATGCTTGTGTGAGGACCCCAGAGATATGGGTTGCACGGAAGCAGAGGAGAGAACCAGGTGCACGAAGCGAGGATCCGGTTAGAGGCGGATCCACGATCTTGCAGTCAGGCCAACGATCTCGGGCTCGACACCAGGCGCGAGCGGTCTGACACGGAGCCCTCTGGAATTTTCCAGGCGGGGAGCGGAATGGATTAATGCAATGCACTTGTCAGCCAGCAACACGGTAAACAGCCAATATCCCATTCTTGCGTTGCCCAGCGCGACTGCGGTTCCTACAACGTTTGTCCGCATACCTGAGGATGCCTTGAGCCGAACCCACGCCGGAGTCAAGTCTTGGACCACCAAGCCCGATGTGGATGCTTGGCGTTTTCTACACTATGCGTAGATGAACGTTGAAGGCAAGCGGTCAGCCCGATGCCTTGCACATAGCCAATTTACCGGTAATGGTGGTACGAGATCTGTATTGACCCCCTGTGCAAGGACTCCGGCTACACTTGCTATACACTTGCTATTAGTTGACTCGCGGCATGGCCCGAGGATCCACTGAGCCAAACATCTTCCACCTCCAGAGCCGCACACGCAGACGCCCGGCACTGCATCATACATGCTTTCCTCCGGCCTCTGCACCCGTCCAAAGTTGTCCTCGCGACTGACTGTGAGCCTGTGAGCGTACACTTCAGCCTGGAGCTGTACTTTAGGGGTCTTAAAAATTACCTATACCATTTCCGGGGTTATAGTATAATGTTCCCCAAAACCCTATTCTAAATCTTAAGGCCCCTATATTAGATGAGGATGGTCGCATCCTCCCGAAGCCGAAGCAGAAGATGGCCTCTCCGACGGCCTCGAGACCGGTCTTGCTAAACCGTGGTCAGCGCGGCCAGCTGGGTAGTTCTCTAAATTAGGGTCCTTTTTATCGGGGTGCCGTACTATTTTGGGGACCTAAAACTGGTCCCTAATTTAGAGAACTCCCCAATTCTTAGCAAAACCCAGCGAGATGTCCTTCCTCCGGACTAATCTAGCTTGTCTGGCAGGGTTGCAGGATGTGTAAGCAGACTTTGAGACAAAGTGCCATGCGAAGTTTGGAACAGGTTCTTCGGTCAAGTTCCTTTCAGACAGTTAAATGTGCAGCCGCCAGCCAGCCTTACTTGCAGGACGAGCATCTGCTGAGACTGAACTTGGCGAAGCAGGTATCGACATTTCGGTCGAGGTCTCAGGCTGTCCTGGCTTGAGTGCCAGGTGCCATCCGCACGCATCCATGGAACCGTTTCGTCGTTTTGCTCCGGAAGCTGGTCAAACGTGCAACCAGTCTTCCGTGTTTGCGGGCTGCAGCATGAAAGTGAAAGCAGGTTCTCATTGCTGATTCCGTAACAAGACCCCGAATCTCTCGTGAGGGGATAGCAGATAGCGACCTGTACTGTATGCTGGAGTGCACGGCCTTCCGATTCTGTGAGGTCTTCGCACGACAGGCCAAGCAGCAGCAGCAGCCGCTGGCGCAGCCAATGGCAACTCAGTATGTCTATTAGCCATATTGTGTAGACGGCCATGTCTCCACATGCGTTTGGGTATTGCGACGTGGTTCTTGATCCTGTGAAGTGCTGGTAGCATGACGATGCAAGCAGATGCGGAAATACTTGAACATTCTTATTATTACTACTATTATTCTCATTATTATTATTACTATTAACAAAAAAGTACGACTATTATTCTCATTATTATTATTACTATTAACAAAAAAGTACTACGATTATTCTCATTATTATTATTACTATTAACAAAAAAGTACTACTATTATTCTCAAATTATTATTACTATTAACAAAAAAGTACTACTATTATTCTCATTATTATTATTACTATTAACAAAAAAGTACTACTATTATTCTCATTACTTTTATTACTATTATCAGTCTTATTACTAATTACTATTATTCTCATAGTACAAGAGCTCGGCTCTTGTACTGAGGAGTCCGTGGACGACGTTACCAAGTGCCACAATGCACTCGACAGTCTCCAAGAGCGCCTCCAGAGGCACCCGTACTAGCATGACCATGTCTGTTTGCATGGCAACAACTTCCAACTCCGTTGGAAGTTCTTCCCATCGTCGCCTGGGGTTGTGCTTTGCAGAAGCCTGTGCATGCTGTGCTGTGAATCTGCACCCATGCACAGTCATTCTGCTATTTGTGGTCCTGCTGATGGGTTGTGGTCAGGAAGTGGGAGGCTATGGTCGCTGGCTGAGGACGCATTGCAGCATCCGCATGGCCACAGTCGTTGGATTTACAAACTGAAACCGGTCTTCTCCCATGGTGGACAGTTTAGGCCGTTGTGCACTGTTGCTTGGGGACACCTTGGCCCCTCGAACCAAGTCAGGCATCGCTTTGCTTTGTGCCAGGAGTCCTGTGCGAGAAGCTCTTTTCGCAGAACATGTGTCACGGAGCTATGTTTCACCTTGTTCAATGCTGAAGTTGAGGTCCTGAAGCCTCCTGCTTTAGGCTCTTAGGACCGAAGCCGTGCTCTCGACCTAGATAGCTTGCTTGCACCTGCCCGAGCACAGCGGGTGCAAGCCCCAAGGAGCCCTCCTTGGCTTTTACAAATGTCATTTTGCTTTCGGGACCTTGCACTTGTCTGGCAGCCGAATGCTAGCCCTAGGCTGTGACACCTGCGAGAATCTTCATATTGCGTCGGGTTTTGTTCCAAGCTCATCAGCATAGAACTGCTTAGAGCTTGCCATAAGCTTTATGTCTGCACAATAAACGCCGGAGCAGAAACATGCTAAACGAAAGTGCTCCAGAGTGCAGCAAAGTCCCACTTCTGTCCCGTTGGAGTTCCATGGCCTGGCAAATCAATTTGCTTAATAGCAATGTCGGCTTGCTTCTGCGCGCACACCACCCTTTCTGGACAGATAATTGTCTCGATGCGGAGCATGAGTACGTTGGTGAGCAGATGGGTTTCGGCACCTTGCTCGATCTCGTCCTTAGGTTTGGACGCATGAGCAAGCAAATGCCTCAGGAAGCACAGGCATGCACGGGCCCAGTCGCCTCTACATGGGCTGTAAAGAGAGATGCATTTTCCTTTTGGCCACGTGCTTCAGATTCAATCGCATGGCGCATACCTAAGACAGGCCGGAATGGCTCGTAGCTCTGCCACCAGGTTTGTGGAGCGCTGTGCATTTTCATAGCAATGTCACAAGGTGTGGCGCTTCAATGACCAGCCGCCGGCCTCCTTGTGCTAGCATAAGCTACTCAGCAGGCTCCTCACATGGTCAGATCGCAAGCTGCATAGAGGTCATTGAACTGTATAGCACGGCGCCCACCGATTTTGTACAGTTTCAAGTCTTCATAGCATGAAAACAGCTGGCCCGAAATGCCAGTTCTGAGCACAGGACCTCCTGTGTGCTGACCTGCATAGGCCTTCGTAGGCTGGCCTGTTGCACACGTCAGGGCTAACGAAGCTTCATCCGCCTCAGGTGCGGTAAGCCCGGCAGGCAGTGAGTGCCAATGAACAAAACAGCGTTGATGGCCCGGTGCAAGGTATTGTGTTCGCAGGCATACGGCATCACAGTAATTACCGGAAGACAGCATCAGCACTTTTCACTGTGTAATTATGCACCAACAATGCAGTGACGACTTTAGTCCTAAGCCTGATGGTAAGCCGTTCAGTGGGGGCGAAAGTTTAGAGTTCAAAGCTAGTGTTGCTCACGAGCTGGTGAGGCGGGCCGAGGCATGCTTCTAAGCCAGTTAAGGGAGCAAATCTGCAGCTATTAGGCTTTGGGGGAGCAGAGTGACAGCCATAAGGTTATGATTCTATGATAGCCTGAGCTTCAGTCGGAAGCGTATGGACTTTGGAGTGGCATGGTGGGAAGCAACGACAGGGATGCCAGAAGAATTGATTAGGCTTAGGCAGAACACATCACATCACGGAGGGGTGTGTGTCTGTGTGTGTGTGTGCTGGTGCAACTGATCTAAGGCCACGTCTTTCGTGTTCGTTGTAGCGCAAAGTCGTCGAGAGCATTATATAACTAAGCAGCCACCAATCCTTCGGATGCTGAGCTCAACGCAAGGCAGAAAGACGCCATGACGCGATGGGCCTGTGCACCGCTGTTTCTGCTGCTTTTCCCGTGCTGCGGAAGGGGAGCCAAAATCGATCAGGGCCCTGAGCTTGCATCGGAGCAGGTGGGAGTTTGCGGAAATTGGGGGGGGGGGGGGGGGGGGGTACCTTATTTTGGGGGGGGTCCTTATAACAAGGGTCCCAGTATTTAAGAGTATTATTATATGAGGGATTTAGGGTCCCCTAGTTTCGGAAACTACCAGGTCCTGGAGGAAGCGGTGTTGGAGGCAAAGTTCTTCGAGCACAGAGAGCGGTTTGGGATCGATGATCGCCGTACTCTCGAAGTCTTCTTCCAGCTCTTCGACCTTTGGATCATGCTGTACCGCCTGAACAAGGCGGATGAAGCCTTGAAAGAGGTGCTGCCGGCTTGCTGGTGGCGTCAAGATGACCTGACAGTCCAAGCCATCCAGGTGCGAGGGGAAGGCTTAATAACTCCTTACAACTCCTTAGTCCCAGCATATCGGCACATCTCTGCAGGTAGCATCCCCAACTTGATGCATATGCTCTTTTGCTCTTTTTGGTGCCACCTTCCAATGCTTTCTCAGAATCAATCCGTGCGTCCTCTCGGCATCACCTTGCGAGTTTCAGGCCCTGGCCTTCACGCGCTGGAAGCAGGGCCTCCTCAAGGCGCTGCTGGTGATGGGTTCAGGGTTTATAGGGTTTATAGGGTTTAGGGTTTAGGGGGGCGAGCGATGCAAAAAAGGGGGGCGAGCACTAATCAAGCCTGTGGAAAAGGGGCTTTCGTTTTGAGACACAAACATAAGCTGCAAGGAGGAGCTACGGACAAGTTGCGTTGCTAAGGTTCATGGCTAGTGCATGGTAGCGACAACAGCGGCGACTATAGTGACAACAGCAGCTAAGAGAGTTGAGACTGCACTTGCGGCAGTACTGCTACCGTCTGGCACTACGTAACACATCATCCCCATAAGGCAATGACATTGTGCGACTCAAGGGCAGGCCAACCAGAGACGAATCGCCACACTTTCAATAGAGGCTATGCTTCCGAGTTAATACAAGCACCCGCTGCGAGGAAGCCTTGACATGGTTCAATCTCATGGAAGGCCTGCTGGGGAAGAGTGCGGCCACTTGGTGTCGAATGAACTTGACCTGTGCAGTGAATGTGGTACTCGAAGCATTGGTAATTTAATACTATTGCCTCAGGGTCCCACAAAGTGTCAGACCTCGCGAGCCGGGCACAGCTTCCAAGCAATGCGAGAGGGAAAAAAAACAAAGTGTTTCAGTGTAGAATCTACCCCCGCGCCATACTCCAATCATTAAGACCGCTACATGAGGTGTGAGCACCCAAAGCAAGCCTCGAACGATGACGCAACTCGAGGCACTCTGCGAGAACATCGGGCACACGTACAATTCGCAAGCCGGTGGCATTCAAGGGCAACGGAGAGCAGCCGAGCCTGTGAACCCCCGATGTCGGTAGTATCAACCTGGGATAACTTGGGGGACTCACGACCCGCTGGGGTTACCAGCTGAGGATGGGGATGCATGCAGAAGCTGAGACCTACTTTCTGCAGTCCTTGCTGTTCCTGGATTCCAACGTATCCACTCAGAAGAACAAAGGCCACAGCATTGCCGTACAAGCAGTTAAGCTCGTTTAACGTGTGGCCCAGAATCCACATGCCTGTGTTCATTCCTGCTCTGCTTGATCAAACTCTTGTCTTTTTTCAGATGGTTCCCCCAGACAAAATCCGGTGCATTTGAGAGGCGGTGTTCTGCTTGGGCTGGCGGGAGTGCGTGAAAAGCAACACAAGCTGGCCGAAGCCCGCGAATCGGCGCAGGAGGCGATGGAAAAGACTGGGACTACAAAGTTAAGGTACTTGGAATCATAGGGACCCTTAGGGGGGTAGGGGGGCACGGGGTAGGGGGCCTCAATACCTACAATAAGGACTTAACAAGGCCTACCTAAGGGTCCCCATGATGTAATCCGCCAGGCTCCTACTCGTACGAGTTGTGCTGGTCCTGTGCACTGATCAGGCTTACGACCTCTACAAGCAGCGGGATGTGGAGAATGGCTGGGAGTCATCCCTCACTGCCAAAGCCGGAATGACCCTAAGCAGCTTGCCTCAGCTCAGCCCACTTCAGAACAGGAGAGGCGAAAGGCGTCCCTTGCGTACTCAAACATGTCAGGAAGGGGGCTCTTAAGGACCCCAAAAATGGGGATATCCCTACCTTCTTGGGCTTCATTATACAGGGGATTTAGATGGGATATGCCTATCCTAAGTTTTGCTTCTGTGCTTTTTTGGGGGCCCCTAGGCTCTAAGACTCCGAGCATTGAGCCGAGCTGCGAGCTGCCAGGCAAGATGGCTCTAAAGCTCGGCGACATGGAGGAGGCGGAGGCGAAATGCCAGGACTGGAAGTCACCCTATCTACTGTGTTTTTTGTCAAGGGAGTGAATTGAAGTAATTTGAGTTCTCAGAATCGGAAACCATATTTTTTACTCTGGATCCCTATTATGGTAACTGAAACTAGGTTTCTTAACAAGAGCCCAGTCTACTTTGAGCCTCTCTGCTAGTGCTACCTGAGATGTACTGCGCACATCAGACTGGCCTTCTGCACCTGCACCAGTGAGGCGCTAGGAAAGGTAGACAAAACACCGGTGCCCTGAGGAGGCTATCCGCCTTTTCGAGTCGACCTCTGGTGAGGATTCGCCGTTGCTTGCCACGGCCTTCAAGCGCATGGGTGAGATACGGATGGCACAGGACGGGGCAGACGATGTCACTGTTCGATGTCCCACGTGCAACTAAATTCTCCGAGCATGTAAGCCAATAAGCGTGGAGTTGGCGGCTGGCTAGCAGCCTACAAGTTTGCTGTGGCTGTTCTTTACTGACAAATAGCGACCATCTTCAAGCATCCAGCATCAAAGCTTGTGTAAAACTGCTCGATGTGAGGGACCAGTTCCTGACAACTCACACTTTCAACCCATACATCTGGGAAGACGCCCGATGCACCAACTAGCAACTGTCTTCCTGTATTCCAAAACGAGCGAGTCGTAGCCAGGAGCCCACTTGGAAGCGGTAATTACTAGTATCCCGTGCTAGCACTTGTTATAAGTATGGAATGAATCATTATCGAGGCCCCTTGTATTCGCCTCTTCGCAGGACCGCTACACAGAAGCTAGGGCTGCCTTGCACCAAGCATACAAGTTGGAGGCAGGTTGCGGGGTAAACTTGGCCCTCTTATTTCGGAGTTCAGAAGACTCACGGTTCATGGCTGAGGCTTTGGGGTTAGGATTTCTGTTTCAGACTCTCTTGACGGAACTTAAACCCAGCCGCAAGCCGCTTGGGTTCCGGTTCTGACTCGGCAGATCGCCTCACCTGCTGTCTATGCAGCTTTCAGAATCGGTGACGCTCGCTTCTGATAGTCAAATCACACAGCCGTGCAAAGCACAGTGGCCGCTTTTCCTATATGCAGGCAATCAAGGATGCATTCGACCTCACCGAAGTCGTGCTCTGGCGACAGATAGTGCATCATCGCGTTTCGACATCCTTGTAAAGTTCAGGGAAGCTGCACTTTCAGCCACATAGAGGATCGTAGAGGACTTCGAGCTGTCAGGCAGCAGTGCTCAGCCGACACTCGCAGATGTCAAGAGGACAGCCTTCCAGAATGAGCGTATCGGCGATGGAATAAGACTGCCCCTCCAAGACCTGAGCAGAGTTTGTGGGCGTTTTGGGTGCTCAGTTTCACAAGCTTAGCTACGTCTAAGGTCATCATCCACCAGCAGCTCACAGATGCTCATCTGGGGAAGGGTGAGCTGGACAGACAGAGCTTCCGCCCTTATTTTCCGACGATTGCACAGGTGCCTCGCAGGTTGTGCATCATATCCTTCGACAGCCAGCGACCAGGTTTGTGTGCATTGAACCTGTCAGCTGTTATCGAGGTCTTGAAGCGTGTCTACGACATGAAGCAGGACGGCAATGCCGGTGCATACTACAAGCTTGCAGGGGAGCTCTTCGTGCTGGGTGAGGACTGCGAGGTTGGGATGTGCAAGAAGTGGCAGTACGATAGTCGCACGATTCCATGTGTAGGGAAGGCGCCATATTCGTAAATAGATGCGACACGCATGTGCAGAGACGGCAGTCACGGACAACGCCCAGCACTGAGGCAGGCAAGTCGCTTCTGTTTGCGGCAGTGTCGCTTCTGGAGACCGAGTCCTCCATAGACACTTCTGGGATGGTCAAGACGTGCAAGGACTTGATCCGCAGCTCGGACAAGCATATCTCAGATTCCAGCTCACGCACAGTTCGAAGCCATCTGCAATCAGCCGAGGATATTGTGGAGGGACCTACAAATAAGTTCCTTGCGAAAAAACTTTGAACGCTTGCGGGCTTGCTGTTTCTCACACGAAATTTGAGCCATTGATTCCCCAGCAACATGCTGTTGCAGTTGCAGCGCCAACCTGTTCGTCGCCCGAAGGTATTTAGTCTTCTACGAGAGCCTCAGGAGCGCAGCAGTTCTCAACGGTCTCAAGCAGCTTGAAGGAGGTTTAGTATTTCCATTGAGGGGGGGGGGGGCGGGGCGGACGCAAAATGTGTCGAACCGTTTGGCCGTTTGTTGGCTCATGTCCTGTTGGTGGACAATGAGATGAGTAAACATAGTGTGGGTTGTGGGTTAGCATGGAAATCCAACATTTTGCGAAGGTTTTGTGATTATGACTCAGAGAAGAAGCGGAGCAGCGAACATCACGATAGAACGGACGTGCAATTGCATGGCAAAAACGCACCTTTGTTCGGCAAATTGCAAACAACATTACCAGCACACTGCGTAGCTCGTGATGCTGCAGCGGCTCGTGTCGAGAGTTTGAACTTCGCCAGCGCCAGCCTCAGTTGTGCGTGTCATGTTCACGGATTGTTTCTTGCCAGAATACCGTATGTGTAGCAGCGATCGTACAATAGAGCGCAGAATAATGCAATGCGGGATGCTCGTAGTTGGTACTTGTTACTTGCAGTTATTTCTGTTTAGGATACTATAGACTATAGCATACTGTAACTTGCTTTCTGTCCATTTACCCACCTACTTTCTTACCGACCTGCCTGCGGACCTACCTATTTGTTTATCGACATAAACTACGCATCGATCTCGTGTACATGTGCCTTCATCTCCCGGCATCTTCTGCATTTGTAAAAGAATGCTCGGTACCCTTATAGATCCCTTATAGGAGCCCTTCTAGATAACTTATTGTACCCCGCCTTTAATTATAGGAACCCTTTTCGATAACTTACTGTACCCCTTTAAAGGAACCCTGCAGTAGCTCATAAGGTCTCCCTATGAACTTGCCGGCCTTCTTGCTTGGATGCACGTGGCCGCTCTCAGATTTTGGTGTGTTTTTGCCTGCCTGTTTTTGGTGCTCTAAAGGCTGAGCATGTGCTCCTGGAAAGTTTCTAGCGATGGGGGCATTGACTTGTTTTTCTTCGAGATTGCTTGGCATGTGAAAGATGCAGGTTTCTGTTCGTGGCAGTCTTTGGGCTGTTGGCGCATGCCTCAGGCATCAGCGAAAGTCGAAACCGTGCCATGCAACTCATAACCCACCGTTCCGAGTTCCATGCTTTGTCAAGATCTAACGAGGTACTGTTGTGCCCAGCGGTGGTCACAGGCTGGTTGTTTTGGTGGTGCGGAGATGCACATGTGCTGGAAGGCATGTTAAACCGGAAGGTGTTGCCTTCTCGTGGCTTTTGGCTGCTGATTGCGACCAGCCTCTCGTACAGCAACAGCCTCGGCGGATTCAGGGTTGTGCCGTGACTTGCAAGAGATGATCGACAGTCTCCCGCAGTGTTGGCAGGTGGCTATATGGTTTCATGGCGATCCCCATTGTCGTGCTTCTGGTGATGTGCTTGCACCAGTTCTCAGGTGCCAGATCCGACAGTCATTACGTAATCTTTGTACTGGCAGTCGGCAGGTGTGCAGCACATGAAGGGTTGCGCGGATGAACGGCGATCCGTCAGTGTTGACACTCGCAAAGGTCGCATGCCGATCCAAATGAGGTAACAAAAACCATCAGAGCTGCTCTTCCAGCACCCACTATCTACCTGCAATCCGTTGTCTATCATGGCTGCTATCAATACTATTCATACGATCATTATCATTATTGTTATTATTGCATTATCATTACTGTTAATATTGACATCATAACCTTACTTTCATTTTATAAATTTTCATTATTCCCGTCGCAGGCAACCCGCGGGCTGAAAGTGGACTTTGCAAGGCTGGCTCGCTGAAGCCTCGGGGTTTCTCCATGGTAAGCTTGTGGTGGCTCTGAAGCCTGGAACCATATACTATATGAGGTTATACTATACCAGAGGTACCATTCTATACTGTATGTATGTGTATAATATATATATATATATATATATATATATATATATATACATATACATATATACATATATATATATACATATATTGTATATATATATATATATATACAAACATGATGTGATTCTGCTGTCTGGGCCCTTTGTGTTTTGTCTCTTTCTGCAGGAGGCAATGCTGCACTGTTTTCTCTTCAGCTGTGGCCTTGCGCCGGGACCCCAGGATGAACAAGAATCTCACGTCCATGTACGTATACACTATGGAGACTACTGCATCTGTATATGTATGGCTTGCAGTGAAGTAAGTTAATTGGTGATGCCGGCGGATTTGGATATGGTGAGTTTCCTTTCACTTCGGGATGCAGCAGCTGTAGCATACACAATGCAGCCACCGAAGTTTAATCCTCCCTTGGTGCCGTATTTGGAGTCTCAAGTGATGCTAACATGCACATCATGTCATCTCCTGCACCACTTCCAGGTGGGCGGTTTTGGGCACGTATTGGAACTGGCAGGCTGAGGCAGAGCAGTGTGGTTTGAAGTGCTTCGATGGGTCGCGCAGACAAAGCTTGAGCCTGTGCTTGCGGCTTGGTGTTGCTTGTTTCCGATGTAGCGATGCCGCCGCGCCAGCAAAGCCTTCGAAGGAACAGTATACTGAGAGCCCTCCTAAATATAGCCGCAATGACAACGGTGACCGCAAATTTTTCAGATGGCCACGACCAATCCTCCAGGATTGCTCCAGCGACCTCAAGGTTCACAGAGTGGGGATCATGGCATGTTGCCTGTCAATGGGTCGTTGAAGACTACAGTCTCATGGATGCCCACAACCCTCAGAATTGGCTTGGAAAGCTTCTGAGCTCGCAGGACTATGTGGAGCTTGCGGTAATCATCAGCTGGACTGGTTTGCCGATCATGTGCTGCATGTGCCCCGTGCTTCACTGTCACTGCACACGGGACGCTGCACTCGTAAGGCTGGAAAGGGGCTTGTTGGAAGCTTCGCAAGGACTTTCAACATACAGGAGTAGAAACGTTCGTCTTAGTATGAGTACTACCAGTACTAATTCCGATACTAATATTGGCATAAATATGCAGATTCACACACAGAGTGCCAGGTACTGCGTGCTGCTTTGCCTTAGCACGGCCGTGTTGGCCACCTCCGAGGCCTGGCTTGGAGCATGAAAAGCCCGGAGTTGTGGGTTTGAAGTGACGGCTTCGGGTCCACAATCCTTATAATTCTTAAGGAACAAAGATCCTACTATTTCGGAGGAACAAGGATCTTTGTATTTCGGAGGAACAAGGATCCTACTATTTCGGGTTCTTTTTTGGTACGGCTCCCTCATTCTCTGAAGCCCAACGAGGAAATCGAAAGTATACCGTAACGGAATATAGTAGCAATCGTACAAGCGAAGGTTTCATGCTGAGATGTGAACAAGTAAATTCATCACATCGTACTGAATGAGTACATACATGACCATACATGTATATGTATGTATATATATATATGTATGTATGTATGTACCTATAAGTATTTACATATATATATATACACATTCGCACACATACATACATACATACATACGTACATACATACGTGCATATGTACATACCTTCTTCTCTTTAAATGTGTATATATATAATATGAGATGGAGTTTATTGGTTTTACAGCACCTCCACCAGGTACAGAGTCTTGTCGCTCACACTTCGGAGATGTATAGCTCGTGCAGCGTTCTCCTGCAACTGGTGCTTCAGGGGATGCCCAGTCACATCTGTGAGTGACATGTTAACAATCGACTGCTGGCTTTGGCAACACTATTCATTGTCGAAGATGGCAAATGCAAGCGGTGACCTGTAAAACGATAGGGGACGCCCGAAAGACGAAGCCCTCAATGCAGCAATGCTGCCATTGTAGCCCTTGGTTCCTGGCTGCTTTCAACAGAGGGTGTTGGGAGTTTAGGATTTAGCCAGGGCGTTGCGGTTGTCAGGATGCAAAATTAGCCGATGTCCCTGCATTGGACAGAACGATACCCGAAGGATGCTCAAAATGTAGCGCCGACTGGCCGAGAATGGCCGAGATAGGCCAGTAGCCGTTCATGTACCGTGCCAGTGCTGTTCCTTGGACCACAAGCCCGAAAGCACCAGAACTGAAGACTCCAAACAGAACAATCCAAACATCTTTTCAAATGGGCAGAATCCCAGAAGCCTAAACCCCGGGCCTAAACCAGTTCACTGCATCACAAAAAGCTTCGCATGCTCTCAGAAACCAGCGCTTCATGACTGCACGATGCCGCGCCCTTTCGAAATGCAAAACAGACGAAGCTCAACACCCAAAAGCTCCAAGGACATCAAAAGACCCGAATGACCCTAAATCCAAGGCCACACCCTGGAATGCTGCATGTTCTATGCTGCAGCTCCCTGCTCTAAACAAGTGGATGGTTGTCAAAATTCGGGCCCCCCGTTCGGTACTCTAAATATAAGGTGCCGTATTATAATAAGAACCCCAAAAGGGACTATAATTTTGACAACCACCTAAGTGTATCGTTTGTTCCAGTGTTGTCAAGTTGCAAGCATCGTAAAAGGGCTGAGGAAGCCCTAATCTGAAAACAAAACTGGTATAAACAAACTACTTCTGAGGCCTTACACACACGCACATGCTGCTTTGCACGGCAGTGTTTTTTTGCGAAATGCGAGGCGGCCGAGTCGGAATCCTTCGAGAGCTGCCAGGTTCAGAGGCAAGGGGCTTATGGTTTGGGTTCATAACTTATGATATATATATATATGTATATATGTATGTGTATATATATATACATATATATATATATATATGTGTATATATATATATATATATATTATGCATTTTATGATGTGTACCATTGAATATATACTGTATAATATATACCAGGAATCCGAGAAGTTGCGAGGATTTTTGCTTTGAAGGCTTATGCTTCCAGGCTTCGGGAGCGAGCGTCACATCGTAGAAATCAATGTTTTCATCCGTTCACCGCATAGACGCCTAGCGCATGACCTGTACTATAGAGGCCGAAAAAAAGTACCTGTAAAGTTTCGGGGGTTCCTTATTGTAGTTATAGTACAAAAGGCCCCGAAACTCTATTCTAATTATTAAGGCCCCTATATTATGCGATCAGTTGAAGCAGTCTGATCTCTGAATCACCTGGGAGAGGCCTGCCCTTCGTCGCGGTTTGGTTCGGCAGGCTCCTGGCGCAACAGATGTTCGAACGAAGCAGCAAGCTGCGCAGTTTTTGTTGTGCCTTCTCTGTACTATTTAGTTCGGCAACATGCATGTCCTTTGATTACGCTTCGTCACTGAAGGATTGTTATTTCAGAATCTGGCAGGTTCTGTTGAAGGCCTTCGCATCCCAGCGCTCACGAGCAGGCAGCCCCATGTCAGGAGGTTCATCTTACGAAAGGGACTTGAATGATTCGACACACTCGTATTGGTTTTGTGGGATTCCTGATGATGGTAGTATGACACGCCCCAAACTCTATTCCCATTATACTTCGGCGTTACCGCAGTGCGTCCTGTTTATCGAAATCCTTGTGAGCATTACCTGCTTGGCAGGCATGAAGTTCTGCACAGTTTGCCGACGACAGCTTTTGAAGGTCGCCCTCCCGTGCTCAGCGGTTTCATGAGTCACGGGCACCTCGAAGAATCTGGCAAGCCATGACGAAGTGGCATGCTACCGTGATTTCAGAGGACAACTTCGGTCGCCCCGCATGCTGTTCGGGTTCAAGCTCGTTAAGGATCCGGTCATGAACGTGCAAGGCTTGCCCGCTTCAGCACTGCTCCACACCAGAGAGCCACGAAGAATCTCGTATTGCAACTGTATTCTGGCAAAGGGTCTAGCCTGATGGTTTCTGCTGCATGAGAGTTCGTGGCTCAACAGCAAGGATATTCGAAGTGCCCAGCCCATGATTTTATCCGAAGCTAGGGTGCTCGGTACCTATACAAGCAGCTAACTCTAGCGTTTGTTGTTGCCCTAAACCCTAAACCGTCAATCGTAAGATTGAGGACCCTGCTATCCTGCGGTCTTCAGTAGTTCGTGAAACTCCCAGACCCGGCCTTGCGGAGACCCAGCCTGACATGGCAACAGAAAACCTGCTGGCTGCGGCGAAACGGGTGCCGACCCAAGCCTGGTTTGGGCACATGGCACAAAGCTAAACAAAAATATATATATATATATATATATCTTGCACCGGTAAACTGCATGTAGAATACCCAGCTAGAACATGTAACTAGAGAGTACTTCAGTAGGTCGTGTCAAAGTAGTAGATGTGCCGTGTCATTTGTTGTTGTTGGTGTTGTCGCCTTGCAAGGTTTGGACAGATGTCTCAGCACAGATCAAGGCCTGGGGGTCTCTTGTTTCAGGGTTCAGGACTCAGGATGATTGAGCAGCAGCCACATCAGAGTGTCCGAAAATGGGAGACCCTAATATAGTACCCAAAATGGTAGGATCCTTATCATGAGGACCCCGAAATAAGGTGCCCCCAATTTTCGGAAACTCCCACATCTTCTGGGGCATCAAGACTCCACGCAGGCAGCTGACGAGCCGAAAGAAGGCACGTTGCTGCCAGTGGACGAGTTGAAGAAGGCAGATGGACATGAGTTTCTAAGCACGAAAATGTGGCTGAGACGCCGTTGCAAGCGCCCGAACTGCAATTTAGTCTTCGACACCGGGAGGTCTCGAAGTACCTACAACACACGCTGACGAAATTTGGAGCGTCGGCAACAGCTGTGGCGGATGCAGAGGACGCATTTGTCCCCGAACTCGCTTATATGTTTCATGCCATGCAGCATGGGGTTTGGATGTTTCGCTGGCGGCGCCCTCGTTTTCCGCGTGTTCAACCGTCCTTTCTTGCCGATGTGGTTCTAACACACAAGACAGAGTGCCTGCTGAGCTGCACTGCTTTGTTTGTACAGGGAGGGGCCTTAGATTCACAGCTCAATCAGCAGCTGTGCACCAAAATGCATGCAAGCCGGTGGCGCACAGGCATTCGTGACAATGTGTTTTGGCATTGTGTCTGCAGGAGGCGAAGAAAGGACTCACCCCGATTGCACAGGAGGCAAGTGTTGAGCCAGGACGGCTAGGATCTTTAGTGTTTTACCGGTCTGCAGAGTTGCCGCTGCTGGAGTCGAACTCACAGCATTCTTAGAATCGAACATTACTTCAGTACTTGGCTCGGTGAAATGGGAGCTTCCGAAAACTAGGGGTACCTTATTTTGGGGTCCTTATAATAAGGATCCTAGTAGTTAGGTACTATAGATTAGGGTCCCCTGTTTTCGGAGACTCCCAAAGGTGTTCGGCAGTTTCCCCTGAACTCGCAAGGTGGTCAAAGCCTACACCGCCGCTGCTGGAACCCTGATGTCTCTGTCTGGTGGAGCAGGCCCGTGACCTGTTTCTGTTGATGATGTAAATCCTGCATTATCTTAAGGACCCTAAAACATGGGAATTATGCTATATTCCTTATTATGGATAATGCAGGATTTATATCATCAACCGTTCCACCTTATTCGGCCAGCTGGAAGCGTCTCCGGAGAAACTAATCAGAGACAACCAAGGAGACAATTGTGGGTACATGCCCCGTAAATAACCCGGACCCCCGCAAATGCGCAAGTCACATGTTTGAAAATATTTGCGGAACACACAGTCGGAGACGAGTTCAGAACGCGTTTACACTTTTCTGGCGACGCTCGGAGGTGCATGCTTGGCAGCAGAGCTCAAGGAGTTTTCGGTTGAGACTTCTTTCCATGTTGCATGGGCTTCAGCGCATGTATTGCGCATGAGCTCATCTTGATGGAAAGGTAGTTCCCTAAACCCTAAACCGTTTCATGTACAGTAGCACGGTGCCTCGGGATTTCGCATTCAGATGGTGCGAGGATGCCGGGAGCGGCCTGGCAGATTCTTTGGAGGCGCCCACCTGCCTTTGCAACGGTCGTGCATCAAATATCCACTGTGGATCGTGCTCCACCTCTTGTGACTATAATTGCTCAACCCTAAACTAACAACTCCCAAGCGAATGGAAACGAACCCTGAAAAGAAACAATAAACCCTGGATCCCAACCCGTTTCCTCCACTACGGTTGATGATACAAATCCTGCATTACCCAAAATAAGGAATATGCCATAATTCCCATAGTTTAGGGCCCTTAAGGTACTGCAGGATTTATATCATCAACAGTATGACTTCTTTTGCAGGCACTGGGCAACGCTGTGTTGACCCCTGGCCTGGCATCTTGTGCGGCAAAGGCGCCCGGTGCACGCAACATCTGCATCCCCAGATGAAGCCTGGGCCTGTGCACTTAATGAACGTGACGTTATAGTTATATAGTTGTAAAGTTATATATATATATATATATATATGTAGTTAATATGGTTATATGGTTATATAGTTATATACTTATATACTTATATACTTATATAGTTATAGTTTTCCTGTAGCTGACAGAAGGTACTAATATCATTTTCGTCATATTCGCACCTTCGGTGTACCATCGGTAGGCGCTGCAAGCGGCTGGCAATTTCGAGCGAGTCTCCACGCAGAACCGAGCGGCCATCAGAAGGACCGCTTGTGGACTGTCTCTCATTCAAGTTGCTGAACCCAGGGCACTTCAGATGCCAGGCGATTGCTGAAGAATTTGGCGATGCTCCGTGATGCCAACCGTGAGATGCAGCAGGACAAGTTCGGGATATCAAACAGCTGCAGGTTGCAAACATCCGAGATCACGGAAGCTCCAAATCCAAAAACATCAGAAGTGTGTACGCGGGTGTTCACTTCAGCCATTGTTAATAAGGTGTTGCCGACCTGCTTCTTACCCGACCTTTCCTGCAGGAGATTGAAAACGCAGACAAGAAGGGTCTCGGCACCGTGGAAGTTCTCAGCGGGGACGAGGTCCACGAATCGCGACCTTTCGCTTGCTGATGTCTCCCCTGAACCTCGAAGCCCGGAATGTTGCACTGCAGGAGCTTCTGGAAGATGAAGATGATTTGTGCAGCGCCTTTCAAGAAACCATGCTGCCTTCCGAGAGGTGCCTAAAACCTGAGATTGAGGGATGTTGAGGGTTGATTGCTGCCCTCAGCGATCAATAGCGCAGAGGCCATGATGACCAGTTACAGGCTGAGCGCGAAGTTGCTTTTCTTCATGTGGGGTGTTGGCGAAGAAGTTCACTTCGAAGTACCTTGTCAGTGACACGGACGGCTCGAGGGACAGTGACAATGCGGAAATGTGTCACATGGGGCAGCTTGTGTTGAACGCCTTTGGACGGACATTGTTGTGTGGCCTGTTGGGCACAAGCGGCCAAGTTCGGATAGCTGGTGCTAGGTACGAAATCTTTGCTTGTGAGAGCGTCAAAATCCAGATCCGGACTGCTGTGGCCAGATTTAAGCTCGCCGGCAATAAACCGGTGAAGGGGTGGCCGGGGGGGGGGGGGCGGGATGGCCAGAAATTGGTGATCTTCCTTGCTGCAAACTTCCCTACACGCTCTCCATCTTGCGAATTAGATCGGGGAAGTGGCCGGCGACCTGCGCCAGGCGAATCTTGGAAGCTGCGCTCAAGATGTCGACGCAGCTGGAGGAGGTCCTCAAAGAGGCCTTTGGGCCAGCTTTGACAAGGGCAGCTACCCGTGTTGCAGTGAATCTGCGACGGCATGGATGCAACGTGCATCGCTGAGCATTTTCGAAAGAGAATGGCGAGCCTTGGCAAGGCATCCACCTCTTGCGTTGCTGGCAGCGACTCGCAGATAAGCCTCGACTTGGCCACGCTGGAGGTGTGAGAGTCGCATTTGTGCTACGTCATCGAACCAATGCACATGCACTCCGTCACGTGCAGTCACGCGGTTTCCTGAAAGTATCGGACGTCAGTCTTCGATTGCCTTCTGAATTTATTGCAGGTCATTGCCGAGCAAGCGACACAGGTGCCAGGTGTGCCCGAGCATGATTGAAAGCGATCTCTCAGGCTCATTGTCACAGCAAGCAGCATGAGCACATTGTCGGTCCACTCGGATATTGCAACCTGATACTAGTACAACATGGTTCAAGGGCTGAAGGGGTGTTACTGCCTTGCAACTGCAGTAAGGACAGATTCTTGATTCGACCTGTCTCAAGATCGCGATTGTGTTGCTGCATGAATGTTCCAGGTGCCATCGACACACTTGCAGTTCCGGCCCCATTTTGCTTTTGCCGATGTGAGTCGCGAGTCTTTGATGAAAGCAGGGCTTTGCTTAGACGGAACGGACCTTGAATCTTCTTTTTGAGGGAGGTTTGACGATGTCCTTTGCTGTGGTAACGGACGATGCTGCTCACCCGTCCCATAGTAAAATCAGCTTTTGTCGATATGTCGGCCCACTCGACGCTGAAAGGCTGACTGCGTGGGTGGCGTCGATGAAGAGGCAGGGCCGCCAGCCACCCGTTGGCTGGTTACGTCAGTTTGCTTGTTCCGCAGGCGTGCAACAGCAGCCTCGAGACGCTGCGACAGGCGCCTGTGTAGAAGCCCGCCATGTGCCGTGCCTGATGCGTTCAGCCCAGCTTTTCTCCATTCTGAGAGGCTTTGCCTGTTTTCATCCACTACCCGAGTGGCGCGGCCGACACACTCACACCTCTTCTGGAGGAAACGCAGGTCGAGATGCCACAGCTTCGGAGGGGGGCGGAAGGGGAGATAAAGAGTGAATCGGGTCCGGGGTCACATTCAAGACGCGTCCGTAGCTGAGGTTTCCCGTGGCGCTGCCAAAGCATCCCATGTCGTTTGATTTGATTTTGCCACAGGCAGCGCTGGCAGCCGTTGAGGCTGAAGAGGTCGCAAAAGAGGAGGATGAGTGACCCAGAGCTTCCACTGCAGGAGTCCTAGCTCGCGCCTTCAAGCCATGCTTGACAGCGCGTTTGAATCGTGAGATGGTCAGTGGAAACCTTGGGATACTTGCTGTCCAAACTCCGTGGCACCGTGCATGGTCGGTTATGAAGGCCGACAGCTCAACCCTACCAGGGGGTGGGGAGGGTGGCCCTCTCCAACCCTTTCAAAACGCATCCGGCGGACGGCAAGCAACCTTTCACAAAAAAAGACAAAATGAACCCCAAGACCCTACAACCTCCAAGCATTTTGAAAACCCCTAAACTCTCGAACCGCAGAACCCTCTTCTGGCCCCTGCCCACTCGCCATTTGCCGTTCGAGGCCGGGCACTCCTTGGCGGTGGAGTTGGAGCTCAAAACTGTGCGAGTACTTCTCATGCCCGTCATAGGGTTGATGATACAAATCCTGCGTTACCTCAAGGACCTTAAACTATGGAGAATTATGGTATATATTAATTATTAACTCTTTACTATGGGTATTGCAGGATTAGTATCATCAACCGTAGGCCCTACGGCGTAGGGTGGCTTGGGTATGGAGTGGTATGGCTTATGGGGCTTAGGCCCTTTCGGGGACTGAAGGCAAGGAGTTTAGGGCCACCGAAGTACAGTTTCGCATGCATACCGAATCCTTCGTTTGTTTTGCGAGGGAGAGGGATCCAAAGGAGGGTAGTGTGTTTCGATTTAAGACGTCACGACTTGACCTGCCGACACTTAATTAGAACCAAGTTGACTGGTCCAGGTAGCAGACCACCATGCGTAGGGTTTTCCGAAACTAGAGGACCCGAATATAGCGCCCTAAATAGTAGGATCCTTATTGTAAGGACCCCCAAAATAAGGAATCCCTAGTTTTCGGAGACTCGAATGTACCCTAACATGATAGGCTTCAATTCAAGGGGTCAGAATGCAGATGTTCAGGGGTCAATAAAAAGATCGGGGGTCCAAAAAAGACCTAGCAGGTCAAGAAAAAGACATGCCCCAACGGCTGCTGCATTTCAAGTTTGACGTGATCTGTTGGTTCCCAGGCAGCAAGTCTTCAGTGATGTTTGCATCCGAAGGCTGTTTGCCCAAGCCAAGTGGCAGCTTCGTGACATGCCTGCATTTTTTGCCTGCTACTTCCAGGCGAGGTTAATCACTGCTATAGCTCGTGAGCACCACTCGGACAGATCGTACTGATAACTCAGTCCTATGCACCACAGTAACAGTATACAGCACAAACCTACAAGAAACATTTCGGAAGCAAGTGAACCTTTGCGCAAGGAGCCGTTTCTGCAGCTCCAATCACAAGCCTCCTCTCCTCCGCCTCAGACAGACAGTGGCTAGTTACAACACGTTACATCTTGGCCATATGCGTTTATGCTTAGCCCTTGCAGTTACTTCCAGTCTCACGCCGGCTATTGCGATTATGACTTTGTAGAGGCAGTATCTTATGCGAGGCACCGCTTCGACATGTTGTAGTGCTATGAGGGGGGGTTTCGCAGCTGGGATGGCGCACTCTCACCGGGACGACCGGTAACCGGGCGCCTGGCATCGCAGTCCGAGGCAGACGGTGCGTTTTGATGGTTGGAGTTGGATGATTACCCTTCACATGATAACAATAGCAGTGACGGATTGCCTTTCACATGAGCACTAAGGCACTAAGTGCAGGATACAGCGAGAGAGAGACAGGAAGCTGAAAGTGCGTGCATCCATGTCGAACAGGGATTCGGCAGGAACAATGTCTTCGAATGGTGAGAATGACATCCTCCTGCTGCTCGAGGGAGACAGGCGTGCGCGACGCATGTCAACAGTTCGTATTCGTTCATGCATGTTGCGACTGTCCCTTCCGAGGGAGGCATGTCGTGCAGCAACGTTCATTGTGGATATGTCGATTGCTTGGTCAGGCGTTCCCTGTTTCCGGGCAGCAATCCTCGCATGCTCACCGTTTCCACGGACCAGACGATGCGGCAATGGGATGTGAAGACAGGCCGGAGCCTCTGAATCGCATTGAACATCATTGAACCATATTGAACCCCAAACAACCCCTACGTTTGGTATTGGAATCACAAGCATACCACATGAGACATGCATGCATGCATACATATATAGTTATATATATATATATATATATACATATATATATATATATACTTATACACTCATGTAAACACATGTATGTATATGACATACACATATATTGGTACCCACAACTGCTAGAGGTGACGAGCAACGCTGCTGGTGGCGTCATCAGGCATCGGGAGAAACCCGGCATATGTCAACGCTGCATTAACGCCCAGAATGTACAAGAGAGGGGGAACTGCTTGGGCAGTATGTTGGACAGGTCTGAGAGACTTCTGAAGTGAGGTCTTTCAATGCGTGGTTTAGCATCGGATGTTGAGACGGGCCCGTCAACGGGTCGACATGTGCTGATGGAAACAGTCGATCGAAGAGAAGATGCTGAGCTTGCGCACGTGCCAAGTAGGTTTGATGTCACTTCTGTGAGGCGGCGATCCTTTGCCTCAACGTGGACTGGGACACGGACATGGCTGCTACACTGGCGAGTTTGCCGGTAATTTCGAGAGAGTAAGGCATATAGTCATATAGTGCATGAGCAGATTGATGCACGTGTTAAGTAGTTATGATTGGCTCTGATGCCAGTTTTAGGATGCTACCCCAGCTTGGATGGCAGAAAAGGCCAGCACTCTTAGTCACATGCAATGCAAGGTAACCGGCTCTGGCGATCACACCCTGGCCCTGAGCTCACTTCGAGAGTACTTTCTGTTGAGGCTTCAGGGTTCAACGTTCGTGGCTTCAAGCGAGGCCCTGTGGGACGTGAACGAAGAGGTGCCAGAAGAGAAGGCCCTTCAGAGCTTCTTTCGAGGCCTGTCCGTCATTATCAAGTCCAGCAGCAGCTTCAATGCTGTGAGTCGTGATCGTCATCGCCATCATCACTGCCATATCACCATCGCTTCATCGTGCAAAGTTGAGTTCTACTCCTTCGCAGCATATCCGGGAATGCAGGCCACAAAGACTGGGTGACGTCAGTCGACGTGGACTGGGATGGCAGGCGTGCCGTTCTTCTCGATACACCTGTGTGGCCACATACATGCAAGCCGCGCTTTCATGCTTCCCGAAGTCCGGACTGTGAGAATGGTTCATGACAGTCGGCCTGTGCGAGGGATATTCATGCACTGCTGTGCCTGGCTCAAGCTGCTTCCGTGGTGCCACCTCACACCACGCACAAAGAAAGTCTGCCTTTAGACACTTCCATTCGTACCTATGGCTAAGTCGTCCGCCTTCTCTGCACATTGTGCAGTTCTCCTGCTGGCCCTTGGAGGGTGCAGCGCCCAATTTCTCACAGACGTACCGGTCCCACACCCCAAGCAGCCCATCATCACCGAACTCAAGGATGTCATGACCGGCACTGAGTCAACGGAGGCTCGCATCGCCAGTTTGCAGGATGCACTCTCAAGCATCTTCCTCGCTCTTCCAAAGAACTCACGTGGTGCCGTGCGGCCACCAGCTGCGCGCTATGCCCTTCATCGCCTGTTCGTTCAGCGCCACGGCTGGCAGTTCCACGGCTTGGAGCCACGTGGTGAAACGTGGGACAGCTCCTCGCCTGCGACTGCATTGGGAAACCGTGTCTCGGAGGATGTCTACGCCTTGTTTGAGAGTCGACTCACGGACCATGGCTTGGACCTCCATGACTTGGCCGTGCTGGCGGCAATGCTGGAGAACATGGTCCACGCAGAAGCGGATATCCGCCTGACAGCTGCCATGAGCGCTCAGGAGCAGCCCCTTCACCGCGTCTTGAACATGACGGAGGCTACTGAAGTCCTGGAAACCTACATGGCCAGCTTTGTCCTTGGAGCGGACATGCAACACTTGCAGCCCGACAACATGTTGCAAAAGCTTGGTGAGGTTGGCGAGCAGTACCCAACCTGGCCGGCAACACAATCCTTCTTGCAGGAGACACGCCAAGATATCTTCCCTAGCAAGAAGGAGCTGTCCTTCAGGGACATGTCCGAGGTTGCAGCGGCAGTTGGCGAGCGGTACGGCCGCTGGCAGAGTCACGAGTGCTCAGCTCTCAAAGATGAGCTGCTGCAGAGCGAGGAGCACCCGAACACTGGCCGAGTTCGCCTGAGCGACTTCTACGGAATGGCGCTTCATGGGGGCAAGTGGCAGTTCAGTGAGAGCGTCTCCTACCTCCGGCAGCTTGGTGCTTTGGACGAGACGGATCCTGACACAATCCGACTCATTATCCCGAACTACATCCTCGGCCCCTCGAACTGCATAGCATCCAGTGGCTACTATGCTGTTTGCTGCATTGACGAGTGTGATGCCTACCTGAACTCTTTGGAGCAGAAGCTACAAAGCCACGAAGCCTCGGCAGAGGCCATCATCAAAGCTGCGAACCGCAGCGTGGCCTCAACGTTGAAGCAGCGGCTCCGCCAAATCGAAGGGCACCACGGGGGCTTGGTGCCACTCCATGGACGCCTCTTTGCGCAGTGGCTTCACCACCTCTACCCACGCGAGTGCCCATATCCGCACATGTCTGGGACTACCAGCCCTCTCAGGCCGGAAATCTTCGAGCAAGAGGTGGGCGAGCCGGTGGGTGCATCAGAAGAAGAGATGATGCAGCATGTGCAGACTGCCTCCTGGAAGAAGCCTCCCACACACGAGGAAGGCATGTGCTCCAGCATGTGGACTATGGAGGAAGAGTTGGTCGATGCAGTAGCGCATGAAAAGGCACTGACGGCCAAGCGCCGGAAGAGTGCCAGCCGGGCAGTTCTGCACGGGGTGGCTTTGTCTGTTGCTGTCGTGTCCTTGGTGATCACCATGGCGAAGCTTTTTGCAGGAGCAGGTGCAGAAAGTGGATCCAAGGTACCTGGCACCGAGAAGGTAAAGGTGTACAGTGTTTAAGTTCGCCTCTTGACTGGACACGACGGGGGTGCTGTGCCTGAGGCACAACAGCACAAGATCAAAAAGACAGGAGA